TGGTGTTGGATTGATGTGGTGGTGTTGGATTGATGTGGTGGTGTTGGATTGATGTGGTGGTGTTGGATTGATGTGGTGGTGTTGGATTGATGTGGCGGTCTTGGGGTTTAATAGGTTTAATAGTGGTTGCTCAAGGAGTACTTGGTGATGTTTGATGCCTTGCCTGCCACCCTGAAGTGTATTCATATGTGGAAAAGTTCGTTTCACGTTGCCACGAGAAGTTTACGCTAACCTGTCCTCTCTCCTTTACTTAGCTCCGACTCGACTCCGGACTCGTCTCACGGACAGATGGATGGACAGGGGATGGACAGATTGATGGACAGATGGATGGACAGATGGATGGACAGGGGATGGACAGATTGATGGACAGATGGATGGACAGATGGATGATGGATGGATGGACAGATGGATGATGGATGAGGTAGATCTTACTTACCTATGTCTACCCATCTGCCCTGATGACTAGACGGGACGGACGGAACAGACAGAACAGACAGAACAGACAGAACAGACAGAACAGACAGAATAGACAGAACAGACAGAACAGACAATGCCCATCCTCTTTTATACTATACTATACTATACAAATACAATCCCATACAATCCATACCGATACCCATAAACCCTCAAACAGTCCTATGTAACCTATCCAATACCAATATCAACAAGTTATCAAAAAGAGCGGGTTTTTTTCTTGTCTTGAAACGACAGTACGAGACGGACGGACGGACGAGTGAAAAGGGAAAGGGGGAAGGAGGAAGGAGAGGAATAGAAAGGGACAGATGGAAGAAAGGGACAGAAAGAAGTAAGGGACAGAAAGAAGAAAGGGACAGAAAGAAGAAAGGGACAGAAAGAAAGGAGAGTAGAGGGCAAGGGGGAGAGAGTACAAAGTGCTGCCCGACTTGTGTGTCTGATATCTATCGTTTTCGAATTTTGAGGATAAGCACAGGATTGGGGATTACGGATAATCCTCATCACTCACGACGAGCGCAGTGAATCGTGGGAAGTACTGATGCCTACAGAAGGGGGGCTATAGAGCCAAGGGGCTGGCATGGGGGAGGTAGGTGATAGTAGTAGTACATATATATTTACAAGCTAACAACCAATCTACACAAAGAGTGGATGGATGGATGAAAGGATGGATGGATGAAGCCCCAGTAGTCGACCACAATCAGTTCACCTCCCGATCGATCCCTACCAACTCAACTCAACTACCTAGCAGAAGAAACAGGTCACTTCTTCTCCACCGCAGCCCCAGCCTGCTGCTGCTTCGCCTGCTCCTCCTTCGGCGCCAAGCCAAGCAGACTCTTAACGCTAAAGCTCTGCTTCATCCCCTTGACAAAATCCTCCTGCATCGCCTTCTCCATCTCCTCAAGCTCCTTGGTCCACTTCTCGCTATTCTCCCGAATCTCCTTCTCCATCAGCTCGTACTGGCGCTGGCCGCGCTCGCGCGCCTGGTCGCTCAGCATCTTGCCCTGGCGCGCGCCCTCGGCGAGCGACTGGCCGTCTTCGTACTGCAGGCCGCCGGCACCACCCTGTTGCGGCTTCATGCCGAGCGCGCCCGCGACCCAGGACGAGGCGGAGCGTTTCGGTTTCTTGGCGTTTTCGGCGGCGAGTTGCTTGTTGAAAGCCTCGCGCTGGATGGCTTCGCGGCGGGCGAATTCGGTGGGGATGTCGGTGCCTTCAAAGGACTTGATTGCGGCGCGGACGTCGGGGATGCCCATTGCGGCGAGGTATTCGAGGAAGGGGATTAGGTTGACGAGGCCTTTGTCTTGCGCTTTGCCTTCCCAGGGCGGGAGGATAATGGCGTTGTTTGGCTGCAGTTTTGCGTGGTCCTTTTTGGTGTCGATCAGGATTACTTTCGAGGGGTCGCGGTTTAGGTATGAGAGGTCCTGGTGGTTATTTGATTAGCATTTCACTCATTCAGCGGATCCTTAATACTGGTTCCCCTGGTCGGACAGACCTTGATGTATTCGCCATTCTCGTAGCGTGTGCCCTCGCGGTACAGCGGCCAGGCGATTGCGAGACGCAGTGGGTCAAGCTTCGCCACAATGGGCTCTGCGGAGGTGCGCGGTAGGCTGGTGAAGACGACAATCTCGTAGTACTGGCAGAGGTATCGCAAAAAGTAGTCCAGACCGGGCCGTTTCGCCGTGCGCCAGCCGTGCTCGCGGCTCCACTCGCTGTGGATCAGTAAGTCCTCCAGACTCAAGACCAGCGTGTACGGTGGAGCGGGATCTAGGTCGGGGAGAAGCTTGGGGAACGTCGGTTCGGTGTAGTAGCTCATCTGGTTTGACCAGCGGGCGTTGATGCGCTTCCAGAACAGGCTAAAGTCCCAGCCTGAAGGAGCCTCTGGGTGTAGCTTGGCCTCCTCTTCTGTGTCCCAGTCTCGCCCATAGTACACGGCGCCTCCTATACCTAGTAAGGCCGCTGCCACTGCAGAGTAGTTTGCCGTCCTGTTTCTTCTCCGGTCGGTAGAGGTCTCGTATGCAGATTTCGGAAGCTCAGCACCACCGCGGCCGCCGCTTCCAGGTGGTGGTGCAGGGTTTTCAGGGTCTTCAGTAACATTAGGTCCACTGTGTTCAACATCGAGCTCAGCACGAGCATTTGCTTGCGCTCCAAATTCCTTTGCGAACGTTGATGGGATGCCGTGTCGAAGGTCTGGAAGTGGCCCAGTATTACTTGCATGCTCTTGGACGGGCTCTTTGACAGATTCAGCGTCAGGCTCATTGGCCTTTGCCGACTTGGGTCCCCCAAATTCCGCTTGCTTTTCCGAGAGCTCTGCCGCTGGTGTGGGTTTGCTCTTGCGCGAGTACTGTGGAGGACTCGGCGGGTTCAGGTTTCGCTTCATCATCGGTCGGGCATAGCGTATCGATGCATTGTTTCCTGTTTCCTCGTGTAATCGCAAGGCTGGAAGAGAGCTCATGCCCTGTCGGAGCTGAATGACATTGCGACCGCTCTCAATTTCGTACGCTTGCCGATACTCTTTCATAAGCTGTGCTCTACGCGCATTCTTTGATCTGGACAGCCCTGATGCCGCAGACTGGCTATAGTATCGAAGGGGTGTCGTGGGAGAGGACTGCGGCCCCGACCGAATTGCGTGAGCGGCCGACCTGGAAAGCATTACAGGCGATTATATCATGGAAGAGCCCAGCAAGTAAGAGTCCAGCGAGCTATCGAGCCAGCATAAGGTGAAGAAGAACGAATGGCTGTGGGATGAGGTGGTGTTGGAGATGGAAGCTCTGGGCAAAAAAACCCACGGTATCGCGTCAGGATTCTGCCGATCAAGAAGGACGCTAAGGACAGCCATTACCGTCGCATCTAACGGACACCTGTTTCCAAGGGAATGCCAGACACGCGACACTTCCTGTCCCCCTCGGCGCAATGCCTTTCTGATCCTTTACATGTCCGTCTCGATTGACAGATACGAATCACCCAGTCGCCCATGCCGTCGCCTGTGATCCGGGGTCGGGAATGCTATTCTTTTGGTGGCCATCTTCGGCCGACCTAGATCGGACTGCAAAGTCCTTTTCGATGACATGGACTTTACTCTACTGGTCACTACTACACATATGTTGCTCTTTGTGCATGAGCGATGATGTGGTTTCTGATCTACGGTCAGCAAGTTCGCGACCTGCTTGAGCATGCTTACTGACTGGGAGCAGACAGGAGACACGAGCCATCTTCTACCATGGCTACGACAATTACATGAGATATGCCTTTCCCGAAGACGAACTGCGCCCGCTGAGCTGCAGTCCGCTTGTCCGCGATCGCGCGAATCCAGCGCACATAGAAGTCAACGACGTTCTCGGAAACTACTCCCTCACCCTTATCGACAGTCTATCCACCCTCGCCATTCTCGCGTCATCCCCACCCCCGGGACAGAAGCACAACAAGGCATTGCAAGACTTCCAAGATGGCGTCGTGCTCATTGTTGAAAACTACGGCGATGGGACGAACACATCCTCTGGAGTGGGGAAGCGATCGCGTGGTTTCGAGCTTGATAGCAAAGTCCAAATCTTTGAGACTGTCATCCGTGGGCTGGGTGGACTTTTGAGCGCACATCAATTCGCGGTCGGAGACTTGCCAATCCGAGGGTATGATGCCGGTGTTCAAGACCACGAGGGCACGAGGGGTATACGTTGGAACAAAGGCTTCGTTTATGACGGCCAGCTGCTCCGTCTTGCGCACGATCTAGGACGTCGACTTCTACCTGCCTTCTCTACGCCCACGGGGATCCCATACCCCAGAGTGAATCTCAAGCACGGAGTACCATTCTACCTGAACTCTCCCCTCAACAACGCCGCAGAGTTTGGTCAGTGCGAAAAGGGGGCCCCTGAATCTCCAGAAATCACCGAAACATGTAGCGCTGGCGCAGGCAGCCTGGTTCTAGAGCTCACGACTCTGAGTAGGCTGACAGGAGATTGGAGGTTCGAGATTGCTGGAAAGCGAGCTTTCTGGGCCGTCTGGGAGCGCAGAAGTAGCTCTGGCTTGATCGGTTCTGGAATCGATGCCGAAACAGGCCGTTGGATGTCTCCTTATACGGGAGTAGGAGCTGGCATAGATTCCTTCTTTGAGTATGCCTTCAAGTCATACATTTTCCTTTCCGGTGTGGACTTTGAGCCGAATGGGACTGTTGACTCGTCCGCCGCATTCCTCCATACCTGGCAAGATGCCCATCAAAGTATCAAGCGACACGTCTATCGAGGGGCTGCCTTTCAACACCCCCACTATGCGCAAGTGGACTTGTACACCGGCGCACTACGCGCATACTGGATTGACAGCCTCAGCGCTTATTACCCCGGGCTTCTGGCCCTGGCCGGAGAATTGGACGAGGCTATTGAAACACACCTCTTGTATACAGCCTTGTGGACAAGATTTTCAGCGATTCCCGAACGATGGTCTACTTCTTCTGGCAACATCGAGGCAGGCTTGAGATGGTGGGGAGGTCGTCCTGAATTCATCGAGTCGACATGGTACCTGTATCGCGCCACTCAGGACCCATTTTACCTCCACGTTGCTGAGATGACACTCCGCGATATTAAGCGAAGATGCTGGACGAGGTGTGGCTGGGCAGGTCTACAGGATGTTCGGACGGGAGAATTGAGCGACAGGATGGAGAGCTTCTTTCTCGGTGAGACAGCCAAGTACTTGTTCCTGCTGTTTGACAAGACCCATCCTCTGAATACGTGGGATGCGCCGTTTGTGTTCACTACGGAAGGCCATCCACTCATTATACCCAAAGAGCAGAGGAGGATGTCAAAGTTTCGAGCAAAAGCTGCAATGACAGAAGACGTTGAAATGGCTCTCGCAGAAGAGACGTGCCCTCTGCCACCTCCGGTGCAGCCTTTCAGTCTTTCAGCAGCGGCAGCTCGGCCGGATCTCTTCCATGCTGCGAGCCTTGCAAGGCTTCATCTAATGCCTAGCATCGAGACAGTCGACTCGCCTCTTGTCGAGTTCTCATCGGATCATCCCAGCATATCCGTGTCTGACCTTCATTCCCCTTCAAATTACTCTTACTATCCGTGGACTTTACCCATGGAACTGGTCCCTTGGAACGCCACAAGCTCCCGGATGGCCACCCGCTCAACATTTGATCTGGCATTTCCAAACATGCTCAACACCGCGTTGACTGTACAGCCACTGCAAAAGGTTGTGAATGGCTATCTGGTCCGATCTCTGAGCGGAGTGCGTCTTGGTATGGTTCGCGAGGGAGGCGTGCACGGCACTTCATTCGACATGCCAGAGGCATTTCGCATCTACACGGTCTCCAACTTTCTGCTTGGCCGAGATGAGCAGGTATTCGTGGAGAGGGACGCAGTGAGCAGCTTTGACCCCGCTGATGCGCACTTTACGAAACTTCGAGATTCCGTGAATCTTGACGTAATAATAGATATAAAAACACCACAGCAACGCGACCCAGAGCCTTCCGCCGAGGCCGAAGTCGACGGCCCAAACGATAACCTGACCGACTCGATCTTGTTCGACGAATCAGGCCTCCTATCAGAGCTCGACATCGACCTTGAGAATGCGGACGTCGATGGCCCGTCCCTACTCAGCAGTCTGCTCACCAACATCCAAAACCTCCTCGCATCGTCCACTTCCCGGCCTCAGTCAACCACCAAAGCTCGCGCGCCAGACACCACGCGTTCAGCTCTCATCGCAGCCATGCCAACAGGACCCGGGGCCGCCCCGCTCCCGGACGTCCCGGACATTGACTACGTGTACCGAAAAGACCGCCTCCCTCCCTGGCGCACGATATACCTCGCCGACAACCTATGCACGACGAAACTCTCCCGCTCCGTCCCGCGCACCCACCAAGTCCTCGTCATCCGCCGCGGCGGCTGTAGCTTCAGCCAGAAGCTGCAGAACATACCCGCGTATGCGCCGTCCCCCTCCTCGCTCCAGCTGGTCATTGTGGTGTCGTTTCCAGAGCACGAGGAGAGACGCCAGGGCGCGGACGATGACGACTCGCTCATTCAGCCGCTGCTTGACGTGCAGCAGCTCACGCCTTCGGGCATTGTGCGGCCGCATCCGATTCCGATGATTATGGTTGGCGGTGGCGAGGAGACGATGACGCGCTTTGGTAGGGCGCAGGGCGTGGGTGTGCGGCGGAGGTTTCATTATGCTAGCCAGGGACTGCGGATTGCGAATCTGGTTGTACTATAGGGCGGTTCGTGATGTGGATGGAGTATTGTATGGGGATGTTATATGATTATAGAGCAATGAGTTATGTTGAGTAAGATTTTGAAACACAACGCTTGCAGATCGAGTGTAGGCTCTCAAGATACACAAAGGGAACATGCAAGGGAAGAGGTGTGTGACGTAGACCTCCCTACGGTGCGATCACAGATGATAGAAGACCATTGTGCTTGCTATCTGTCAATTCAGGGGGTGTATTGAGGAGCGTAAACAGCCTACTCTTGGCAAATCGAGAACAACATACAGAGCCCGTTTTATCCATTCATGTACATGTCAAGTACCGACCGACAAGAAAAGTTCTCAATAGGACCTGACGCTCGACTATCTGTAAATGAATAAGATTATCCAACGTCAAAAATCAATTTACAATACTTCAGTGGGGGATCATGCGCATCCGCACTTCCAATTCGCACAAACACACAAATGCTAAACATCCACTCCATACCTGTACCACACACTCTCCATCCACCCTTCCAGACAGACAATCTTCCTCCAAAGCCGCAAATCCAATCTCCATTCCCACAACACACGACGTCGCAACATCAAGCTAAAATACCGCACACCCAGCGCACACTATCCCCCATCCAGCCTAGTCTCGCACCCCACCCTACCCCACGCCCTAGGTAGAAAGCTTCTGTTGTTCAGGTTCTCCATAAGTGCACAAGCGACACGTCGGAAAAAGCGCCGATATCAAAACCGCATGTGTCCATTAAGACTGCAAGACATCACATCATACCACACATCACACCGAACTACGAACATCTAAACGGGCACGCTTAGCACGCGTCAGGACAGAATAGGATAGATCGTTAACTGTTCACGCAGCTATTCAAAGAGCAAGGCAAATCACTGACTGGGACGTAAAACCATAATGGCGGCATCTACTACAGACGACACGAACGAAGACCCCCCAAACGACAACGACGCAGCCGCGACGTACGAGGCAGAACACGTGCACGCCGTGTACGAGGAGATAGCGGATCATTTCTCGTCGACGAGGTATAAGGTGTGCGTTTTGCCCCCTTGTTGGTTTTGATCCGTTCTGTTCTGTTCTGTTCTGTCTGTTCTTGTTCTTGTTCTGTTCTGTTCTGTTCTGTCCTATCATTCATTCATTCATCCATCCATCCATCTATATCAATCCCACAACATCTCCCAATCCATCCCAAACACACCACACCACCACACACCACCACAAACCCACCTCCAAACCCACCACTAACCCACCCCCCAGCCATGGCCCATAATATCCACCTTCCTCCGCGCCCTCCCCGCCGGCTCAATCGGCCTAGACATCGGCTGCGGCAACGGTAAATACCTGCACCCCTCGCTCTTTGCACGTCCGTCTCCCTCCCCCCGGTCCTCTAATCCACCCTCTCAACCCCCTAATCCACCCTCTCAAACCCCCCCTGAACCATCCCCAGCCCAACCCCTCCACCTCCAAAACCCAGGAATATACATCCTCGCCTCCGACCCCTCGCCCAACCTCGCACGCATTGCCGCCTCGCCTTCCACACACCCGCATTCCACCCTCATTGCGTCCGCTCTCGCCCTGCCGCATCCGCCTGGTAGATTTGACTTTGCGATTTGTATTGCGGTGTTGCATCATTTGAGTACGCGGGAGAGGAGGGTTGGGGGGGTGAGGGGGGTGTTGGGGGTTTTGAGGGGTGGAAATCGTGGGGATGAAAGGGGTGGGGATGGGGAAGGGGAAGGGGATGGAGAGAAAGGGGATGGGAAAGGGGATGGGAAAGGGGATAAAAGGGGCAAAGCACTAATCTACGTCTGGGCCCTCGAGCAGCGGACCAGCAGGCGTGGCTGGGACACCGGGGACGCGCAGGACGTCATGGTGCCGTGGGTCGTCAAGGCCCCGAAGTCTCACAAAACGTCCAAACCATCCAAACAACCAGAACCGTCAAACCGCAAGAAGAACGGGACCGGGGTTCGAGATACGAAGGTCTTACAGGAAGAAGGTAAAGGAGAAGAAGAACAACCCCAAGAAAAAGGAGAAGAAAAAGGAGAAGAAAAAGGAGAAGAAAAAGGAGAAGAAAAAGGAGAAGAAAAAGGAGTCGAAACGGAACCCCAAGAACCCAAAGAAGAACGATCCCAAGAAGACAGAGTCTACAACCGCTACTACCACCTCTACGCGCGCGGCGAGCTCGAGGAAGACGTACGCAGCGCTGGCGGCGAGGTGCTGGACAGCGGCTACGAGCGGGATAACTGGTGGGCGGTAGTGGCGCCGCGGCTCCGGGGCGGAGGGAGGAGCTGATGTGTGGGACATGGGGCGGAGGAGGAGGGAGCTGGATGTGTGGGAGCTGGATTTGTGAGAGCTGGATTTGTGAGAGCTGGATTTGTGAGAGCTGGATTTGTGAGAGCTGGATTTGTGAGAGCTGGATGTGTGGGAGAGGAGTGGAGAAGACCAAAAGGGGAGAAGAATTGGAGAGGAACGAGGTGACAAAACGAGAGTACATATGTGCCTATACACACACACACACACACACACACACACACACACAACAAAAGATCCCACCCACCCATCCAACAATCCAATCCAGTCCAGTCCAGTCCAGTCCATTCCGGTCCAATCCAGCATAGCTACCACACACGCTCGACAACAGCGCTCCCAAACAAAGCCCCACCCCCTCTCCCCCCTCAAACCTAAACACGCCCTATCCAACACCCACATCCACATCCACATCCACATCCACACCCACACCCACATCCAACATCCACATCCAACATCCACATCCAACACCCACATCCAACATGCACATCCAACACGCGCAGTCCACGCAAACAAAGCACCATACACCATACATATACATATCGTATGCATCTGTCATTTATATATATAGTGTATAGTATATATACTATATATAGCATAGCTCCACACATACACACACACACACAAACAAAAAAAAAAATCCCAAGCCACCAAAGCAAAAAAAAACCGGGCATGAATACAAAGAACAATGAAAAATTGACAAGCCCCCCCGCGTCGTAACCCCCCAAACCAAAATGCGCCGTCCGGTTCGGGTTGTTGGAAAGAGTTTTCAGTTTTCAGTTCAGCTCAGTTCAATTCAGCTCAAGTTCAGATTCAGATTCAGTTCAATTCAGTCCAGTTCAACGGAGTAAGGTAAACAAGTTAATGTATCGCAAGCCAGGTATGAAAAAAACGCCATGTGTTAAGGTAGGTAGGAGGAGGGTGGGAAAGAAAAAAAAACACAATGTTTTGAGTGTCTGTGTGTCTGTGTGTATGTTCTGTTCTGTTCTGTCTGCAGCTAAATAAACACAATCACGCGCCGGCTCGCGCGCGCTCGCCCACCGTAGTAGTAGTGGCAGCGCTGGGCTGGTCGTTGTTCCACGTCAGATAAGTGTGGTCGCCGAGTTTCCTATTGCGCGTTTGTTAGTCTTCCGTCGCTTCAACCTTAAGACACTCTGGGCGCGGGCCTACCTTGGCTTGATGAGATGGGTGGCCGTGAAGACGGCCCCGAGCAGGATGCAGAGGCCGCCGACGACGACGTAGGCGATGCCAAGGAACGGGTTCTTGCCGCCCATTACCGTTCTTGTCGATAGAAGGATTGACTTTGTCCCGCCGTATGTGGTCACGGGGAATACTTCACCGAGTTAGCGATGCCGCATGACAAGACGTAGAGCCTGCTGCTTACCTGAGGCGATTTCGATGCGGTAGCGTCCCAGTTTCATGGCCTCGTTGTCGTTCCTCAGCGCAAGTTTGCTGAAGGCAGGTAGACCGGCAGTCCTCATCCAGACCTGGAACGCATAGTCGGTGTGTAGATTGGGCAGAGTCGAGTCGTTGTACCTCCCGTTCTCGTATCTCGGTTGCCAGTTCGGTGGCGGCACAACCTGATCGGCCTTGTATGCAGTGTCGCCGTATAGATCAGCATCGCTGCCCCATGCGATACCGTTCTCCGTCATGCCGTAGATGTTATTGTTATCATCCACCTTGTAAGGCTGATTAATCGTGTCGTTGAACAGAGAATTGGCAATCAGCCCGCAGGGATAGTACGCCGTCCCGTTGCCATCAGCCTTGAGCGGATCGCAGTCGCTGCCGCCAATGGTGCCGTTGTCGCGAAACTTGCCGTTAAGCTGGTCGACATCGAGAGACGAAACGTATCGGCGATGGTTTTGGTAGAAGTTGGTCAGTCGATAGTACAGAAACACCGGTCCACCAATGTCATTCGGCACATAAAACTCCAGCACACACATAGGCGTGTTCTCAATCGCGCGCCCGCCCCTGGTAAGCGGGTACTGAAAGGTCTTGTTGTATCGTCCCCACGTAGAAGCCTGGCCACTGACGAGCGCCGTCTTGAACGAACTCGAGGCCAGATTACTAGGGATATCGCTAAGCGCATTTGGGTCGTTTGGATTCGACGAGATGTCAGGTGCGTCTCGGACGCAATTCGAATAATCAATCGAAACCTCTTGAACCTGCGCCCAAACCTCGTCAGCACCAAACAGCATCACCACCAGTCCCATTCTCCTCCACTCACCGTCGAGCTCGCCCAGATCAGCAGGCCCCCAATAGGAGCAAATATGATGCCGACAATGAAGAAGAGTGGAAGAACGGTTTTGGGCGTCAGGATCGGTCTGCGGAGGCGTCATGTCAGCCACGTCGTCCCTTTTATCATTCTGCGACAAGGCCAGGATACAACATACTGCCATGCCTTCAACCTCTGCTGTCTAAACGCCGTATCTACACCCCAAACAAGTCAATATCAATTCTTGCCCCGCAGCCCTAACAACAGCTGGCATCGTTCCCGTGAACATACTCGCTGGTCTCCGACTCTTCTCCTTCTTCTTCGGCTCGTCCGCCGCATCGGTCCTCCTGTCCGACGAATCGTCGCTGGGCTCATTCGCATTTCTAGCCATCCTGCACGACGGGTAAACACAGCGATAAAAGGTCCGCGGTTCGAAAGAGGTGGGGCGAGAAGGCAGAACGGTTTGGCGGATAGTTTTGGAATGTAGGGCGGATGATGGAAAGGAAGTAACCCCGTTACAGTTGCGTAGCGGCTTCTGCCAAGCAGGGCGCCGTGAGGTTATGGCGCCTCAGGCATCCACGCACGCCCGCACGGCTCAGCACCGACACGCACACCAGTTCAGCACAGCGTCAGGGTCTCAAGCGCCAAATATAGATGTGGCTGAGGCATCACGGACGGAATCGTCGGAATACTAACGCCCTCCGGCGCCGACCTCACTCTATGGGTTGCTTATCAATACCAACAGATGCTATGCTTCAGACAGTATCAGCGAATCTCGCTCCGACATCGTCACTATTTCACAAAAGTCACTGCACAGAAAAGTAGGCACAAAAGCGACTGTGGTCAGAGTTGGTGAATAATGATTCTTCTATCTAAGCTCACTGGCTCTTTATGAACCACGGCTCTGGCGCGGCAACGATACACGTTGCCACACGCAATGTCAACTCTGACGAGGTTGAAATGATCCCAAACCGTGACTCCAATGTCCTAAACCCAAGGACGAGGACGTATCCTATGCAGCAATATTGCAAGACCAAGACATATATGCAAGTCTGATGGAGGGGGGTATCAAAAACAATAACTGTGTGCTACATGCTGTGTGTTGAAAAAATGGGGGGCAAGGACTGCAAGTCCACCCGTGGCGAGCCCACCAAAGTACTCCTAAACAGAAAGACAAAAAAGAACGAAACAGCTTGACATGCACCAGGCATGCAGGGGAGCATGCGACCAACAACGATGAAGATACAGTCTAGCGGAGGTATTGCGTAAAGTTCTCCTTGGCGAACCATCCGGCCTTGTCAAAGTCGTCCCAGAGCCTGCTTGCTTTGTTGACGTCGATCTTGCATGCACCCTGAGCATGCGTCTTCTTGAAGTCCTGGCCCTTCTTCAGCCATTCGACCTTGGCAATGAAGATCCGTCGCTTCTGCGTCAGGTACTGTGCGCATGTGAGGCGATGGTACGCGGCCAGATGCTGCTCAGCCGGTGGCAGCAGATGCCGATCCGGGTCATCAAGGTCCGGCTGGTTGATCGGGGCTTTAAATTTGTCCCTGGCATCGGCTGTCTTGGTCATGATTAATGGATCGTCGTAGAACCGGCGATCGGGCCGTGGAGCAAAGTCGGGGAAGGCGTCGAATCTGTTGTCGTTGATCTTCGTGGTCGTCTTCCTCGGGGCTGGTGTCGGTTTTGTAACGCCGGCAGGGGCCTTGCGTTCTTTCAAGACTGGCTGGGGCTTTGTGGCGGGCTTCGTGACCCTTGCTCTGCGCGGCATGGCGACAGCAATCTTCTTCGACTTGGGTGCGGACGACGTTGCCGGGAGGAGGGTCTTCAAGGCTGGGCGCTTTGTGAGGCTGTGGTAGGTATAGCGCTTGTTGATTTCCCTCTCTTGGGCTCTCCAGCCTTGCTGGTCTGCGAGGAAATTTCTGGTGACGACTTGCTTGAAGAACATTGCGGTCGCCTCCGCCAACACCTTGTACTCATCGCGAGTTGGGCGAGCAGACTCGGGGACGTGCGTCGTGTTGGCAATGTGCTGGGAGATTTGACTCTCGACACGCGCCGACTCGGAATCGCTCGAGTCGAACAGAGGAAGACGCGAAGCACTGTTATCAACATAGACATCGTTGTCAAACAGCAATGGATCCCGCTGTGACTGGCTGTCTCTTTGTAGTTCAACAGTGATGTCTTTCTTGCTGACCTCGTAAGGAGAGATTGGGGGCGACACATATGTGGTGGTGGATGTTCTGGAGGCAAAAGGATTCTTTGAAGAGCTCTTTCGCACAGGCTCTTGGAAAGAGTCGACCTTTATCATCTCTGGTGGCGATAGGAGCATGTTTACAGACATGGCTGTCGATTTCGGGGTTCGTGGTGTCGGAGAAGGATTCATAGTGGAAGTTGGTATGGGCGGACGAAAGGCAGAAAGAATAATATGGGCGGAAGCGGTATTTAAGTAATTGACTGGTCCTTGGACCATACGTAAGAGTGTGAAGAGAGCCGGTCCGGAGTTAAGAAGACTGTTGTGGAGTGTGAAAGCGATATGTGGCGAATATAGCGAAGATGTATATGTCAGCGATTGAGTGCTCTGACTCCTCGCAGGCCTTTTTATAACAATTGTGAAGATCCTTCAGCGCGTGGGACAATTTAAAAGTGTGTATGCTGGCGGACAGATACGTGGTTGACTTGGTCAATGGGCTACCAGGTGGCAGTCACAATGCTCTCTGCCAATTGGAAGGCACGGGGTGTTAGGTAGCAGCTGCCTTGGTAGGCAGAGGAAATTGAAGGAGGAGCGACAAGGATGACGACAAGCCGTTGCAAAAGCAAGTTATGGCCAGATTGCGTGGAAGCAAGTTCTAGAGGCGACAGCAATGGAGGGAATTGAAGGGGGGGCGGTGGAGTGGTTATATGGCAAGCTTAGAGAGAGAGAGAGAGGGCTGTGTTATGGAGGGGAGCAGGCTGCAGCAGAGAAATGAGGTGGGAGGCGGATGACTGGTTTCATACCATCATATATCAATCAGGCGGTCCATTGAGAGACAAAGAAGGCGGCAGCAGACCTTGTGTGAACTGGCACGCACAAGCAGAGGCACCCACACCTTTCAGTAGCAGCCCACCTACTTTAACCATGGGCCATGCCATCCATGGGACCATGACCGTTCGCGCACCACACCCCCCCTCCCCTATCCAAACTCCAGCCTTCCAACCGTTCAAGGGAGAAGGATGAGGAAGAGGAAGAAGATGGGAGAGAGAGGATGAGGGACAGGAGGGAGCAGGCAGCGCGCCATGCGGACGGCGGCTGCAAGGCGAAGCAGAGCACAAAGGCGTGAAATAGATTACGCGCGCTCATGGCGGCCTAGAGGAGGCGAGGAATGGGCACGAAGAGTGCATGGATTGGCAAATGGCATTCATTGTGGCCAAACAAAGCAAAGTTGCGAGGAGCTGACGAATTGACAAATGAGAAGGCGTTGGAATGGCGGAGAAGAAAGATGCAGTAAGCTGGAGCGAGTGAGAGAGAGAGTGAGTAAGACAGTGAGAGAGAGAGATAGAGTGGAAGTGAAAGTGAGAGGAAGCGAGGGGGCTTGGAGTGGGCGGCGCGATCAGAGCCAAGGAATATGTCGGATAGGGAGCGGCGAGTAGATGGATTAGGCATAGACTCACTACCTATACTGTAAGTCTGTAGCTATAACGATTAATTACTGTTCCCCGGAGCAAGGGGAGCGGCGGCGTTAAAAGGACAAAGCGATAAGGAACAGGGAAAAATAAGAGGGAAGTGGAAGCAGGGAGCAGGGAGCAGGAGCAGGGATTAAGGAGCAGGGAATAAGGCAGTTGACAGGGAACAAGAACCAAGGGTCCATCGTCCGCCTGTCCGTGTCCGCGATGCTGACTGACGGTCACGCGTATTGATATAACACTTCTTATTGGCCAATCCAAAGCTTACTATCCAGCTTTAACCTGATACCGTACAGTGGCACACCGGTAGAACAAGTCCGTAATCTATATTGCTATTACCGATGCATGCGGCAACAAATGCATGCCATGATGAGAATAGGAATGCTTGCATGCCGAATGTTTGCGGAGACACATAATCACACTGACAATCACATTCATACTCAGTCACAGGAATGCTGGAACGCTGTGCATTCTCGGACGCGAGCACGCTCATTCAGTCATTCATTCAATCATCCACTCAATCATTCATTCATTCATTCATTCATTCATTCATTCATTCATTCATTCATTCATTCATTCATGCCTTTCAATTGCCAACTAATTATCCGCACACCGGTCACCACAGCGTAGGTGGTGAGTGATTGGCAATTCTGTACACACTATGCACTAGGCAGCCGGGCATTCGTGTCATTGTTTAGTGACTCAGACGTGCGGATCGGGCACCGGGGGCCTCGTAATCCTGGACTGTGGAAGCCACGTACCAAAGCTAAACAGCTAAAGCCCCCTAATTACGTCCCTTGACTGTGTATGTGTGTGTGTGTGCTTCATTCTTTTTCGGCCGGCTGCAATTCACCCTTCATTTCATTGCCTCTTTCTATCCATGCCATGCTTTTCCATTCCATTGAACGACGACGCTGCATCTTCAGCGCCCGGTCATGGAGTCGAGCTACGCGGCAGCCCATCAATTGCTGCCCTGCGACATTTTCAATTCCACTCGCCGCGTTGGCCGCTCTCAATTCGCCCAAGGCAGACAGCGCTCGACGACGGTCAAGTAGTATCAGGGCGGGCAGGTAAACTTTACACGTGTCGCTAGCAGGCCCAAGTACGCCGCCCCTACAGTGCTAGAAACCTTGTACCCCAGCCAAGTAAGGCATCAACATTGGCCTGTCTGATTCGCCTGCTGCTCTCACCGGCGAAGCGCCATTCGCAATGCTGCTGTGTGTATACGACATCGCGTCGAGCAACCATAGGGGGGGCTCATTGCGGGCGCAATTGCTCTATTTCCGGCTTATGTTGATGAGAATGATGATGATTATGATGATTGTGATTCTAGACATGATCATCTGAACCCCCTACTCATCATCATCATCATCGTCAGGATTCAGATGATTGAGCCGTGGCGGAGTTTGCGCGTAGGCTGCTTCCGTCATACATGCTGGATTCGGGGTTACGCGTTCTCGTCCGTGGAACCAGCTAGCATCAAGATGACAATTGACAGTCTTCCAACAGAACTGCATGCTCTCAATTGGGCCCTGCCGTCTCAAGCAACGATACTCTCGCCACCTCTACACGCAGCATTGAGAGCTGCAACATTCCGGCAGCGCTCCATATCCATCTCCATTTCCGTATCAGGGAAGCACCGAGATAGGCCAATGGCATCCTCTCGACACTATATCCGTCACCAGACGTCAGCCAACAGCCAAACAATGTACCGCAGTACTGTACTTGGTTGTAGATGATGCCACCCTCGATATGCTATTGGACCGCTGCCAGCTGCTGTTCGATCAAGACACCGCCCCATGCACGGCGTGCACCGTGGTCCGATGACTCTGCGAACAGGTCTCGCGGTCGAGGAAGAAAGCATGTGAAAGATTGAAAGGGTGGTGAGTGTCTCAGGTGAGGCATAGATACCTCCTCCTTCCATTATGGGCGTGTATAGCTGTATACAGCCAGTCCAAGTTCCCCCCACTCGCTCAATTGGCGACGTGGGGTTTGGGTGTGTGGCACGCGGCCTCCCCAAGGCTGGCGGCTGCTCACAAGACCACGGCTTCGCACACGCCATTGAAGTCAGTGATCATGCTGAGATGTGTCTGATTGGTCAATGCAACAGTGTAGTGTGTGGTTTAGCGAGCGAGAGGGTGTGGTGAGAAGGAGGAAGAGGAGGAGGAGGAGTATCAGTAGTAGTAACCACAATCACAATCAGATGGACAGTATCGGGTATCATCAGGGCGGTCGAGAATGTGGTCCGGTACGTCGGGGCAGGCCGGGCGCGTGCGTAAGGAGGAGCAGGAGGGATTGATGCACATCGCGGGGCGTCTAAAGCAGTTCTAAACAGCCCCAAAGACCCCCCTAAGACCCCCCTAAGACCCCCTAAGACCCCCCCAAAGACAGTCAAGTTGCAGGCAGTGACCCAGCCAAGCGTTGAAGCCTATCGCGCCCGAATGTGGAGGATAAGCTTACCCCGCCGCTTATCGCTTTCCACCACCACCACAAGCACGCCGAAACACTGCCCATGTCCGCCCGGCCCAGGTCTGCCATTGTCATCTGATGCTGCCGGCGACGACTCGATCAATCGCTCTAGACTGCCACTATCGCAGAATCAACAGCCCTCTTCTCACAATTGTTATCACATCCTTGGGACGCTCAATTGCACAGAGTAGCGACAGAGAGAGCCGTATTGTCGATAGGCCAGTCGCGGCTTATGCTAATTAGACGCCTGCCCCCGCTGCATATCCCATACATGGGCTGCAAATGCGGAACCGGGAGAGCCGGGCCTTGGCCTCGCCCTTGCTTAGGGTGCCTTTTGGCTTTATGCCCTTGCACCATGCATGACAACGATCCAGCCATCCATTCACTCTCAGGGACCTTCAGCGGAGCCAGGGAGCCAGGGAGTCAGGGCGGGCCGTCACTCTGAAAGCCGGGCGATCCACTGCATCCAGATCGCGTGGCATGCCTGGGACAAAAGGACCCTGTTTTGCCAACTCTTTGACTTGCTCCTCCACTCTGCCTCCACTATACTCATGCCATTCCAGTGTTGCTGCTACGCCGTGGCACGATGCCTCACTCTTGCATGTTGACCACCTGTTGTGTGCACAATCTTGCTTCCCATTGCGTGCTTGGCCCTATGCTGGTCTGAAAGCAGAAAACGGTTGGACGACGATAGTTCGTGCTCCACTCCAGGAAGTGCTATCCGATGAGGCCATACCTCTGCGTCTCAGCCTGAGACGAACCCCTGAGACTATCCATACATACCGGCAACCGGACTGCGATACGGGCTGTTGTAGAATGCAAGTAAGCTCTGCAAGACCAGCAGCCTGGTCCTCGGTCTCCCGTCTCGAGACAGTCCTCCATCAGGTAGGTCCTAGCAAGAATTAATAACTCACAGACGTAGAGGCAGTAATCACAATTGCCAATGTCCAAACTGCAGAAGACATTGGTACACGCGCACTGACCCTGCTTGGCTGCATCGTGAAGCCGTGATTTCTCCATCCTACATACAGCTTGTCAAAATCCCATCAGAAATTCCCACCGGAGCGGATCAAACTGCCCACCGACCAGACCAGAGACCCCTCCTCACCTAAACACCATCACGAACAAAACACTCCTCTCCATAATCCATACAACCACAACCACAACCACAACACACAACAAACTCCACCACACACCTCACAATGCACCTCCAAAAATGCCCTCACCACCACCCACACCCCTCCCCCAACCACGCCCCTTCCTAAGATCCCTCCTCTCCTCCATCCAACAACCCACCACAACCCCAAACACCACCACCACCACCACATCAACAACAACAACAGCAAACCCCCTCCTCCCCCTCCACACCAACCTCAGAACCCCCCTCCTAACCCTCCACATCCTCTTCCCCAACGAACTCCTCCCCGCCCTCGACCTCCTCGACCGCGGCCTCGTCTCGCGAGTGCTCGTTTATCGCGGGCGTGGACACGAGTCCGAAGACAAAGACAACGACAACGACAAAAAACACGGGGAGGCAGATGGCAACGGAGACGGAGACGGAGACGGAGACGAAGAAAGCAGCGAGAAGAATGGACAGAGCGACGCAGTAATAACAACATATTTCCACGTGCGCTCTGCTGCCACTGCTACTACTACGCACCGCTCGTCGCGGCACTACGGCCAGAACAACGGCCAGCAACAACAGCAAGAAGCCCAAATCTACCGCGTCCGCACCGACGCGTGGAACTGCGACTGTGCTGCCTTTGCGTTTGCCGCGTTTCCTGCTGTTGTGGACACGGCGGGGACACACACAGACACAGACACCGAGGCACACACGGACACTCACTCAGAAAGAACACAAGGGACACAAACAGAAACAGAGGCAGACACAGAAGGACAAGGAGTCGAGACCTGGCAATGGGGCGGGCGCACACTTGGCCGTGGCAGTGCGCCCGTGTGTAAGCATCTGCTTGCCTGTGTGCTGGCGTCGCGGTGTGTGTTGTTTGCGGGCTTGGTGGAGGAGAGGAGGGTTGGGTTGTGGGAGGGTGTTGGGTGGGCTTCTGGTGCGGCTGGGTTGGGGATTTGAGATTTGAGATTTGAGAGAGATGGTGCTGGGATGGGTTGTGTGATTTGGGGTAGATTCGAGAGATCATAGCACGTCCGTCATAGGTTAGAGTCCAGGATACGTGCGTGCATGCGTGGCCGTCTACTTGGGACATTCACAATCAGGATGCCGGGTAAGTAGTACATGGCCAGCAGTAGCTTCTATCGCCCACAGAGCATGCATGCTACATACCCCATCAGTCCACGTCAAGGAGGCTATCTTTTCCGCTCTCCGTCCTTGGACTTGCTCTTGTCGCCCTTTTCATCCTTCTTCTCGCCCTCCTTCGCCTCCCCATTCACCGTCCCGTTCGCCTTCTTCTCCTTCTCCTCCTTTGCCTTCTCGTCCTCCTTCTTCCCGCTCGCCTCCTTGTCCTCGGCCGTTTGCTTGTTCTGGATCTTGTTCTCGATCAGGTCGTGGAACGCGGTGATGGCCCGGATCAGACTGCTCAGGTAGATCGTCATCAGCTGGTCGTTCGTCTTCACACTCATCGCTCTGGCCAGCTCGCTGTTGTCTGCGGGGCCAGGCGGTGGTATACCGTTTGTTTGGGCTGTGGACTTGGGTGTGGAGAGGTTGGGGAGCAGGTTGAACACGTCTTGCAGGTTGCCGAGAATGGCGTGGTTGACGGGGAGATCGCCGTCCAGGACCTTCTGTAGGTATTGCCCAATGTCGCGCAGCCGCAGGTGTAGACCTTGCAGAGACTGGAGCTGAGAGGTTATGCGCGTGGAGAGCGTTCCGACGGCGACGTCGCGGATATCACGTAGGAGATGCTCAACGCCAATCTCTTCTGCTTCCTCGGCTTCTATTATCGATGGCGTGTGGACGAATGTTTTTGTGGTCGTGGTTCCGTCCTAGGCGTGAGGTTAGCACACGGTATAACGCATGACGGCTTGCAGCAGTAGTACTGCTTGCCCATGATCCATCTTACATCTTTGATCTCCTCCACTGCAAAGTATGCATCTGTCGGCACACCAACCTCCTTTGGCTGCACGTCTATGATCACTAATAGCGGGTTCGGTGTATATCTCTTGAAGAGCTCGTTGATCTCGAGATCAGACGCCCTTAGCTTAGGCCCCGAGTGATACCACCCGATGAGCTTCTCCCGTGCGTTGACCTTCTTGAACATGTCGTTCATCGACTCAACATAATTGTGATCCAGAAACCAGACCGACGGGTCCCTCTCATCTTCTTCAAACGGCACTGTAACATTTCGTTAGCGTTTTTTGCCGCCAATCTGACCTTCCAACCATCTGCGGCGCCACATACCAGCAAAGCTGTTTGACACCCTCACATTCTTGCCGTCATTCTGACCGAGAAGAACACCGACTACACGCTTCTTTGTCTTTGCGTCCTTGGCCAAACGCCCGTAGTGGTCTGCGGCGGAGAGTAGGACGAGAGGTGCGACGGAGACGTTACGGGTGACGAGAGACAGCGTTTCAGCTGTCGTTGCAGGCATGGCCGCGGTATATGAGGGATTGTGGGGTGTTAGAGGATGGGCGTGAGAGGTGGGCTTGCGACGGTCGTTGATGGGGGCAGAGAGATATCGGTGATGTTGCTCAAAGGCTCGTGAGCTGTAGCTCCGATTTCGAGAGGAAGGTATGCACGGACCATACTCAACCTTATAAGGCTCTCCAAGCAAATGGTAATTAAGTTGAATTGAGCTCAGGTAGGGTAGGCCAGCAAAACCATTTATGACAATTATTTGAACTTTAATCATGAGAGCCAAGTGGGCTACTAGATCCGAATCATAGGATAATCATTGTTGGTCCACAGTGCCCTAATACTATGTACGATACATTCCAATATTTGCTCCACGCTATGCATATACCCAACCAGATCATATCAACTACAATTTTCCACCAAGCGCGCCCAGGATCTGGCCCAGGCCGTATTGTGACAAACTGATTTTACAAAGAGACTATTCCCACAACATGGAAATACATTACATCGTCGCGGTCGGGAAGTAATATTGCTCCCACAGAAACTCGTAGTCTTCGATGACGCCCCCTACAAGGTCCAGCAAAGGCTTGCCACGGAGTCTACCAGTCACAGAGTGTATCCAGGATCTGTCACATGTCAGTTCGTCCCAATTATCCAGGGGTCATGAGTACGCACTTGGTGATGTTCTCGTAGAACGCTCCTCGCATAACCCACCAGCCGAGGGCCCAGCCTCTCTTGCGAAGTTCATCCCTCTCCAGGTTGGTCAGGCCTCTCAAGCCGCCTGCGAGTCGCTCCTGGAAGTCCTTCTTCGCCAACTGGCGCGCCCCATATTCAATGCTCAGCCCGAGCAGCCATGGCTGCCACGCCTTCTTGTTGTCACTCCATTTCTGCATGGCGATGGCGTAAATCACAGGTCGAAGAATATAGAGCACTTCAGCCAGTTCGCCTTTACCAGAGACACGATGGAGAAGTGCTTTTGGAGGCTTGATATCGTCCGCCGTAAGGACTTTCGATAGGAGATAGTTTGAAATGTCGGTGGAGTCTGGCAAAGAGGGCATCGACAGGCCTGTTCGCGGCATGGTCCACGACGCATCGTCGGAGCGCTCACTTGATGGTTCGCTCGGCGGCGTGCCAATCAAATCCTCCGCCGGCGTTGCTTCTTCCAGGCTGCTTGGATCCACTTCTCGTTCTGGGAGGGGCGGGGACAGTAAAGGTCGGGAATTGGTCAGTCTCAAGAGGAGAAGTCTGCACACAGCTTTGACGAATTCCAAGAGGATCACAATGCGCCACCGCACTTTCTCCCCTTTCCTTTTCGCGACCATTTCCCATAGCAATTCGGTGTGTTGGATCATCTGCAATATGAGCGCGAGGCGCTGATACGTTGGGGACTTCTGTGTCCAAAATCTAGTGTAGCGATTGTGCGGCGAGGGGTGCGGCCGTCGCGCGAGAGGGAGGCGACATGCTGCTTTGTATAGGAGAGAGTCGTGATATAGGGACAGGATTTGTACACTGCTGTGAACTGAAATTTGTGAGTTACTGTAGAGGTAGAAATGGGTATTCTGTCATACGAGTCTCAGAGGCAATCTCAGCCTCTCGGAAGCGTCCTAGAGAGTAGATATCAGTAATGCGCATGGTAGTAGTTCACGGCTCTATTACGCACCAGGTATAATGTACGTCAATGAGCGGAGTCCCGATTCAATCTGCGAGACTGCACTAGCATTCTTCGTTATGAAGTCGCCATACATCCCCAGCCACTTCGGTGGAAGTGATATGCTCTCGTGAAGCTTCACCGACGCTTGCTTGTACATGGCGGCCCGGCAGAACGCTCCCACAGAAAACAAAGTAGATGGATGTGAGGGACGAGAAATGCGCCAGAGCAGAATATCTTGTGTGAATGCGCTCCACGTCAAGTCGCGTCGTCACCTCTCAGGCCGAGGTTGGTGATCGAAAGGGAATAGTGAGGTGCCCGTGATGCGGCTCGGCGCTGGCGCCCCTTGTAAATCCACCACCGTGCTCACACCTCATATGTGTCCCGGCCACGACAAATACACCACGCCGCAGTGTCTCACGCGCGAGGCTGCTTCTATGAAGACTGATTTTCTGCGCATTAAAAGAGACATATTCCAGTCGATCTAGCGACCTGAACCCCATTGAACTGAGTCCGGGAGAAACGACCCCCGCGCGTGAGTCGATTACGCGCCCATCAGGCATCTCGGACTTTCGCGTCTACATCTTCTAACGGCCACACCAGCCTTATATCCAGCATTGCGCCAGGATCAATGGAGTTCTCCCTCGACAACAACTTCCTCAATCTTGTCGGCGCGCAGTCCAGCCCATCACTTGGCCTTGCTCACCATGGCGGTTCTGAGGCTCAGCGACCTTCTCAGTCCTGCGTCAATGATGAGGGCATGAGCAATCAACGTGCGCAATGGGAAGCCAACTATGCAAATATTGATATGCCCCCACCACCTCCCGCGGTGTTCAACACTCGAGAAGAGATGATTGCCGAAGCCAAGGAATTCGCAGAGTCCCATGGATACACGCTTGTCATCGGCCACTCTTCAAAGCATCAGGGTGAACCCTCGCGCTGCTGGCTTACGTGCGACCTCGGAGGCGTGTATCGCAACAGACATCATCTGACTCCCGAGATGCGCAAGCGGAAACGAGAATCCCGTAAGCTGGACTGTCCCATGCGCGTACTTGGAACCAAGCGAAAGTACGAAAATGGCTGGATATTACACCTTCCTGACCCTGTGAGAGCATTACACAACCATGGATCAACCACTCAAAGCGAACCTCCTCCTCCGCCGGCAGAGTTCCCAGAACTAGAGCAAGCTCTCTACCAGTGGCAGCAGCAGTGTTTTGCCGATGGTATACCTGTTCACGGCAACACTCTCAAAGCGAAAGCCATCGAGTTGTACAAAAGCATGCCGGTGTATCGTGACAGAGGCCCAATCCCAGAATTAGGTGTGAATTGGCTGAATGACTATCGGAAGCGTCAGAACCTTCCAACCCGAACACAACAAAAAGGGTCGAGCACTAACACTCCAAACCGACCACCGTCGATAAGCAACGTGCAACTCAGCATGGAGGATACACTGCCTCTCCCTCGGAACACTCTTGAGCTTTTCAAATCTGTGAAAGGATACGTCAAGACCTACATGGCAAAGTTTGATGCTTCTCATGACTTCAACCATATTTTGCGTGTGCTCGCTCTTGCCAACCGGATCTACACTACTGAAATCACAAATTATCCCCAGGCTCAGTACGACCCAAGCGCTGTCTTTCTTGCCGCGTACGTCAATGATACGATGACCGTGATTGCCATTGCTGATTGAAATAGACTGCTTCATGACATTGGCGACCAGAAATATGAGTCGGGTGCTTATACAGAAAATCAGATTGCTGAGATTCTGCTCGAGCGCGGTGCGTCTGACGTTCTTGCGTTGAAAGTCCAGATGATAGCAAAGAACACATCGTACTCGATCGAAACCAAGAATCCCTTGCTAACGAGAGCTATCCTTGCGCAAAATCCGGAGCTTGCGATAGTTCAGGATGCCGATCGCTTAGATGCTATAGGAGCCATTGGCATTGGCCGCGCGTTTACGTTTGGAGGTGCGAAGCGACCTCATGAGGGCATGGATGGAACGATTAAGCACTTCGGCGATAAGCTTGAGAAGCTTGAAAGTATGATGAAGGTATGTGTGCCATCTCAGCGTGCCTGGTTCAATCGAGTAACACAGTGAAGACCGAAACCGGAAAGCAGATCGCTCGTGAGCGCACGAACCGACTCGAGGTGTTCAAGTCCTGGTGGCAGGAGGAGACCGAAGGACTGGCGAGATGGAAAGAATAGTAACCATTTACGATTTTGTCACTTCTTATCATGTTTTCCGTCACAGCGTTATAGATCGTTAATACCCTTAGGCAATGAACATGCTTGGCGTTACGCTTCGTTAAACACGCTTCCGATGGAAGTGCTGATTCACTTGTCAAAACAAACACCGACGCGCCGCTGCTGTTCGGCGCCACCTCAGGTTCCACCTTCAACAGCTCAACAGTACAGATGCCCTGACCAGTATACACATCTTCACGCACTATATAAGCTGTTCAAGCCCAAGGACTTTCGGGAATGGGGTGGAAACTCTGCATCGTTGGTTTAGTGGTTATGGCTTATAACTTTAAAGGCAGACCAGAACTACACTGAGGCAGGGCAGACGTTCGATTCCCACTTAGGACAGTTGTTTCGTGTATATTGTTTACAGACTCAACCTGTCTTAACCAAATCTTGCGGATTTTTCCCAGGTGTGGCCTTCGGGCACAGCGGATTATGAAGCGGACCGGTCACCTGGTGGGCGGATTATCAGATGCTCGCATCTACTCTCTTTTTGTTTCCTGGCTTTACTCTCTCTTAAACTTTTTGGTCCCATGATCTGGATGGTGGATGTTCTCACGTTTGTGGTTTTGCGGTCGTCGTACGACGGTGGATCATCAGCCCAATCACTCACACAGACAGTTCAGAACACCATCTTCGACTGACAGCTGCAACATCCACAGACGGCAACTGGCGTGTGGGAAAGGAAACAAAGCATAGGACCCTCTAATGACACCCCGCTTTACGCCACTACAAGGACTAGGAGTGAGATAAAGGACATGTCTTGGCGGAGAGGACTTGGACAAAGAGGCTGGAGCAACAATCTGTGGAGACGTGCAACACGCTCGAATGTACCCTACCAATCCCCAACAAGATGCATCTCCGCATAACGATCGTACTCAGTGTATCCACTCTCTGGTATCTGTAAATATGGGGCCTGGCCGGTGTGAGGGTCATGGTTAGTACCGAACTGCGAGTGCACGAGACCCATTGCCCCCATGCGCCTGACGTATTGGACAATGGGTTTCTTTGTCTGAGTTCGTCGAAACCTGTTCTACTATGTGAATCACGATACAGATAGTCAATTAGACTGATGCCATCATCGATAATCAAAGCTACCTCTACCTCTGCAGCAGCATAAATACTTCAACTCACCCTCTAACTACATACTCTCTACCAGTATCAAACCTCAGTCACCTCTGCTAAATTCATACAAGTAAGTTGCATTCTGAAGTGTCTCTGCCTCGCTGTTTCTCCTATGTATTCTTCTGGTCCTAGTCGCAGGGCAGCTTCCTTTCTTCAGATCGGATTAGGAAACTGCTTCGCGAAAAAAGACCTATATCTCCTCACCTTTCACTTTCACTTTCACTTCCAACTTCAATCCTCATACTAACATATCATCATCCTCATTATTAACATTTTCTCAGTCCTCAAGCAGCCTCTTCTTGCCTAAGCAGTCGATTTCCTAATCTCAAGACGAACACTTCACGTACAATCACATCAACCGTGGGTAAGCTGCCTACGTACATGCATCCGTTGTACTGATCACTCATGCAGATAGCTCCTAACGAAATGTCTGACCACCGCATTTGCTTCATCATCCCTCCTCAGATCTCGAGAGCTGTAGTCGATGCCGACGACATCGACGATGAAGTAAAGCAGATGCACCGTCAAACACTTGACCACACCAACAGCCTCCGCGGTGCAAGGTTTCAGCGATGCGAAGCGGCTCGTACCGCTTCAGGTGAGCAAGGCCATAGCCACCCTATCATCCCACCCCATATTCATAGCGCCATAGCAGAGGCTGGGAACGCAGAGGAGCAGGAAGCTGCACTAAGCACCCTTCAATATGACACTGAAGGACGTGCAGCTCGTCCTCGCGGCCTGAATAGGACCATCTACGACTTTCAGCACGATGATAACTCTCAGGATCTTCCCGGAGATGTTGTTCTCCGCACGGAGGGCTCGGAGCCGGTCGAATCATCAAAAGATAGTACGAACGATCCAAACGAATGCTACGACGGCTTTGGAGAGACCTACAAGCTATTCAACGATGTCTTCAAACGGAATTCAATTGATGGCAAGGGTGCAAAGCTGATTGGCTCTGTTCATTTCGGTAAGTAATGCCCTCGAAGAACATGTCACTCACCGCGGGTACTGACTCAAAGCTTCACAGGGACAAAATATCAGGCAAGTCCAGCAGTTTCATGAGTTTCCTGCCACTGTTGACTGATGATAATTCAGAACGCGTTCTGGGACGGAAAGCAGATGGTCTTTGGTATGATCCTCACCGCAAGCTCTCGTCTCGCTTGTCCTGTCTGCTGACCCACACGCAGGTGATGGTGATGGTACTATCTTTAGAGATGTGAGTTGGGTTCCTTCTCCAGCTATACAGCCATACTGACATTAATCCAGTTCACAAGCCGAGACGATGTGTATGCATTCAGGTCTTACCTTACTATAGTTCAATAACTGACGGTCGCAGCATTGGTCACGAACTGACGCACGCTGTCACTCAATTCACTGCCAACCTCATATATGAAAATCAGCCTGGTGCCCTCAACGAGTCCATATCTGACGGTATGATTCGAGACTCCTAAGATAACTTCGTTCTGACAAGAAACAGTCTTTGGCATCATGGTCAAACAATACAAGCTAGGCAAGCCAGCCGCTGAAGCCAACTGGATCCTTGCCGAGGGCATCTGGGGCCCTGGGATCAACGGTAGAGGTCTTCGCGACATGCAGAACCCAGGAACGGCATACAATGATCCGAAAATTGGAAAGGATCCTCAGCCTGCTCACATGAGTAAGCATAACCAATAACAACAACCAGGTATGATAAATGCTGACGTCCGCTCTAGAGGACTACAAGAAGCTCCCAAACACTGCAGATGGTGACTATGGCGGTGTCCATATCAATTCCGGCATACCGAATAAGGCCTTCTATCTTGCGGCAACCAAAATCGGGGGCAACTCTTGGGATGGTGCCGGTCCCATCTGGTATGAAACACTCACTGGCGGGAAGTTGAAGTCCAACGCCACTTTCCAACAGTTCGCCGACTTGACGGTACTCAATGCTGGGCCCCACGCTTCGCAGGTCGTTGCTGCTTGGAAGGAAGTCGGCATCAGCGCGAAGTCTGGTAGGTCGGAGCTTTAAGCGTTCTTCTTTCTTTGCTCCAATGATACTGAAGTCTCCTTCCTGTTAGCAAAGAAGTCGAAGTTGAAGGCAGCATTACAGCAACCCAGGGGTAGCTCATACGTATATCCCGTGGGCCATGTAGCAGCGGGTGGTGGTGTCGTGACGGGCGGATGCGGAGGATGCTAATACACGGACTGGTATCGGAGACAGTTGGCAGTTGAGTAGTCATAGGTAAAGCCAACGAGATCTCCTTTCATGATGTGCAAGATGGGTAAAGTGATGTCTGAACATGACTTCTATCAGTTAGTTATGTCAAGAGGGTAAGAAACCCCTGATGGCATATTTGGTATATCTACTATATCTACTATACTATACTATGTATGCAGCAGGTCTATGTTATGTATGGTCTAGAAAAGGTCTGGGTATCTTCCAAGAGCACCGTTCGCACCGCCATCAAAGTCATCATGTAGCTCGTCCAGCTTACCGAACATCTCCGCATATTTCAGACCTCGCAGTCGTTCAGCTTCCACCTTCTCCCATGTGAAGTCCGAAATGCCTTCCGCCAGCACAAAGGACTCGTCGAGATCATCCCTTGTCGTCGCATCATTCGACGCCGTGTCCACACTCGCCTGTGCCTCCTTTGCGAGCTCCCCAACGTCCGCCGGCTTCGGCGGTAACAACTTCGAATGCTCGAGCACAGTCTCCGCCGGAATCGTCAATCTCCCCTTCTTCACCACATATTTACTAATACTCGTGGCATACAACGCGCCCCTAATTCTCTCCTTCCGCTCCTCCAAACTCTCCTCTTCCTCCCTCTTCCCCGCCAACTTCGCCTTCTTCCCGGGCTGCAAGGTATAGTGCTTCGGCCTGACGACGCCCGCCTTGACGATATGCGACACCAGATAGATCCACTTGCGGTCCCACGACAGCAGCCTCGTCCAGATCTCATACTTGACAAACGGCTTAATCTCCCGCTTGAAATGGCAGCTCACCCCGCCGAGCGCCATGCTGGCGCGGGGCCCCGAAGTGCCGTCGTCAAAGGCCGGGTCGCGCGACGCGTAGATGCCCGTGCGCAGCAGCGCGACCATGTAGTGTGTGCGCGAGATGTCGAGGTCGGAGAAGTAGGTGCTGTTGGACTTGTGCAGGTTGAAGTCGGTTTCCCAGAGCGAGGTGCGCGTTGATGTGATTGCGGGCTCGAACAGGGAGCCTGGTGGGATGGGCGCGTTTTGGAAGACGAGTTGGTGGATTAGGGCGCGGTAGAAGCGGAGCTGTGTTTTGGGAGAGGGTTGTTAGTCATTGGAACTGTAGAGATTGGCTTCGTTGAGGGGGTTTTTTTTGGCTTGGAGAGATTCGTTATTGAGAGAGGGGGAGAAGACGTACGTGCCAGACGAAGGGCAGGTTTTTCCAGCTTAGGATTGCGAGCACGACGCCGATTGCTCGCCATGCACGCAGTGGCTGGACGCCTGCGCCTTTGAGAATGTATGTGCTTGTCGCGGACAGAGCGTTGAGGACGGCGCCGCTGGCCATGGTGGAGAAGAGGGAGTAGAGAGTCGTACGGGATGGAGGCGGACGCAATTGAAGGGGAAAAGGGCAAAAAAGAACGTGAGTCTGCGCGACGAGGCTTTAAGATATCAGATCGACTCTGGAGTTTACTGCAGGCTATGTTTCAACTTTTGTAAGTCTGAGCTTCAGTTGCGCATCACATGCCGAGGTTCGATCGCGGTTTGGGACTAGCGTCGGAGAGCCGGGTTAGGAAATGTAAGAAGTTCTGCGATTGCGCGCGGACTCAGGAGGTGCCAAAATGGGTAGATTACCTTTCTTTTTAAGGGAGTCGACAGCAGCACACCGGACATGATATTCTCCGAAGCCGGACAAAGATTTCAGCTTATGTATATGTATATAAATAGAGGCTCTCTTCATTCACCTTTCGATTACATCGCTAGTCTGTCGCATATTGGAGTTCGATAACTTGCCCTCGCGCTGTAATCGTGTGCCAGCTAGTCTGGATCTGGAATACCTTGCGATTCGACATCTGACAGCCTCCGATGACATATCCGCGTCAGACTCGGAGCGATGCGCTATTCTCCGATGCCGTGTCACAAGGGGTGTTTGTCGCGATAGGAATACTCGGACTCCATCTTGAATCCTTCCTGGTGGTCTGGCCGTTGTTCGAGACGCATTCTGCGGAAATGTGCCTAAGTTTTTACCGTAAAGTCTTGCTGTCTTGATGGCCTAAACACAACAATGCCACCCCCCTCCCTTGCCCTATCGCCGAGAATTACAGCATCAAAATCTTTAGGACAAGGATAATGTAACTCTTCCTCCGCCGGTGGGTTCTCCCTTCGGCGGGCTTGTATTATGGTAAGCACTCATGTCGTTCTACCCCCACGGCCGGAGATCATTCCGGATGCGATAGGATCAACCGTGCGCAGATTACATCAATTGTGCAATGCGCCAGCATCTATCGGAGCGCCCAGTATATGTAATCCATGCTGCTCTGTCACTTCATCCCCCTTGTGTTATTGAGAACAATATTGACAAGTTAGCATGAAGTTGGACGGCGCTGCTGAGGACGAGTCCTCCGATATATGTACGGCATCTTACACTTCGACTTGGTGGCGTTTGCGGCCAGGCTCGAGAATCCGTTGCATTCTTGCAAGATAAGTGTCCCGAGGACATAGATGTCGGCCTACAAACGCCTGCTCGGCAGCATGGCTACTTTATATTCCACACTGATGCACGCTGTTTGAAATTTACGGCTTGTCGTCGAATTTCTCGCGTATATTAGTGCTGATTTGATAAGACATCCATTACAGATCCCGATTCCTGCTCACTTGAGCCACTAAATGTACCTGGGTAGAGCCTAAACATACTGAAAGTTTGGTTCAGAGACGAGCACATATAATACGTCCCTTTGGTATAAGATCTTTTCGGGTAATACAGGCTACAGCGCGAACCAAGGCAGATTATGAAGTCTGTTCCGGCTGACTAATAGGATCTCAACTAGAACTACTTATTCAGTCTTAGATTGTCCGAGTTTCCCATCGCAAGGCTCGCAGGACTTTAGGCAGAAGCGCTCCTGCGCCTCCTGCAGGCCTCCTCATACAGCCACATATACTTGATTTCGTTCGACAACGACATCCTAGCGGAAGACATAAGCTCAAGAATGTCAAGAAACAAAACCTGTTTTTTTTTTGGCTGTAAAGTGGCGAATGTGTAAGCTCAACTAGAGCGAGTGGTTGTAGCTCATAAAGCAGTAGTTGAAGCATTGTTTGCGACTCAGGCTCTCTGAACATAGTATCTCAGTGAGTCAACGGTGTGCTCGAGCGCTAGTCTGCCTGCTGAAGCCTTTGACTTGATATTTATACACTCACTCCTCTTCGAGCTCCAAGAAATATCATAGGTATGCTCCACTGCCTAGATTACGTTCATAGTTTTACCTTTTAACTGAATAACAGATCCGGCAGTTATACCAAAAGATAAAATCATGAGCTATTCACTTCACATCGTTACCTCTAGACGACCCCAAATTTTCGACGACCAAAAGAAAGACAGACCATACCATTGGGCTTTCTTCCTCCAAACGGGGACTGAGCGTGGTGATGGTTCTGTTTTACAGCTTCATGGAATGCCAGGGGCATTCTACTATGAGGGAGAGGAGAAAGTTGTCCCTCACGCACCCGGAAGTATCAAGGCCGAGGTCGAGATTGGTGCTGTTCCTGTAGCGCGCTATGAGCGTTTCAAGGAACTCTTAAAGGCTGTTCCTATCTCGAAGGATGAATCATCGGGGTGGAATTGCCAAGACTGGAGTCTGCAAGCTTTAGCATCGCTTCGGGAAGAAGGATTTGTGGACGACACATATAGTGATGCTGCACTAAGGTATTGGCTTCGGGAAGAGGACGTTTAGGCGTGTAGTTGCATTTCCATTAAGCTAGAATTGTTGAAGGATATCTTCGACCTGTAATTCGGTTGGATAAGGTTCTAGGACATGGTCCATCACACATTTCCAACGAAGGCTGAGTCTGTCTCCGAATAACGATTTAGTGTACTCCCAGAATGCAGGCCGCCAGCCAGCCATCTCCCAATCGATAATTCCAGTGACATGCCCTGACGCCGGTTCAACAAGTATGTTTTCGTCGCTTAGATCCGCATGAGAGAAGGTGATTTTGTAATCGTTCGAGAGTTTTTGTCGATATAACGTCGCTAGTTCAGGCTTAGGGCATCTTAGGATTGGAGCCACGAGAAAGTCATTGAACTCCGATACTGAGCCGAAAGGACCGCATGGCATACCATTGTTCAGGCGATGATCAAGTACTTCCCCACCCATACAAGATCCGATATAACCAGGGTTTGGTGCTTGAAGTGCACGTAGTTGTCGAATGTAATCGCGAATCTCGTTTTGAGCCGTTGTCTTTGCATCTTCGCCCATGCTGTCCCATGCCGTAGATAAAGGTTCCCCTTCGATGGCATGCATAGTAAACCAACCGCGAGATCCTTGGATGTGGCTTTCGACGACTGTAGGCACTGGAATGGCTGTATGGCGTCGGACAAAGAATATTGCGTCCACCTCTCTTTGTATGTCATGGCTCCTTCCAGATTTAATGTAAAGGTGCTTGTTCTTCCTCCGAGTGCGTGGAGGAAACAACGTCATGCGCCTCGGCAACTCCATGGATTGATGCGTACACGAAGCTATGGGAGAGGATCTCTGAGGCGTCTGGACAAACTTGTTTGAGAGGTGTGATCTGGTGAATGCGCGACCAATAGAACTACGCCTTCCGGATCCGTCGTTTTCCTAGAACCTGAGTCGCTTGGCATTTTTCAATTTCACGCGTGTGTTCTAACACCCTAATTAGATAGTTATTTTACCTCTTTACCTCTATATAAGGGTCTATATATAATAATATCTATAGAGACTTATCGAGTAGAGTAAGGCGATTAATCCTATATACTTTTTAAGCTCTATACTCTCTAATTTACTCTATAATAAGAGGGTCTAGTTTCTTAGAGAAGAGGACGAAGGTAGTTTTTCTAGAACCTAATACGGTTTTCATACGGCCCTCTTCTAAGAACTTTTTAAGATCCTTCTTTATCTCTTTAAAAGAACTTTATAAGAATAAAATAAACTTATAGAGGAATAGAGGTATATCTAATTAATTATTATATCTACTTTTTAAAGCTCTTAAATACTTAGAATAGCTATAAAAGTAGAAAGAGCTCTAGGTATAAAGATTAGGGAGAGAACACGCGCGTGCTAGTGCTAGTGACTTAGGTTCTAGGAAAACGACGGATAAAATGTTCGTCCGTTATACGTAAAATCGAGAGCAAGAATGGAATGCAGAGAATTCGCTTTGAACACAACATAGATAATATAATAGTATATGTAGACAGTTCGCTATTTAGTCTGATCTACTAACAAAAACGATCTAGATAAATCCAGCTATATAGACACTTGAAGGAAATCTACATAATATTAATTCAAGTCAAAGACTTACTAGTAACTTGATCTAATAGAAAGGCTTAATCCCATGTAATGAAACCCTTTCAAAAAAATTACATTTCAGATATATATTTACTGGTCAACTACAAATACAGTCTCAATCCCCCTGGGTTGTATACAATCATATCCGCCGACCTCTAGAGGAGCTCCATAGATAACTATAAGTTGCCTCCTATAGACTCACAGGCGCTAGCCGCAGCCATTGACAAGAACTTGCGCACAATGCGAGATGCTTCCAGCGCTCATCAGTACCGCCGACCGTCTCACCGCTGACTGTTAGCCTCCCACCCACGAGGCTACACAAATGCTGTTCCAGCCTACCCAAGGTCTCGACTGGTCTCGCACGATGGTATCCAGCATCTAGGAATGCCTTCTCATAGTCCTCATCTCGAAAAGTGGAATGGTCGTACAGATACCTCAGCCAGGGTACAGACTTCAGACCGCCTGTAGCGTTTACAGATCGACCAGGGACAAGTGCGTACGAGTTCCGCCATTCGGTGTAGAGGAGGTGATCGGAAAAACCGTTTTTGAACGTCTGCTGGAAGGCGACAGATTCAGTGAAAGGGAGTTCAGTGAGTCGAGACTCAAGAAACTTCGCTGTGCTGGGTCAGTCTCATGGTCCGGGTGCAACCTCAAAAGTCCTATACAAACCAAACTGGAAGTCGTAGTTTATCAGTCGGATGTCGCAAAATATAGCATGGAACAGAGCGGGATGGGGGTCATAGTCGTTGAGCAGGCCATCAATGTCGATAACTTTACTGAGGCCTTCGAGATTCCTCAAGATGTACTTCCACAGGGAGACGTCCCTGTGGTCGAATTCGTCCCCATCGAACATGCAAAGCTCTTGGAGAGCGGAGTGCCACTCTTGTGAAAGGCCGATCTGTGCCATATCTTTAATATCCTTCCATGGCTTGGCCATACCTGGCAGTGCTGCGATGGCTCTTCGGGCAGTGCGATAGGATAATCAAACGAGCTTCCTCAAGTGGCGAGTGCAGATCAAACGGTATATAAGATTAGTCTCTAAATCAAGCCGGTAGTGCTTTGTATAGACCGTGTTTGGTTACAGTAGAGCTGTTCTTCGGGCACGTTAGAGCCACACGACCCAAGATTTTCGGCGTCGCCGTCACTGCCACATATGTCATCTTTTGGCTTAGGATAGGGTCAACAGAGCTGGCTTTCAAGCTTGATGAGACTCTGAAGTTCCCTTACAAATGGTCTTGACCGAACGAGGCGGTGACAGCTGAGACCCAATTCAGGGTGAAGCATTTCCAATTGTGCATCGATGATATGTTAGTGGACTAAGCGTTGAGAACACAGCCAGCCACGCCAGATTGTATGGCATACAGAGCGTGTCCAGACGATACTGCGGTGAATTAAACCGCCTTTGTTCAAACCGGACTGTATCCATGTCTATCTGCGCAGGAGATCCGTACACTCGAAGAGTATGGGAACGCTCCTGGACTGGCTACAAGCAGATTGCGCGACTGAGTAATGCTGCATATCGAGCTGAAAAAAGCTTTGCGAAGCGCATTTAACGTGAGCTGAAACTAAGTTGGGAATAAATGACGGAGGTGGACTGGTTCTAGTTGGTGGAGTTGCGCTAGGTAGGCTTTGTTGATGCCTCAGGCATGATTAACAAGTCCGAGCTTTCTGTACTTATGTTTCATCTCCAGCATTAGCACACACACACCCCCGACGTACTAACCTAGACACACCAGCTACACATCAGCTCTCCAAGTTCTTGACGAAGCCGTCTCTAATTATAGAGATAATAATCTGTTCGTCGTTCAGCTTCGATCTAAGCAGCGAGCTCGCTCATCATGTCTTCGTATCTTTCTAATCTGCTCACGAACACTACGTCCCGATACAACTCTCTTCGCCGGACGTTACTTGAGAGCGAAGCTGACGGCGATACCGAAGATGACACACATATCTGCCGAGTACTTCGAGCATACTACCTTGAGAAAGGAAAGCCATTTCCTCAGTGGCTGCCACCAGACCCAAAAGCACCCCAAGCAATGCCTACACAATTCGTTACATCAGGCCGCACGCAAGCTGCAGCTGGTGGAAGAGGTGGGGGTCTCAGTGATCTTTGGGATGGACCACAGCAATCTCAACCTCCGCAAGAGCAAGCATCTCTCCGGAGAGGAGCTGCCACTCGCGGTGGGGCGGCAGGTCGAACGTTACAACCGCCAGGACGGCCTTCGATGGTAGACTCGTATTCCGAGCAACGGCCCCTGCCTAGTCAAAGAGCAGGAAGTTACCAAAGCCAAATGTCCCAGAATCGCGCAGATATGAATGCCTCACCAGCCCCAAGCGGCGGGGGTTCCGCCCAAGAAAGACTAAAGGCAAGACTCTGGGGTTCCGGTAGGTCTACCAGCCCAGCACCAAGCACAGCATCCAGCCAAAGCTCTGCGTCGAATCCTAGCTTCAGTCAGGCGGGTGCACAGGTCGCATTTGATCGTGGTAACAGCTACTCTTCTGCACAGTCGGATCGGAACAACAGCTACGGTTCAGCCAGTGGAGGCGGGCGAAGCGGTGGTGGGAATCCATACGTCTCTGCGAACTCTCCCTGGGCTGGAGGTGACGACAACTATGGTGGAGGTGCCTACGACAACAGCGGACGTTCATATGGTGCTCCACAAAGACCTCCAGGTAATGGCAGGAGTGGGCTGCCAAGCGGACCCCGAATGCGATGAGCACGACTGTGTGCCGACTTGCTACCTGCGTCTCATGGGCTACAATATGAGACTTCTTACGTTTATATATGCATATGATTTGCTGCTGAGGGATGGTGTTTGGGTCATGATATCCTCTTCTAGGTACTGGACGACTGTAAGGCGTTGAAGGCAAGTGATTAAACTCCGACTTGAATGGTCATAATGCTGAAGATTCAATCGTGTGCACCTCATAGTGCTGCTGATACTGTTGGCAGTATTCTACCTTGGTTTGCCTAAGTGAAGCAACCTGCCATGCCTATACCATTCACGGTCAACGATGCGAAGATCTCATGGACGCGTACGCATGCTAATGCACTACACTTCATATCCGCATCCGTATTGGCCTTGATACCTGACACATCAGGCTCCACCATGCAAGCTTCCGCGCCTGCGCCATCGCTAAACCCCGCGTGTTCTGCCCGCGTCGTCATCTTTCCAAGACAGACAGACCTCCATGACCATGTTCCATGTTCCATGTTTGTGCATGTGGTCCTGTTCCTCTTTGTGATGTGACTCCAGACTTCCTATTACTTCCTATCCACTTTTCTACCAAACTCACATCGTCAGTTCAGATCTTAACCTTCGACCTTCGTGACTCCACCTCCCTACCTTAACAACCTGAGCAGGCTTCTCTGTGCTTGCCACACCCATCATGACTGCTCAACCCACCCCTCGTGGGCCGCCTTCTCCTACAGCGTCCTTTTACGATCTCAGCGACGATGAAGAGGGCGAGTACAATACCATAAGACACTCTAGCAGCGGTAAGGGTGTCAAGCTTCTATATACTAAAAGCAAAGTATGTATACTTGCTTTATACATTCGCGCTGTGTTGATCGCATGTTATAGGTCTACGTGCACCCAACACCTTCGGCCAAAGACAATATCCCAGGCTTCATTGCCCTAGTACAACAGAAAGCAGCAATCTCCAATGATGCCAGACCACCTTCATCGTCATCTGCCAAGCCCACCACGTCCTCCTCACTGCTTCTCGCCTGGATGCCCGAGTCATCCCTCGGCGATGCCTACGATACTTATGTCAAAGTTGACCTTTCTGACTCTGCCTCGCCTCCACGACAATCTTACCTTGTTCCTCCTCCCCCTACAACCACAGCCCATGGCCATGCCGTAGGTGCATACGCTTTTGCAGTTCCTGTCAGCGAAGTCTATTCGTTACTGATTCGACCACCGAGTATTGGGTGGTACTTTGGTAGTGTGGTTATAAATACAAGGGCTGGTGATAGTTTTCCGGCACTCTTCTTTCATGACAGTGAGTGCCAGTCAACAATCATGCAGCGGAAGAAGCTGGCAAAAGAGAGCTTTGACCCCTTTGGTGATGGCGGCGGGATGTTTTGGGGAGGAGACGAAGTGCTTCGGTGGCTTAAACGCTACGTTGCCGTAGAACGTTCCGCGGATCCGAGCACATTCCTGATCGCCCCTTCAGATGAGGACAAAGTATCGTTTGGGAGTAAGAGCCCAGCGATGAAGAAAAGAGAGCAGGAAGAAGCTAGTTCGTCCTCGGCACAGCAAAAGAGGGATGGAGGCATGGATGGTCTAACGAAGACGCTCAAGGAGGCGCGGTGGAACTTTTTGGAAAAGCTCAGCCAGGTCACTACTTTCACGCGGCGGACAGCAGAAGCGGTTGCAGAAAGTAAGAATATCCCGCCTCAAGTGCGGAGACTTCTCAAGAACCCGGAAGTGCAGACTCTGCAAGATGAGTTTGACAGTGCTAGAATCTATCTAGCGCGATGGGCCATGGGTATAGCCGAGCAGAGTGAAAGGGAGCGCACCCAAAGAATATGGACCGCGAAAGATGTGTTGGAGATGGAAGACAGTGAGGTGGGAGAATTTGAGATATTAGACGTAGAATCCAGTGCTGCAGCTGCCGAGAAGAGGAAGCCCGTTACCATGAAAGAGTGGAAAGGTTTTTTCGATTCGAAGGGCACACTACAGGTCACACCGGACGAGGTTAAGGAGCGCATATTTCATGGCGGACTGGATCTCAATGACGGAGTTCGAAAAGAGGCTTGGTTATTCATCCTCGGAGTCTACAATTGGGACAGCGACTCCGAAGAGCGTCAGGCCTATATGAATAGTCGAAGGGACGAATACATCAGGCTCAAAGGCGCCTGGTGGGAACGCATGATAGAGGGCCACAGCACACCAGAAGAGAACGAATATTGGAAGGATCAGAAGAATCGTATAGGTACGCAGCTTTTCACCGTGTAAAGTGTTGACCAAGGCTGACTATGTCCCATTCTTTGGGGTTCGCGCTGTAGAGAAAGATGTGCACCGAACAGATCGCCATATTCCCATATTCGAGGGCGAGGACATACCTCACCCTGACCCTGACTCGCCTTTTGCAGAGACTGGTACTAATGTTCATCTTGAACAAATGAAAGATATGCTCTTGACATATAACGAGTATAATAAAGACCTTGGCTACGTACAGGGTATGAGTGATCTGTTGGCCCCCATATATGCAGTGATGCAAGACGACGCGGTCGCTTTTTGGTGCTTTGTAAATTTCATGGAACGCATGGCAAGTGGTTAGATTCGGGTCCCGAAACGCATACTGATATTATCTAGGAACGCAACTTTCTCCGAGACCAGTCCGGTATGCGCAAGCAATTAATGACGCTCGATCACCTGGTTCAACTTGTTGATCCAAAGCTATACCTTCACCTAGAGAAGGCGGATTCGAACAACTTTTTCTTCTTCTTCAGAATGCTACTCGTCTGGTATAAACGTGAATTTGAATGGCTCGACGTACTACGGCTCTGGGAAGCGCTCTGGACAGACTACCTAAGCAGTAATTACCATCTCTTCGTTGCGGTCGCCATATTGGAAAAGCATCGTGATGTGATCATGCAACATCTCCAACATTTTGACGAGGTCCTGAAGTACAGTAAGTAAACTAATGAACGCTGTCTTGCTGGATGCGCTGATTTACCCCTCTAGTAAATGAGCTCTCTAATACCATGGATCTTCCAAGTACACTCGTACGAGCTGAGTCTCTTTTTCGACGGTTTCAACGCACCGTTGAGGCAGTCGATAAGAAGCATAGCTTCCCTAGTCCTTCTGTGCGACAGCGTAAGCCTGAGGCTTCTTCGACAAGCAATGTAGGCGCCTCTTCGGGGACATCTAGTGGAAGAACTCCAGCGAATGGGACCAAGCCCAGCACAGGTGCCGAGAAAGAAAGAGTGATAAGCCCGGAATTGAGAGGTCTGCTCAGCCGCAAGGTTGAAAAATTAAACAAGGAGGAGATACAAGCTCACGGAGGCGGAGTTGGACCTTAGTGAGATTATTGATTCAAGGCGTTGACACGAACTGGTGAATGTGGCGCATGGGAAGGAGACACAAGCAATTTCTTCTAGGCTACCAGGGACAAAATCCAGGTGATGTTCATTTATTTGCTCCTCCTGAGCCTAGTATTCAATCTGAACCTGCAAAATTACCGATGTCACAACGCCAAAAGATATCGTCGTTAGTCGGATAAAGCAGGTAGAAACCGGGTGGAGAATGCGATCTTGACTTATCAAACAAAATAGTTGACATCCCATTGACAGGCCAAGTGCCTGTACTGCGAAAGATCTCCACGTTCTGGCCACAACAAAGCTAGCCCTGGTGATTGGCTCCGAGCACGGAACCCGTATTAACAGTGACCTACTAGTCATCACACACTTTCACGCACTTTAGCCCTCACTCTCTGCCCTCGTTTCTCTTCACACACCGCAAATTTTCCACGACTATTCCCTGCTAGAAGACTTGCTTGCAGCTACCGAACATCGCACGACATGTATCAATCCCATCAAAGCTGGGATCATCCCGAACATCATCAAACATGGGGCTGGGGCAACAATGAGCGATACCCAAGTACTGAACAGTCGTGGTATCAGGACAACCCTAATTATCAGACTAGCACAACGTCTAAACACAGACGAGCAGGATGGTCTTCGATGCCATTTTCGACACTTCCTGGTCTCTATCGCGCTCTGAATTCAGACTTGATTCCTGAAACCGAGTACTCATCACTCCGCAACGCCTCAAGCGAAATCCTTTCCAAATGCACCGACAATGATAGTTCGGTACATGTCTACCATATCACGGGTAGTAAGGATGAGCTTTTGCTTGTCCATGCGGTTATACAGCGACTGCTCTCAGAAGAACAGAAGGAAAGTAGTCCGACGCTCGTTGTGGTCGCTGAAGATCTTAAGAATGCCAGCACAGATCCAGCCAGAGACGTACGCGACTTACTGAAACTCGCCACTGGCAAGGGTGAATTGAAGCTGTCAGAGTCGGTCTATAGCTATGAACAAGTCGTTTTAATCGTCAACAAGGCTGGTCGACCGCCATCGGGCCACCACCTCAAGAATCCGCAAAGTGAAGCATTTCAAACCTGGCGCTCTGCTCAGAAGACTGCTATGGATTCTGTCACCTCAGCGATACTGGGCATAAAGCAGACGACAGGCCGGGAGAAAGTAGTATGGCATGATGGAGCATACCTTCCAATGCTCATGTATATGCTCGAATGCGAATCACGATATTCTCAAGTCAAGTACACCGCTGTCACCATTAACGGCGTATATGAGCTCACCGACAAGCATGTCGCTCCGATCAATTCCACCGTCAGCGAACAAATCAACTTCATCACTGCCTCCGCAAAGAAGCTGAACTGTCCTATAGTTCTTATTCACAGCTCCGTTCTCGGTCTGAAGAATTTGAAATGGCTGTACCACATGCCAACGCTGTCATCTGTGTGGCCGATCCTTCTACCTGCCTCCTCCTGGAACGAAGACATAAAGCATATGTTGAACGGTATTACTACCTCCGTCTTTCGGCTACGTGCCAGTCTCTACGGCTACACTGGCTCGCGCGTCTCCGCCCTCGCCATGGCAGAACTCAACAAAGTCCGCGAAACAAGTAAGCAATGGGCCAAAGAAGTCCTACTACCTTCCTCCTACACCCCGGACGTCTGCGCCGGCGATGACGCACTCCGCAAGATGCACTTCACCAACAAGCTCTGTGACATGCCGCTCATGGAGAGCTGCACAAATCTCTTCACCCTGCTCGTCAGCGCGCGCGGCCCTCGCTCCGAGGTGCACGCCGTCAGGTGTGCGTTGTCCAACGACAACAAGGCGCTCGCCCTCAGCGCCAACGGGATCGTGTACATCCTGAAGCCCGGCAAGAACGGGCACAAGGCCCTCGAGGCCAGTTTCCTGCGGTACTGGGGGAACTTTCTGGCCGCGCGTGGCAGGCGTGGCGATGTTCCTTCGGTGCCGCGGGGGCTGGCGCTGGCGTGGCGGGACTTGGTTGGGGTGCTGGAGGGCCAGATCAAGGCCATGAAGAGTGATCAGAGGACGAGGCGGTGGAGCACCGACGACAAGAAGGCGGTGGAGGAGGCGTTGGGGGCGTTGAGGGAGGGGGGCATGACGAGGTTGTGCAAGCGGGCTCTGAGCTCGTAGAAGAGAGGGGGAAGGGGTGGGTGGAGGAGGCGGGTGAGAAAGTGTATAAATAGGAGATAGGAACAGAGACCTTGCCGTCCAAGGAACAAGGATTTATTTCATCAAGATGTCCGTCCAGAAGTGAGCTTTGCTGTGGATACCTCATATTCGTAGAGAAACTTCCCGCCATCCTGGATTGTGTCGTGACATAAAGCTTTAGTATTCATATGGATGATGACATGAAATAGTTTTAGGTTATTCATGGCGTTATAGAGTGCTTACGGTACCTGGACTACTAGTATTCTACGCTATCATAAAGCCTATTTTGTATATATCTGACTGACCTCCTCACCTATATGTCCTGACATGACATCAATAATATACATATCAAGCTTGATATATCGCAAATGTACCTACCTATAGAGGTACGTATACCATTGCCAAGTGCTTAATGAGTCGATTCACAATAATTAGGACCCTATATATATGTATTAACATGACTAAGTAGAAAACAAAACCTGGCATTTTAATGAAAATGCGATGCAGATGTGAAATATGGTTTGGGATAGACTACGGCCCTTTCTGTCAATTCATCCAGATATGTAAAGATAATAATCCAACGAGGGCGTCAAATCTGTCACTACGCTTTACAAATTTAATGGAAAGGCTCAAGATGCTTTCTCCGAGCGTAGATAGGGACCGTGATCTACCATTCCAGCTTAACTAGATCGATTTTACAGATACCAATTTGCGTATTACCGAATTCACTCCTGGTACTTTTTGAATCAAGGTCGTTAGGCAATTCGACGTATATATTCTTTCAGAGGATAAGATACTACTTATTTAATTTTTACTATTCGTGTGGCAATCCAGCATCAATATAGCTCAAGAAACACCCCTACGATGTTAGATTCAGAAGCTGCTCATCGCTAGCAAAGATCCACATAGTAATGAATGTGGTTGCCCTAGCAGCTGGATATGTTATGCTTTGGTGGGTTCGTGTGGTTAAAGCGGCATTAGCAGTTTTACTTGCGTGTTTGGCAACATTATATAATGCTAGCGGCTTGAACTACGTTCTCTTACAGGCTCTCCTAAGCCTCCTCGGTTCTAATAGCTATCTATCGGGTTTTGCGGGCTCACTCCTGGCCAAGTGCCCTTTTTCTCCATCGGTCGTCCTCCTTCACTAAGCGAATTGTATGGCCTTAGTAGTAGCTCCATGTGGTCAAGACCATGCTCACCCCTGTCATACTTAGATTGTACGAAGACACACGCATCGTATTGCTTGAAGCAGTTCTTTCATGGCTGACCACCATTGCGCCTGACCTTCCCCTTGCCTTAACCTTTACATCTGATGAATGTCATTGAATGATATTCATATTAACCTGCTAGGACTCAGCATTCGCTACTGATCAAATGTTGCCCGACAGTAAAGAAGAATGAAGGCGATGCAAGGTAGCCGCTCTGAGATTGCTCGGGCGCTAAAAGGGTAGGTATAGAGTATCGAACAACTCAGAAGAGTATGCGTGACTTAGGCGATAGCGTTCGTCCATTGACTAGAGAGAGATGCAACACGGAAGTGCGAGTACGTCCCCTTAAAAACAGAACATGATGAGAACTGCGGTTTAGTGCTGCGATTTAGCGTGCCAAGGCCGCAAAACTGGAGACTGCCTGTTGTGGCCTCCAAGCTTGGTCAGCATAAATTCGTCAGCTGTTGACATTTAAACATCTGAATATGGTTACACAGATATATTTATGCCTGCGCACATAAGTCCTCAAGAACTATCGACTGGTTATTTACACTACTATTGATACAGAGGGTTTCTCAAAACGCAATGGCGAGCTCAAACAAACCACAAGCCTTTAATCCCAAAACCCTTGCAGCCCCACCACCATCCTACGACCAAGTATGCATAACACCCATCCTTCCAACCAGCAAACTTATCACAATCGCGGGTCAAATCGGACGACACCCGGAGCACGACTTCAAACATAATAAAAGCCTTCTGGACCAAGCCGCGCAGGCCTACGAAAATGTTGCTAATGCCCTGGCCGCTGCCGGGGCTACTCCTCGCGACATCACTTTTGTGCGGCATTACATCGTGCAGGATTCCGGCGATGCGGAGCTGAACAAGAAAGATGTCGTAAGTAGGGGATGGGCGCCACTCTGGATCGAGTTTATGGATTCGAAGGGTGAAGGCCATAGGCCGCCTGACACAGTTGTCGGTGTGGCTTCATTGGCAACGAAGGAGATCCTGTATGAGGTTGAGGTGGTGGCTGTGATACACAGTTGAGAGGCGTTATAGTTTATTGCATATATGGAGGATGAGTCTTTGTTCTCATGCTCTCTCTGGCTATTTACTCAACACAAACCGTCTGTCTTGGAGTAACATGGTGACAGATATATAAACCGACTGATTGAGCCATACGAAGTCGTTCGAGTATCTAGGGGGCTCTAACAAGAAAACTTCCCATTACATGGCTTCACAAGTCTCTCTGTCCGGTATAGCATTCATAGCGAATTCGTTGCAAGGATTCCAGCAATCCGCAATGCCTTTACAGATCTGTGTAGACCAGCGTGCTGTATCTGTTACATTTGATGAGTACCATTATTTTAGTCGATATTCATACTCACCGACGATGATCTTATCAAGGTCGCCACACGTCATGGCACACGGGATTCCACAGAGAAGCCATGGCTCCATAATATGGTCGCGATCCAGGCAGAAATCTTCTCGTGTGATCTTGCGGAGATCGAATGTCTTGGGCTTAGGACGGTCTCGCCAGAAGCAATTGCGCTTCAAGATGCGTTAGTAATGAAGTAATACTGTTGTGAGAAGTGTCTACCGCGAGGAACACGTACCGCACATTGATTATCGAGTCTATAGACCAGTCCTAAAATCTTGTGATCAAGCCAGCCACGGTCGAGAGTCTGACTGGAGTCTCCGCTGGCAGTCTCATTGGAGCTCTCGCTGACCGTCTGATTGGAGCTCAAGAATATTGCGTGAGCAGAGACAGACAGCAGGCCAACGTATAGGGTCAAGACTCGCATCGTGCGTTTTGGTCTGGATTATGAAGAGGCGTGAAGAGTGAGTAGCCTATTCTAACGAACTCCGAGATGAGAACGATTTGACCCCAGACGAATAAAGCTGTCGAGTATTTATATCTCTGGGGATTTGCTGATGCGTGCTTAGCAGGCATCATGGTACCGATCGAGACCCTGAACCATGGATACCACATCCGTGATCCGGGGTAAGACGTTCAGAGCGCAATATTGTATCTATTCTATGTAGCGACACAGATGCGTCTATGTGGCGACATTGTTGACTATGTCGACCACATTGTCCCTAGAGGTTGATTCACCAAGCTAATGATAGTGAATGGACCAAAGACAATGAATGATCGATGATTACCCCGGTATCAAACTATGTAAACAATACAAGTACATACTGTTACTTAAAGATGTCTTCTCTATCCATTGACTATCACTCATACTAGTAACAGGTCAACCCATGGTTCTATCATCCCCTTCACCTCCACCGCGCTTGATCCCCTACTAACAAGTCAACTATGGTCCTCTCCCATAATTCACCACGCTATCTATTATCACACCCATGGAACCAGGCCATCAAGTAGGAAAATATTTTTTCACAAGGTTTCAGAGCTCAGAGCCTCCCACAATAAAGACGGAGCATATCGCCTGCACTCTCGAGCATCCTCCTTATACCACACGCACACACAAACACACACAAGATGTTCTCCTTCCTCGTGGCACAGCCCGCACGCACTTTCCAACAAAGGCTTACCGAGCGCTTCGAAGGCCACTACCATATTGTCCCAAACCCCCCTAGGTACACCAGCCCTCCAAACATCCGGTCAACATTCACACACGGCACCGATCTTCACAAAAGATGGAAGTCCATCAAGGACCACCAATACGGCCTCAAAACACGCTATACCGCCGAGCCCTTCGACAAGAACGACATCAGGAACCCGCCGCAAGAGCAGTACATTGCCGCCCTGAACGAGCTTCACGCCAGCGCCGTCGAGGGACTGCAACAATTCACCGCGAAATCAGATCGTCTAGCCCTGCAACTCACGCCCCTGAACGGCAAGGCGAACTGCAGGGGCTGGCAGAGAATGTACGATCCAATCGTTGAGTCATCATCCTGCGAGCGAATCCTGGACCGTCTGCAGGCGCTGGGCAGCGGCTATGATATATACAGCTGTCGGGGCAGACTGCCGCCTGGCCGCTCTGTGTACAGAGTCACGGCGTACATGCATCTGTTGTGTATTTCTGCGGCCGTGGCGTTATGTAAGTTGTGTCTTTACACGTATCGTAGTAGTAAGTTTGTTAACAGTACTACAGTGAATGACGAGAATTTCCTCGACGGCGACAATCGAAATGGCAGCGACTTCTCGACAGTGGGGAGCTGGCTGCTGCAACCGACATCGAAGCCACAGCTGAAGAAGGGCTTGGAGCTGTTTTCTGTATTTTGTGCCTCGAGGAATTTTGATGGATTGTGTCCGTTTTTTATGTTATACGGAGTTCCGTTTGGCGCTCATAAACAGCTCGCGATGTTGGTCGGTGAATTGGATAAGCATTTGAAGCACTTGACGGTTCTGATGGATCACGATGATAGATAGCATATGGAGCATATAAGAATAATTATGTATATGTAATCTTGAATCGATTTTTTTTCGTACTCACTTGAACATTGATGGAACCTGTCTTATATTCAGGGGCGGTTTGCGCCAACCCGTATCTCAAAACTCCTACTGTGCTCGCTGTAAAACATGTTCAAGATGGATATGCTCCGAAGAGTGTCAAGACAAGGTCAACTATAAAATTTAGACCTTCGCTTCGCATGTCACCTAAGATTCGCAAAATCATCATCGCTGTCATCCAGCTCATCGCTATCCCAAGCATCCTCCTCGTCATTCAGTGCCATCTCGATGAAGCGCTCAATCCCAGCCCTTCGCGGCGGAATAATTCGAAAATTCATACCCGGCAGCTCTCGAATCGGTACTGGACCGCGCGCCCGGTCTGGAACGCGAACAGCAGGTTCGTCCTGCTGTCTGAGATGGAGTTCATTCAGGGCTTCAGCGAACAACTCAGCTTCCTGCCTGGCTCGCCCATGCTCCGGAATAACCACATTCTCATTCTGATCAACAAGTGCCTCCGCCTCCGCATGAAGATCTGCCTGCAACACCTCCAGGGCCGCAATCTCCGCCGCCCTCGGGCCATCAAAATGTGCGCCCTGCCCATTATCTCCCTCCTCCAGCTCCCACAACCGCTGGAAGCATGACGTACCCGGATTGTTGAAATGCTGATACGGATTCGCGGAGTCGAGCCACGCGGAGCACAAGTAGCAGAAATGCGAGCGGCACTGGAAACACGTCATGTGATTGCAGCCGTGTGTTTTCTGTACAGGAGAGTTGCAGGTCGGACATGGAGAAGTATTGGCACGTATATAGTTATATGAAGCCTGTTCATCTTCAGAGAGCTCAGCAGCAGTGCGTGGCCAGCAGCGCACAAAGTCACCGTGCCAACCCGCAAGGCAGACGCGACAGAATGCAAATTCGCAGTCTTCGCAAATAGCGAGACGGTCGATCTTATTTGGGTCGTGAGGTGGGATGTCAGGTAGTGCTTGTATTTCATCTTCAGGTTCGGAGTCTGAGTCAGCGTAGTTGTCGAAAGAGGTGATCTTGGGGTATTTTGTTGAGCGGGCTGGGCCTTGACACCATTTGCGGGGACAGTAAATGGTTGTCTTGTCGGCCTCGATTTTCTTCTTGCGTTTGAGATTAACGTAGCGTTTCACGAGGGCGTTGTCCAAGGGAATCTGCAGGAGTTCGCTTGGTCCCAGAGTCCGCTGCTTTCGTTTCTTGGACGTAAGTTTAGGGTCTTTGCCACAGCTGGGATCCATACACTTGACGCTCACGACGTCTCCTTCGTTGATACAGCTTGTATAGAAATCTCGCAAGCAGGACACACAGAACACATGCCCACAACGAGCCATTTTATAGCACGAAGACCCTCTCTTCGGCTCGAGACATACTCCACAATCGTATGTGCTTTGCTCGAACTTCCGCCTCTTTGCTAGCTTGTCATAATCCAGGAGCATGAGCCGCATTGACCCAGGTAGTTCCATCGCAAGGTCTCCCGAGGCGAGATCAAACGCACGTTCGGCCGCCTGCTGTAGGAAGTCGATGTACCCGAACACAACCTGACTATGCCCATACTCGTCCCAAAGTTTCTCTCCTTCTTGCTGTAATGCATTTAGAGTAGCTTGTGGGACCCACGGCACAGTAGCATGCAGAATGAACTCTGGAGGTACGGACTCCGGATACCCATGCGGAAGGGCGATGTCGAGCCGAACAGCGGGAAGGAAGCATAAATCATGAGTCTGCAGCTCGCTTCTTGAAGATTCCTTTCCTGACCTAGCATGTCCGTCGTCTTCTGAGGAGGGTGGTGTAGGAAAAACAGGCGGTTTCTCACCGTCTGTTGATGCGGGGAAGCATACTCGCAGTGGCGACGCAAGTTCTACTGGTATTTCGAGGCGCGCGCGAAATGGTTCTTTGTCGTCCAGTTCCAGTTCTGGAAATATGGCGGCAATCGAGGAGAGTTCTTCTTCGCGCTCCTCGAGCGCGTTGTCATCTTCCATATCGCATCGGAGGTGTAGACGGCGGACCGAGCTTGAGGATGGAGGTAATGTTAGGTAGCGGGAAAGGGTCACACTCGTTCCCACAGATCATGGGTCACGCAGGTCTTATGTACGAATAGAGGGAGGTAGTAAACTTCGAGCTCGGTGGCAAGTTTCGATCAAGACTGGTGTTGTATGTGACTGTGTCTTGCTCGTTGGTCTAATGCGTTCATCGGCAACGAGTCATGCTTTATGCGTTAAGCGAGTCATAAGTGGTTGATGCCTGAGGCATAGAATGCCCATGGATTTAGACTAGTAACGAACGTCGTACGTTGTATAACACGCTGCACGGCATCCAGCCCAATTACCATTTAGGGGACGCATAGAACACCCACCGTCATGGAGGAACCGGCACTGGCTTCTCTCTCTTTAACTCATGTCAGCTATGTAAGTGCCAATCTCGTAGTCACCGTTCGGCAATTAATACATCCAGAACCCCGCCGACTGGTACTCGTACATGTGCGCATGGCTCGCACTCACCCCTCAAGCACTATGCGTGGCATATGCCATTTTAATCTGGTCTACACGCGAAGTCGAAGTAATTAGCATGTTCATCGGACAAATGGCCTGCGAAGGTCTGAACTGGGGCCTAAAGAGATGGATCAAGGAAGAGCGACCACAGCGTGCGTCCGAGTGTTTCCGCTTGCCCAAACGCCCAAAGAATTCTCCACTGATAAGCTCCTATACAGAAATGAATGGCAAAGGCTATGGCATGCCATCGTCGCACGCCCAATTCGTGGCATTCTTTTCCGTCTCCCTATCGCTATTCCTCATGGCCCGGCATACCCCCCACCCAACTCGCACACATACACCGACATCCCTATTCGAGCGCGGGATGCTGTCGTTGACGTCCATTATGTGTGCTCTAGCTGTAGCATATAGCCGGGTGTATCTCAATTACCATACTGAAAAGCAGGTTTTGGTTGGATGTGGAGCCGGCACCGCTTTCGCCCTGGTATGGTTCGCCATGACCTCGTTCGTGCGATCGGAAGGATACATTTGGCGGATGCTGAACCATCCAGCGGCTGAGGCACTCAGGATCAGAGATCTAGTCATTGAAGAAGACCTTCCAGACTCTGGGTGGGCGCGTTGGGTAGAGCTCAAGAAGAAGCGGAATGGTTTGAGTGGAAAGAAATCAAAATAAATGTGATAATCACAGAATATATCAACAGGTACGGTTCAAAGACAGCCAGACAACCACCTATTATACGTCATATTCCTTGTCACATTAAATGCATAGCAGCTAATGGTCATAAATTCCGAAGTGCACTGTGGGTATCTGGGGCATGATACACCTGATGCCAGTATTTATCACAAAGACACGAATAGTTGAATCTGATTGGAAATTATTGAATTCAGGGAGCCTCTTGGTCTAGCCCGGCTCCTTCTGCAGCCTCCGTCCAAGTAGTGTATTCACAGTTCCACCTTCCGAGATCTGGGAGCTCGCTAATTGATCGAAAGGATCTTCTCGGACTTGAGCAGGGGTCAAAATTGCACCCCTTACTTGATCTGCACCAGCTTTATCCTCAGGAGGCACAGGCAGTAGAGGATCCGTGGAAAAGACGATAAGCAGTTTATCAACAACACCCCGCACGCTGTCCATATTTGGTGCAAGCTGTTCTGTACCGATAGTCCGTCGCTATTATGTGAAGTCAGTCGAATATGAAACCCGGTAGAATGTCGTTTGGCACAGTGCTTTGGATGACCGGGAGACGACAAGACTTACGAATGCAAAAGTGGTTCCTTTGAAAGCTTGATGATACACAAGTTTATATTCTTCATCACTCGCCGCGTCCTTGGCCTCTTGCTCGGTCTCAGTAATCGTTCCCTGCGCTATGACAGAGCCTGCTCTTGGTCTCTTCGTCTTTCGGCGCTGCTGAAAACCATACATGCGCATCGCAGCAAGGACAACCCTAGAAATCAGCTCGCGATTTTTCTCTTCAATGGCGGACTGCTCAGTAGAAATAATGCTCGTGACTCGCGATAACGAGGAATGCTTTTGTGGTCCTTCCGCTATACCTCGCCGGCTTGATGGTCGTGAGTCCGGTGCAAGGGTTGGTGATCTGGTGCGGAAGATGTCGCTAGTCACTGGTGTCCCACCGGCGCTGACAGGTCTTGTATCTAACGAGGCTTTTCGCTTGTGTGATATAGAGACGTCATGCCGTGAGGCAGCAGCAGCAATACTAACACCGCCTTTCTTTTTAGCTTGCCGGCGTTGTTCAGTGGCTTGATCGAATACATTGTCAACGACCTTGCGCTTCTTCAACTCTTCAGCTCGTTGCAAAGCTGTCGGGCGTGGAGGAAGGAAGCAAGAATCAGCTTCTGCGTCTTGCCCGGCCTGATCCGTGTGATCTAGGGTGAAGATTTGATCTGATGATAGAGGTAGGGCTTTTACGACCAGTCTTGCGACGGGACTGGAGATGTCGCCATTTGGCAAAGAATCCGCCGGGCCACTTTCGCTATAGAACAAAATTTCAGTGATATGTGCTGCTGCCGAGTGTTGTTGATCAGACTGGGTATGTTCCACGTGCGCGAGAATGCCAACTGGACTTTGCCCAATGAGTGATTTCCACCAAGGAGTATCATGTTCTTGGTTAGTATATTGAGCAGTGTTGACTAGCAAGGAGGCGAACCAATCCTCCGTTTCTATACATGATGTTGAAACACTAAAGGGTGATCCGGCAGCCAAGTACAGCGGAATTTGAGAGACGTCGACCACGGACAAGAAACTCAAGGCCGCTGAGGGCGGGAATGGCGCGTGAGGAGATGCAAGAACAATATCTCTGACCAAACGCCCAGAGGATAGAGTAAGATTTCCAGTCCAGACATGCTGGTGATTCATAGCCAAGATGAGTATGAGCGTCGCAATATGAAAGAAGAGGGCCGTCGACCAAATTGAAGACAAAGACGTGTATGACCGCGCCTGTGCGTAGCCTGCAGCACGCGAACCACACCCGACGAACCGGAGCTTACAACCCTCCGCATGTCTTTCATAATTACCACCCAACCAACTCTTTATGATCAAGATCGCGTCCATCTCTCTTGCACCAGGCCACCTCGTATCATCCGACGACATAGATGCCAATTAGGACTTAGATCCCGTGCCTGAAGAAGCACATGAAGACCTTGTACCTGACCCAGCTGAAAGCGCCACCAACTTTGTCTCGTATCTTCCGCGTAGTGCTGCCCTTAGTAGGCTTCGACTCTTCATTTTCGTCTTCATTTTGTTCTTCAGGAATGCTTCGTGCGTAAAAGGACTGGGGTCTCGAACTGGTGCCCCGAGACCGGATGCTGCATGTGCCTATGTTCTTATATGCTTTGTTCGAAGGTACAGACTGTTCTGACTCGGAGTCTGGTAGTGGCCCTCGTGATGACATTTGGAGACCTTCAGAGTGGTTAGATATACCCTGAAGATATAGATTGGTACGATGGATCCTGACGTTCTATAACTTCAGAATCGCCTTCCACTTCAGATTGGCAACAGAGCGGAACCTGGATTGATCAATGGGAATGTCTTTAGTGTACAGTGCGGGCTGCACAGAGCGTCTGTCGAACAATTATGCGACGTGAATAGCGAGCAGACAGATCCAACAGCTAATGAAATGCCCAGTATGGGTGCCCAGACGAGCCTTGTAGCAGTGATGATGACAGAGAGTAGGAGCATACGTGGTTCTCGAAATAGAGCGCGAATAACAATGAATGGCCGATGATTGTGAGGATGACCTGTAGGATCAAGGTCGAAGTAGAATGAGGTTAAGAGTATAGAGCTATTAGAAGGGCTGATGTGTTGATTTATTTGTATGTTTGGATCGGTATTAGTGTCTCCTTCCGCGACATGTTTGGGCCTATACTTCCTGATATTGAATGATCGCGACTTCAGAAAATAATTTTTGAGTTGATGTCCGGACACCGAAGTCTCTCGAATGGAATGCAACTGAACTGGGAGCAGCATGAAGAACTACTTTGAGTAGATACTGAGTACATCGATGACAGTGTTGTAAACACAGCATAGGAAGAGGAAGTGTGATAAGTGGTCCTTTACCATGATAGCTTGATGCCTCAGGTGGATACTCGCAGCCACACACGTGACCAGTATGAATTAGCGTCAAATCAGGGATCAGGACGCGTTCCATCTTCGACATCCCTCGCATACAAAGAACTCGGATCATCAGGACCATCACGTCTATACCATTGAAGCTAGTATCTCGCACGGTGAACCAGCGCATTACGTATCTGAATGCGTGTGTGTTGTGATACACCGAGTAGCAGCATGTACAGCGAGGTCGACGTACCCACCCCGTCTATCACAACCAGCAACAATGTTGCGAATTATAAAATCATTCGGACGCCATCAGGAAGACAGTCATGAGGGTGTATTGGTTCCTCTCGAACAAGTCCAAAGATATGCCAGTGTCCCGGGCGACGACGAGAATGATATCGCCGACCCACGTCATACCGGTGCTGGTCAGCTGAAAGTAGCTGGGGACGACGATAATGACAACGACAATGCTCCTTTATTAGTGACAGACGGCGGTGAGAGCCTTGCACGTCTTCGCGCTGAGATTGAAGCAGACATGACTACGTCCGACTCGCAGACGACATACGACCTTAAATCGAAAGTGTTCAATAAGGCAATCCAGGACATTGGTATGGGCCGGTATCAATGGGAGTTGTTCGCATTATGCGGGATGGGGTGGTTTGCAGACAACCTATGGATGGGAGGCTTGTCCCTTGTCCTACCGCGTATGTCGATTGAGTTTGGGATCGATGAAAACAAGGTCCGGTACACGACAATGTTCACGTTTATTGGCCTGTCGATTGGATCCTCGTTCTGGGGCATAGCTTCGGACATAATTGGCAGACGGCCTGCCTTCAATGCGACATTACTTCTCTGTGGAGCCTTTGGATTCGCTACTGGCTTTGGACCGTCTTGGATTGCTACGTCTATGCTGTTTTTGTGCATGGGTCTTGGAGTGGGCGGTAATCTTCCGGTAGACGGCGCATTATTTCTGGAGTTTTTGCCTTTTGACTCAGGTCACTTGTTGACACTGCTTTCTGTGTGGTGGCCTGTAGGACAATTAGCTGCTTCACTGCGTAAGTCCTCAATCAACACCTCATTCCCTGATTGCTCATCATTCTAGTCGCCTGGGCCATAATCCCTACGAGGTCTTGCGATCTCCAACTCCAGGCCTGCTTTCTGGTTAACGGCATCCAGCCCTGCTGCAGCACATCCGACAACATGGGCTGGCGGTACTTCATCTTCTCTTTGGGCATTTTGACACTCTTCATGTTCGTCTGTCGCTACTTCCTCTTCACTCTCTATGAGTCACCCAAGTTCTTACTCTCCCACAACCGCCAAGCCGAAGCCGTGTCCGTTATCCACGCCATAGCATACCACAATAAGTCACAGACATGGCTGACAGAAGATATTCTCAACGCCATTGGCGGCCATCCAGAATCAGCCTCCAACTCTGGCCCCAGCGCAAAGGAGATAGGCATGCGTAAAATGCAAGCCTTCTCCCTTCGTCTCGTCCGTCCACTATTCAAAGACTCAAAATTAGCTCTATCAACATCCTTAATCTGGTTCATATGGGCAGCGTAAGTCCACTCTCGGCCCAATCGGTCACCGGAATCTCACTAACAACTCTAGCATCGGCATGGGCTACCCCCTCTTCAACGCCTTCCTGCCCCAATACCTCCAACACATCGGTGACACAGACCCTGATGACGCACCCGTCTCAACAAATACGGTCTATGCCGACTTCGCGATTACATCGATCGTTGGCCTCCCTGGCGCCCTCCTCGCCGGCTACGCCGTAGATCTGCGTTATCTGGGGCGACGCGGCACGCTAGCCATATCGACGCTGATTAGCGGTTTGACCATGTTTCTCTTCACGTATTCAACCAATCCAGGCTATCAAACCTTCTGCTCGTCGCTTGCCGCCTTCTTTCAAAATATCATGTATGGTGTGCTGTATGCCTACACACCCGAGGTGTTTCCAAGCCCAAATCGGGGCACGGGAACCGGGATTGCGAGTCTGTTGAATAGAATTGCGGGAATGTGCGCTCCGGTCGTGGCAGCGACGGTTGGTGCCATACATCCCGCCGCACCTATCATCGGGGCGGGCGTAGTGTATGTGGCAGCATTCGCAGCGATGTGTATTCTGCCGATTGAAACTAGAGGAAAACAGAGTCTGTAGGCTACCGAGTAAACAGAAGAAACATAATCACAGCACCTAATGGTAACCAAAAAGTTTTAAGCTACACAACTAAGGTCACGCGTACTCAATCAACAGCTCTGCCTTTGCCTTTATAATCATCAGCGGTAGCATAAAGATATGCTTCGTACCCTGCATCCACGAAGACGTCGGTCTCTGTCCTTGCCTCATCTTTGATAGGCTCAGATTTCACACTCGATCTCATGCCTGTACTTGATTCGTCTTTGATAGAATCTCCTTTGTCCGACTCTTCCTTCTCCCTTGACCGCCAACTGTCGATCTTATCTGACAATGACATGGACTCATATTTTATAGGCGGACTCGAATTCCCAAGGATTTCGTCCTCGGATTTTACATCTGGTAAGGAACCCATGTCCATCTGTGGACTCCAAGCGCCCAGGGCTCTCCTCTGCTCACCCTCCCATCTAAGGCGATTCAAGAAGTCGGAAGTCCTCACCATATTTCTTATTGGTCGAGGTGGCCTCTGGGCGAGAATAGCGCGAGTTTCATCATTGCGTGGAACATCTGGCCACTTGAAAAGCGTCGCTTTCTTTACAGGTGCAAGCGGGTCCTCGCTGCATGACTGAAGTACAAATATGACTTCTTGTACCCAGTACTCGAACTGATCAGAGCTAAACTTGAGGCTATCCATGAGAATGGTACGGTGTATCCTGATTAATCGATGTACTGCGCAGGCCAGGCGTGGATCACTCTTTTCATGATTAAACTGTGGGTAGCGTTTCGTGCGCCGGAACTCTTGAAAGACCAGCTCTGATATCACCTCCGGATGCTCTTTACTGTGTTTCCTAAGCTCTTTCAGCTCTTGCACAATGGCCGCCATCAAGTAGAAAGGAACACTGTCAGATCCGTCAGTCTCCAAGAACGCCGGGATGGGTAGTCCAGGATCAAGTTCTGTCACGCTGGAACGAAATTCTGAGTCTCCGGAACTCAGGTCTGTGGACAATAGCTGGGAAGAAGTGCGGTCCGCCTCCTCAGAATCGTGCCGATCTTCTTCTTTGGTGGTGAGGCTAGGCTGGAAGACAATGAAATCCATCTCTTCTGATTCGATGGCAACTCTTGACGGGGTGATATGGGTGTCAATATCTTCTGATTTGCTAGTGACCCCTGGTGGGATGATGCTAAAATCCATCTCTTCAGAACTATTACATCGTTCCTGCTTAATGCTGGGGGATGCTTGCGCCGGACCAATATCCTTGCCATTCGAATCGCGGATCTCATCTGATGTTGTGACAGTGAACTTTTGGACAAGGCGCAAACTTGGTGGACAGGGAGTAGAGTCAGCCCTCGTACGCGGACTAATGCCATGTTACCTCGACTTCTTAGTAATCTCGATAATAGATACTCACGAGCTGCTCGCCATGATAAAGGTCGGATTCAAATCTAAAGCACAGTGACTGGAGAATCTGACATAATGTAAGCAGTAAGTTTTTGCGCAAATGCACAAGGAACCAGTTGTACAAGACAAGCCTGGAATGTATAGCTTAATTCTGTGGTTTGATCAAATTGAGCGTTGAAAGCTGAACTCTCAAGCTCAGAGAACAGGTTTATGAATAGCGAATGTTGCTAAAGATGTGGAATTTTGCTTTGTAAACTAAGCAACGAAGACTTCTCGTAGATGGCGATAAATGGCGAGTTGAGATGCCGATGAATGCTAATGTGGTACACAATAAGACTTTGAACAAAGAAACTGTTAGATTTCTAGGTGAGTGCGTCCGCAATTAGCTGTTCGCCATACTGTTGTATGTCTCTTGCGTTATGAGACGTCTAGCTGCAGTCGCTCCTTCGCGATTTTTGGCAGCCCCCCGTATTCTACCTGGTATCAAACCAATCAGCCCAATTACCTTGGACTTGATAGGAGCTAGCTTAAGTGTCATTAAAAGTACGATGTATATATTACAAAGTGAACAGAGTAAGACACACATTTCCCCAATTTCAGTTTTATCGTTGCTCGACTACTTAGCTATACATTCGCGAGTACCCAAAATTACAGACAAGTATCATAAAGAAAAGCTGTTCTTAACCATATCCGTGATCAGCTGCCATATTCAGCGAAGATTCCCACTGCATCCAAGCGGAGGTCCGTGACGGCTGCTCCTCATTGCAATGCTTCCCGGACTCTACAAGGGTATGTGTCCACGCTGTTCTGGTGTCATAGTTGGCTCTTTAATCGATTTGCGACCCACTGTTCCCCTTTTAGATCCTCTACTTGAGTGTATCGGAATCTGGGTGCCGAAGGCATTCGAATTGCTTCTACGCCTCGACGACGGTACTGCCGAAGAGATCAATCCACTTCTACCACTGGATGGCGGTACGACAGAGGATTCTCCCCTTCCGGACGTCTGTCCGCCGCCATATGAACTTGGAACCATAGAGGACAATCCTCTACCAGACATCCGTCCGCCGCCGTGTGAGCTTGGGACGATAGAGGACAATTCCCTCCCAGATAACTGTCCGCCACCGTATGAGTCTGAGACCGTAGAGTACAATCCCCTTCTAGATACCTGTCTGCCCCCGTATGAGCTTGGGACGACAGAAGATACTCCTCGCGCACTGCGGACATTGTTGTTGATCGTACTGAGTCCGTCGGGTTGCGCTGAACCCCTGTGCCACATGCTTCCAAAATTTCGGCAGTCAGGGAATGGATCCGGCGCATAGGCCACTCGTACTCTCTGGGTGATACAGGGCGCTCCGAACGGTGTGGTTTCTAAGCAGAGATATCGCATTTTTCGAAATTCGGGAAGAAACCGGAGTAGGTGTCTTGTTGGTCTACAGAGAGCACAGCACTCGTCTGCCCTGATTAGGCTAATAGGAAGCCACTCTCCATTCAGGGTCAATCCATATGGAGGTGGGCCGGGGTAAGACACCATGCTATCGCCATAGGAGGACATCGGAACAACAGTCTCAGAGCCTGTGTTGTTTGGTGCAGAAGGTCCGCAATAGATCGGGCGTGCGCTCAGAGTGGCTGTAGGAGTTGATTTATTTGTAATGCTTTCAGATGTATAGGTAGGTTCGATCTAGTGATTGTTGGACGAAGGTTGTTGGAGATCAAGTTCGTAGGGGATGGATAGAGAGTGGACTGGCGATAGTTCTCAATTTATAGACGATGGAAGAATCACATGGAGTGTCGCTGGAGAAGACACTTTCACTTGGGTTTTTTCGTGAATGAAGGGTCACAGTCACCTGTGTGTGGTATGTTAACTTTTGCCTCCACTAAATTAGCATTATTTACAATTTGGCGGAATTTATGTCGATGTCGAAGGCCACTCGTATCACCAAACTCAGTCCAAAGATGTTGTAATCACAAGTGATCCATTTGAAAAGAAAATATCAAAACGCGATGAAAATTCTCATCTTTCACAGAGGTGACCTGTAGTGTAAAGATGTGGAAAGCGAAACCACAAGTTGCGAAAAGTAGAAAAAAAAAAAGACGAGACGACATGCCATGAACTTGTATTCCTAAAGTTCTGCTGACCAAGTCTTAGGAACCCATTCTATGGTTGTATCCTTCACAACCGAGTCTGACCTGTATTTTCAGGACTTAATAACATAATATATTATTGATTATAGATGGCACATCTTTGTTCGCTCGTGTGCTTTATAGTACACACCGCTTGCGCGCACAGCGACTGAAAGGCAAACTGTATGTGTTAGTCTGATTATTGTGTCAGACATATCTGATCCCATATGATAGTAATGGTTGGGTTGATTATGATCTTGGTAGTATTAAGAAGATGTACGTGCGTGCCATCAAAGGTGTTGACGGAATCGCGACTTCCCTTTATGCCCATGACACATACTTGAAAAATCGATTATCCTGCAGTCTATTATGGTCTTCGCACCATTTTCCTCCTTGACACGCCGTATCATCCACGTTCAGAATATCCCATGATCATCGCATCATAGTTACCATTAACATAACCTCCCCATCCTTGCATACAGCCTCATATATTCCTCAGCATATCGTACTGGAGCATGGTTATGTGCAGCAGAGGTGTACTCCTCAAGGTCGACGAACACCTGGAAGAATCCCTCCTCGCCCGCGCCGAAACAGAGCGCATGAACGATCCTACATTTCCGCATCTTGAATGCATGGACAACCACACATTCTTTATGAATTGTTCCGATGATAATGATTCACAGAGGCTGAGTCGGTGTGTTGAGACGCTGAAAAAGCAGTTGGGCGGAGCTGTCACAGTGTTTGATTGGGACTATGTGTCGGATGGAAGTGAAAAAGATGATGAAGAGATTGCGCGGACAGGGCAAACCCAGCCGACAAGACCATCCAATCATCCAGATATTGTGGACGACACAGCAAACAAAGGGCCTAAGATCATCCAATCGAATAGTCCTGTAGACTCGACGTACGACTCTGATGATGCGCATTTGGATATGTGCGAGGCCGACCTCTGGTTCGGATCACAACGCGGTGGAAGCTCGAAGAAACGAAAGCGAGTTTCTTCAGTTGCAGACACGGAACCCGAATATGATCTCGAAGTCCTATCCCCGAACCAAGTAGACTCTTGTTCGAAACACAAGCCAAAATGGGATGCAAAGTCGAGACTATCATCCAGACTCACTGCACATGAATGGGCTCTCGAGCAGCATGCCAATGTCATGACGGCTATGGCGGTGCCAGACAACTCGCAGAAGCAAAGGGCTTATTTGCAAAAAGGTGAGCGGCGATACGAGGACTTTGTCAAGACACTCGTTGACCCTCGTGCGGACGCTCAGCATCAGTTGGGTCTGTGTCCTTTGGACCATTATTTTGATCTTGGTACCGGTATGACTGTTGATGATGGAGTTTCATTCAGGATTGCGAAGGACAAGAACACAAGAAAATAGTGGGTTGAGCATGGTATTCGAGGCTATAGACTCGAGCGTATCATATGTTGTACATGAGTGGCACTAAAGGCTCAGAGACATAAGTTTTCATCATGCTACCGTCGTGTTTGTTCCACGTAAGCCTAGTAGTCCCATGAAAGATCCATGTCGATCCCAGACTGTCTCCTTCCATGCAAATCCTCTCCCCGACGTCCCCCAGCTCTCCTCTCCGTCTTCGGGTCCACACTCGGATACACACGCATCGTCTCCGGCGCCTGTGCAAACCGCACGCCTGAGTCCCTTCCTCCATACCCACCCGCAGGATCAATCACCGACGTGTGCGAAACATTCGGCTTCCAATGTGCTGGATTTGGATGCGGGACATGGGATTGACGACGATTCTGACGATGAGCATTCTGAAGCTGACGATAATTCTCTGCTTGTTGGCCCTGGAGACGCTGCTTTTCCCGATCGACCGACTGCTGGTTCTGCTGTGCGCGGATGCGAGCTTCGACTTCGGCGGCGAATGGGTTGGCTTGGTGCGGCTTGTGGCGGTCATAAGTGGTGCGCTGGCCTGAGTAGACATTGGCATTGGGTTGCTGCTGATGGGCGTGCTGCAAGTTGTCGTGTGACTGGGGATACTGACCAGTAGTACGTTGGCCGTACTCTGTGTGCATGGTGTTAGGGCCCTGAGCTGGTCCTGGGCCATGGTACTGCTGGCCGTACTTTGGTTGCAGGCTCTTGGGTTGGCTCTGGGGCTGGTCCATGGGTTGGTCCATGGGTACATCATCCATGGGCTGATTCATAGGCCGATTCATGAACTGTTTATTGTACTCTTGCTCTAAGTACTTGAAAAGAATCTCCGAATTGGGTCTACCAGTGGCCGGGACTCGCCTATACTTGTCCGGATGAGAAGTCGTTTGACGAGCTGGCGGGGGAAGCAATGGCGCCTGTACAATCGGAACGAGGCTGTAGAAGCGCGGAGGCTTATGGTATCGAGGCACTGCGGGTCCTAAAGTCATGCGAAGAGTCTTGAGGTCGGCTGTGATACACATGGAGTTTGTAACTGGGAAGTACTTGGAAACATCGTTCTTGAGCTGCAAAATGCTCTCGAGAGTCCTCTTGTCGGCTGCGAGGACGTATCTCAACGAGGAGCCGACGCCTTCGAGCCAATCGCAAAGCGAGATGATTCTTGAAGCTATTGTGTGGTCATTGGTTTTAGTGCCATACTGTACGAGCACTTTGAGCTGCTTGACGTCGAGGGCGAGGATTTCGTGACCGCTTCTTTGGGGAGACATGTCGATGTGTTGCTGGTTAGGCATTTGACTGTGAAGCTGACGGGACGTACGATCGTAACGCTGGAACGGTGCGTACATGATGACGAGGCCGAACTAGAATATATGTAACAGTAGAAAATAGGTGTTGCAAAGAGAAGTGTTGTGCGGAGCGAAGTTCAATGTAGTAGTGTTGTGCTTAGCTATAAGTACGCACGGCCGATTTTGCTCGTGACCACAGAATAAACAAACGGAATTCGGTTGATTCACGAGAAAAGAGAGCGAAAATACGATAGTGACTTGAAATGCATAATATGGCTAAATAAGTGAAATGTGCTGTGATTACTTCACAGGGGGTATCAAAAATAGATTTTGGGCTCCATATAGCCAGTCATGATGTTAACCTTATCATCAATACGATGGTGTGTTTTCAAGTCGGACTGAGCGGTGCTTTACTTTTCTTTCTGCTTGGTTTGGGTTTGGCTCCAGCTGTGCGGAGTTTGTCCAGAGCCGGAATCCCCCTTTTCGCTTGTAATATCTGCGTTTCTATCTGGCTTTTCGGTGTCTGCGTCGCCGTCATCGCTGTGCTTTCTTGCATTGCTTTAAGAGTCTCAGCCGCCTTCGCCTGAGCATCCTCTTGTTGTTTGATGTGTGCATTCGTCGACTTGAATACAAACGAACCAGGCTCGCCGTTCAAAGGATTCTTGTCCATGTACTCGGTGCCGTAGCGAATCGATGACATCAAAGCGTCGAAGAGTGACTGCTCGACGGCCCTCTGTGACGTTGGGGCCTGTGCTCCTTGTTTCATCACGGTTGGCTGCGAGAGAGCTTCGGGCCCTGGAGAGCCGGCTCGGCTTTGCACTGCAGAAGGCGCCCCTTGCTTCCTGGTCGTGACCGGCACGTAGGAGTGGCCGGCAGCCGGGGAGAATGAAGGTAAGGACGCCGCCGTAGTCATGAATTTATTCAATGCGAGTGTTGTCGCGAGCTAGCAATCCATCAGCAAGCCGTCAAAAGCATATCGTACGATCTGATCTCACAAATCTGTTCGCCAACACGTCGTAGACTGACGGCGCTTGTATGATCTGAATTCCCACTATGAGCCACTGACCCATGACCGTCACGTCATCAGGCTCGTTATGCGTCTTGCTCCTGTGCTGTTTTTGCATGATCCAGGTATCATTACTGCTGCCATTCGCCAATTGCTGCGGTTCCGATACAATTATGAACTCCAATCCCCCGGATGGCATGTCTTTTACGGCCTGCTCGAACAGCTTGCGGTCAGCCAGCAGATAGTTCTTAGTCGGGTCGACTTTGGCTTGGGTCTCAATGGCGCTATTGTTGGACATTCGGTCGAAGAAAGGCGACTCGTGGAAATAGAAGTGTACTGAAGCTTGTTAGAAGGGCTTTACGCATGAGCAATGGTGAGCGGGCTACTATTGTTTGGGTGGAGATTAAGCCAGAATGGGTCTCCTGACATGAAGAACTGAGGAGCTTCCCATACTATCTCATCCAGTGATTGTGCCATTGCTCGCTAGCGACCGCGGGTACTTGGCCGGTGTTAAGAGTTGTGGGCGGAGACTGTGTGAAACGATTGAGGAGGTCGAAGTCTACGCTGGGTCGCATTGCAGCTCTAGGCGACTGGGCCAAGTCTTGTGGGCACGTCGATCAGTGACAAATGGACTGGGACAATCAAGATTCAAGCTGCCAGAGATGAATAGTGAGGTTGGTGAAGATGCATCACGGCGAGACTTGCCCGGGACTTGGACCGAACGACAAGGACTAATAATATCCCACAAATGTGGACCGTCCGCGGGTCCCCTCAGGCTTATCCAATTCAGGAAGTAGTGTGCAGCCTCGGTTCAACACCCATGAAGAGTACATTAGGGTACGACCATGGATGGTGTCGATAAAAGTACAAAAAGCCACTATTACTCTCTCCCCCTCGTCTGATCTCTCATCTTATTTCTACTCCGCTCAGAACGACCGTTGTCGCACCAAAATTTCAAACCTCAAGACCAGCCTATCTCACTGATAATCCACCACTCCACCACCATGCCTACATACATCGCTATGCTAGGACCTGTCATCGGTCTCAATCTCTGGACCTTCGGCATGGAAGCATGGATGTACGCCCTTCGTCTGCCTGCCATAGGCAACTCCGGACTCAAATTCACGCCTGAGTCGACCAAAGAAGACTTGAAGAAACTTCCTCCTCGCGTCCAATGGCCTGCAGATAATTACAACCATCTCTTCGAACAGCCAACTCAATTCTACGCCGTTGCGCTTACTCTCGCTCTCCTTGGGAGAGACACTGGCGTCAGTGATCTCGATGTCAAGCTTGCGTGGACCTATGTTGGTGTCAGAATGGTACACAGCGTTGTCCAGTCTGTGGCCAACCCGATTCCGATCCGTTTCAGTTTGTTCGCGCTCTCTGGTGCTGTTCTAGCTGGACTGACCGCGAGGACGGCTTTGACAGTTTTCGACATCGCCTTCTAATTGTTCGGAGATTGGGTAAAAGTGGCTCGTAGCAGGGGTTGGGTTTCAAATACTAATGTCTGTAGAGCTCCTGAGATGGAAAGTTTCACAAGACGCATTGAAATGCAGTTATGTGGTTCAGACGGTTACAGCGATATGTCGGACCTCATACTCATAATAGGATGTCTGAAGCCGTATGAAACCACAATTCTACCTATTGTATAATCGAACTCCTATGCCCTGTCCGTGCAGTAATCCCACGTCTCGTTGATCACACGCTGGGTTATTCCTCCCCTCACCTCCCTCCGCTTCTCTCACCAACAGTCTGACTCCTATCTGAATCACTCTCACCCACCTCAACCCACTCATCACCCTCATCCGGACCCACAAACTCAAACTCTCCACCACACCTCACTCCCTCGACCCCATCATCCTGCTCTTCCTCCTCTCCCAAAACCACCGGCAGCCCGGGCGGTTCCCACGTCCAAAACACCGTGCTATCGGTTCCACGGAACGGAAATACCAAGCGCACTCCCCGATCTCGTTCTTTCTTCCTCCACACCCTCTTGTGGATATCATCCTGTCTATCAACCCGTCCACGAATGAGCGGCTCGACGATCGTGAATTTGGCGTCGCAGTCCCCTGTATAGTCGACGACGTGTCCACAGGCTGGACAGGCGGGAATTTGTGTCGCAGGGAGGGTGGAGAAAGGGGTTGGGAGACGGCAATGACAACATATGAAGTAATCGACAACCACGATGGACGGTGTTGAGAGAAGAGAGAAGTGGACAAAGGCAGCGAGACCGCTACGGTGGACATGGGGTGGACGGCGGGGCGGGTGGACTACAGACATATTTGTATTATCGTTTGACTCGTTCGTTCCGTTCGTGTTTTGGTCTATATGAACCAGTACGTCTCTTCTGCGAGCGTTGCGGCGAGAGATCTGTGGCATTTTTGCGGTACGGAGGATGACTTTATTGCGTGGGAATATCTCGTGAAGAGATCCAGTGTCACAATAAGCATTGTGAGATTGTGCAAAGATTGGCAAAGACCACACGTGGCTCGGTGAAAAGCGATCACTTGGATGAGAATAAGAGAATTGCTCGATAGTGCACGCGACTAGAAAGTGTGGAATTCTAGTATACGAGGGGTCAGCTGCTGGCTCTTGACAAAGTAAAAGGTCCATCATTCACCCAAACAAAGGGAGTATCTATGAACTATGGCGAGTTTGTCCATCATACCTTTAGTCTTCTCGGTCGTATCTATGACTTTTTTCTCGGACGTGGCAACTCATATTTAAGGTTTTTCTGCTTCCAAGGGTCTATGCTTGTGGATGCACGAGATATGGGGGTAATAGATTTACAGAATCTAATTAGGAGGCAGCGCGATCCCTCGGCGAGTGAATAGTAAGCATGTCTCATCCACTGACTGGACCTCACGACATCTAGTTCACATTCCACACTCGAGTGAACTATAGGCCGAGCTGTGAAATAGCTTTGAGTATGCGCATATAGTTATTCAGGGGCAGGGACTGATGTAGCGTCTCACAAGGGGCGACGGCGGCAGCAAGAATAATCAAACAGCGATACAGAGGTACAGTACTAGGCGGTAGAAGAGTATGTATACACTTTCTGCTAATGATATATTGCGTTTCGGCCGGAACAAGAGTCTGCAATTCGTTCCAGAATACGAACCACTAATCGCAATAATGATATACCGCATTGGGTGTCGCGAGCAGCTTGTGTAACAGCTTTGAACGAGTAGAGGTTCGGATAACAGGACCAACATGAACCAATACTTCGGCGAGGAGTTGATTGATCGCTAATATTCTCAGAGTGTAGGTAGTGGTCAGTATCGATCCATTGTTGTGTCTGATTATGTCATCCATCACCCCACTCGATCTGTGAGTCACTGACGTTCCGGTACGGATAGCATTGTTCTTGACAAGTAAAGCACCTGCACGTAACACGATGCCTGACACTATCGACTACGCAGGGAGGCCTTTCGATAGGGTGCCGTTCGAATCGGTTCTTCGTCGACGCTTTTTTTTTACCGAATCATTCGAAAGTTATCGCCAAGCTAGCGGCTTCAAGGGCGACAATCGGGGCCTCTTCGATTACGGGCCACCTGGCTGTGCTCTACAGGCAAATATAGTTGCATTATGGCGACAACATTTTGTGCTTGAGGAGGAAATGCTAGAGCTAGACTGTACTGCCTTGACACCAGAGGATGTTTTCAAAACGAGTGGGCACGTGGACAAATTTGCCGATTGGATGTGCAAGGATCCTGTCAAAGGAGAGTATCTAAGAGCGGACCACCTGGTTGAAAATGTTCTCGAGGGCCGCTTGAAAGGTGACAAGACTGCGAGAGGTATTGCCATCAAACAGGAGGAAAAATCAGCAGATGCGAAGAAGGCTAAGACTGCGGTGAAGGATGTCAAGGCCGTCAAGTTGGACGATAATACTGTTAGAGAATACGAAGAAATACTTGCGAAGGTTTGCTGCTATCATTTCTCTTACTGATCACGTATGGATAAAGTTCGCAGATCGACAACTATGACGGGGAAGCACTCGGGGAGCTGATCAAGCGTTTCGACATCCGCAATCCTGATGGGAACAATGAGGTACAACCTCCAATTCCGTTCAACTTGATGTTCAAGTCTAGTATTGGACCTTCTGCTGCAGCGCCAGTATATCTAAGACCGGAAACTGCACAAGGCCAATTCCTCAATTTCCGCAGGCTGCTAGAGTACAATAACAATAGCATGCCATTCGCATCAGCATCTATCGGAAAATCCTACCGGAATGAGATCTCGCCGCGATCCGGCTTGCTTCGAGTGCGCGAATTCCTCATGGCAGAAATCGAGCACTTCGTTGATCCTCTGAGCGGCAAAAAACATGATCGCTTCGATGAAGTCAAGCACATCGAACTTGCGCTGCTTGACAGGGATACCCAACTTGCAGGACAGACTGGTACCGTCCAGGTGCCCATTGGATCTGCAGTCGAGCGGAAGATCGTCGACAACGAAACACTTGGTTACTTTCTTGCACGGGTGCAATTGTTCCTCGTCAAAATCGGCATCGACATCAAGAAGTTAAGGTTCCGTCAGCATCTTGCGAATGAGATGGCTCATTATGCATGCGATTGCTGGGATGCCGAACTCCTCACAAGCTATGGATGGATTGAGTGTGTCGGATGTGCAGATCGCAGTGCATACGACTTGTCAGTACATGCAAAGCGCACTGGAGAAAAGCTTATTGTCCAGGAACAGCTCCCTAGCCCTCTAAAAGTAGAGCGTTGGGAGGGCACACTTGAGAAGAAGAAACTGGGACCAAGATTTCGCAAAGATGCAAAGTTTGTGGAGATGGCAGTTTCTGAGCTGGATCAAGAGTCGCTTGAGAAGCAAGCAGCCATACTCAAGCAAGAGGGCCGCATCACACTGACATCACCAGTACCTCTTGCCGATGGCTCAGCGACTCTCGACATCGACAGTGACATCTTGACAATAGAGAAAGTTACTAGGATTGAAAGTGTCAGGGAGTATGTCCCCAATGTAATTGAGCCATCGTTCGGTATCGGTCGCATTTTATACTCCCTCTTGGAGCAAGTATATTGGCATAGACCTCAAGACTCAGCACGCGGCGTAAGTCATACTCTCAAGCCGTGGGTGCTGGAAAGCAGATGATATATCTAAGCTAACGATGTCTTCTAGGTGCTCTCACTACCTCTACCAGTCGCGCCTACTAAGGTTCTGATTGTTCCACTTTCATCAAACACGGCCTTCTTACCTATCGTAAAGAAGATATCACAGCGTCTCCGTGCTATCGGTGTGTCCAGCCGTGCTGACGCGTCCAGTGCGAGTATCGGGAAGCGATATGCACGCAACGACGAGCTTGGCACTCCCCTTGGTATCACGATCGATTTTGACACTGTCAAGAACGGCTCTATCACGCTTCGTGAGAGAGACGGCACGAAGCAGATCCGAGCATCTGAAGACGAAGTCATTGATGCTGTCAAGGCTCTGGTTGATGGTACGGAGGCTCTAGAAGAAGTCTTTAGCCGACTACCAGAATTCACTGGCCAGGAGACTGAGTGAGATGGGTGCATTGATGCTCTAGGTATCGGTAGACTACTATGCGAATGTCAACCGTGGCATTATGTCAAGCGAGAGCATTCGCCAATGTAATTCGATTGGCTTATCTAGGTACTCACACTATCCTAGAGCCTGAATATGAGCTTCAACATCAAGTCGCCTGTTGCCTATTGTTCCTCCCATCATGTTTCATATACCTTGTGATAAAACCAAAGCGCCTAGCACTCGCAAAAGTGCATGTATTCAACAGATTGGTAGTTCCCGTTCTCGCCACTTGCGTGCCATGCAATACAGATTAGAATATTCAGTGAAGAAAGTCAGCTATTCAATGCTACAAATACTGTACCGCTTCCTAAATGGCGGAAACAATGGAACCAATCTGTCAATTAGGATGAAAGGACGTGTAGACTATGGAAGGTTATTGAAAGACCAACTAACAGACATGTCGGAAGCCTTGAAGAGATCAATGACGAGTTGAGCCAAGAATCCCATACCTAGGAAATCAAGTGAAACTAGAAAGAAAGCATAGAACTCAGAAAGATTCTTAGTAAGAAGATATTAGCGATCATATATCGGAACAATTACACCACGTATGAAATTCGACCAATGGAAGTACAACTATGAAGTCCTCTACGCTCGCTCCCTCACTGAGCGCAAGGACGATCTTGCTCTTAATAGTACTATAATATAAATAGCATTGGAATCATTCTTGGAAGTATGAAATATACCAGCGACTCTGATAAGGCCATAGATCAAGTCTGCGTTGGATAGAGCGCCATCCTAGTTCCACATAAACGTATTCAATCATATTGTCGGACGAATCCTCCCAGTCTGCGCCAAAGGCTTAGAAGTAGTTGATTTTGACGTAGTGTCATACGGAAACCTGTTGTCAGAGGCTTTGCGGTTGTAGAGGGGATTCTATGACCATTTGGACCAACCTCATAGCTTGGGTACCAGATGACATTGAGCGATTAATTATAACTCATGATCCATATTAAGCCTCACATATCATTAACTCTGCTTTCCCCCAAACCCAATCCTGACCCCTCTCCTGCTCTCCACCGTCAACTTGATCTCCTCCTCAAACACCCCAGTCTCATCCCGAAACTCGCACCTCTCCCACTCCCTCGCCACCCTGACTAGCAAATACGCAACCTGAATCAACACCATATTCTGCGCCGGACACATGCGCACCCCTCCCAGAAACGGTACGTACTGCCACTTTGCCTCCCAGAGCGGTCTGCCCGGCCCCCACCGCTCCGGCTCCCATTCATCTGCATCTTCGCCCCAAATGCTCTTATCGCGATGCAAGGAGTAGAGGTCCATTTCTGCAACTCTGCCCTTAGGCACAAATAAGGGGCTGCGCCCATCTGGCCCGCCGCCGACCGGTAGCACTGTATCGCGCAGCGCGGCGCGGCCTATTCGCGACGCGGGCAGGTGTAAGCGGAGGGTTTCGTTGATGATGGATTTTGTTACTGGGAGGGCTTTTATGACTTCGAAGGTGAGAGGCTGAGTGCCGAGAGCTAGGGCTTCGGCACGTAGAGAGGACCATGCCGGTGGGTGTTGGGCGAGTTCCCAGATGCAGTTTGAGAAGGCGATGGCGGAGGTGTCGCGGGCGGGGAAAAATACGTTTATGATTTGTGCGCGGAGGGCGATAGGGTCGGTGATCTGTTGGGTCATGCCGTCGAGGAGGATGTATTTGCCGCTGTCGTGTGGGTCGGCGGCCTTCTCTGCGCTGGGGAGCGAGGATGGGTTCAATGCTTGAGCGCGTTTGGCGAGGGCTTTGTGGACGTTCTTGTCGACGAATTCGTGGACGATGGTATAGGCGGGCTTGTAGCCGGGGTCAAGGGAGAATAGGAAGTGGAAAGGACCAGTGATTATGCGCAGGGCGAGATTGAGGAGGGAGCGGTCGAAGGCTTTGAGGAAGCGGTCGGTTTCGAAAGGGGTCTCGGGTTGGAGAGACTCGACAGACTGGCCGAATATGAATTCGGTCGATGTATCAAGGAACTGTTCGCAAGTAAGCTGAAGATATGGATCATTATTATTCTGGTCGTACCAAACGCTTTGCCAGATGGAGCATATCGAATGTCTCCCCGTCTTTGGGTATATGTTCCATGAATCGCTGCACATGATTCTCGAAGGATGGAAGATCGGCGACTTCAGCACGATTGAAAGTAGGTTTCACAAGAGCTCGTGAGTGCTTCCAGAACTCGCCATCATCAGTAAAGATTCCACGGTCTAAGAACGGCGCCCCAATGTCTCCCCTCATGGGCCCAACACCCCAGTCACCAAAGTTCGTGGCAGCGATTGCTTGTATATTCTCCGGGTCCGCCGTCTGGACTTCCGTGACTCCACAAGTCTTCATCTGAAAAGTCCCGCCAAGTTTCCTGTGCATGTCCCGGTAGAAGTTTGACCTTTGGCCTCGAAAATCGGCCATCCGGATGCGGCAAAAGAGATCCATACCGAGCAGCGGATCGAGGTTAGGGTATTTTCTCGGCGCTCGACAGCCATGTTGATGGACAGCTCTTCGATAACGCAGTCTCTCATATATCGCGAGGATGATTGTTCTCACGATGGCTACTCCAATGCATACGCCCGTGAGCGCGAAGAGGCTGACCATGGTGCCGCTGTGTTTCAGATGAAGCCAGCTGTTATCGAATGGCGTTCTATACACCGGCTATACAGGGCATTAGTTGCTCAGTCCTTGCCAGCATGAATATGTCGCGAAAGGTATCATCGACATGGTGGGTTCAGCAAGTGATGTAGCAGGCCCTTGAATACAACATGCTTTCTCCCTCACCAGGAAACAGTTGCACTAACCTGCCTCTATCAAGCTTCTCTAACCAGTCTTACATTTCTTACAAATGAATCAGAAGTATGAGCTCATGGCGTCGTGATACAGCGCGATGCATGCAGATCTAGTCAGCAACGGTCCAACCCCGATTGGCTAGACTTAGCGCGAGCGATGCAACATGTTGGTCTGAACAGTCCACGATATTGACGACAGTGACGTCAAGGGTGTTGGCAATTCCGTGGCTTAAAGGATCGAAAGGGTATAGAGAATGAGCGCCAGTTTGGGGGTGTCTGAGTCGTGCAGCGCATGCATCCTAGACAAAGATCTCCACCTGCGCAGGGTGGAATTTTTAGCGTGGGACGCTAGTGGCGTAAGGCCTGCCCTGATTGGTAGTTGATGACCATTTGTCTTAGCGATTCTTGTTGCAACACATGCCGAGAGTACGAAAGTCATGTTGAAAATGGATTCTCTGCTACTTGCATTGAATTCTTATCTCTACAAACAACATTCCTCTAAAGTGAAATCTTAACGTTAACGTCTACACAAACACTACATACAAACAAACCTTCAGCCTTGACATAAATATTCACTGGCCAACATGCAGCAACCAAACATTCTAGTTCTGCTCGTCGCCATTATGATCGGTACATCACTTGCGGCTCCAGTACCTGATGGTATGTATATTGAATCTGTGGAAGGATATAGCTAACAGGTAGTAGTTGTGATTGACGACATACACTCTCAAGAAGATGACACACCACCAGGCCCAGCACCTGACGACTACTTGGGAGGATTCTTTAAATGAATTAAGTTATGGATGTGTACGATAGGGCTCGAAGCTTGCTTTGCTTACGAGAATGGTGATCTGTACTTTTAAATGATTTGATGATAGCTCCGAAGGCTCTGAAATAGAGTACATATTTTTGCTAATAACATTTCGTGATCTTCCGCTCACAACCTAACTCAGACAAGGAGGAAAATACATGCACTTTCACTATCGATTCATTGAACATTCATAGTCTATGTGTACAGGTACATACTCGTACTAGCCATCGAACAACAATCACTCCTCCCCGGGCCTACTCGCCCCATTGCCCGTGATCCAGGGCGGCGTCGGGCTCCCGGTGGCCCTGAAAACATACCCTTCTGGACAGAACTTGTACTTCTCAATCTCCGGAAAGCCCTTCGTCTCTCTTCCGATGTCTCTGTAACATGCTGTATGGCTCCTTGCCCAGTCCTCAAGCTTGTCCCAGTTCCTGCACATGCGCGTTTGCATCACGCCTGCAACATTCTTTTTGGAGAATCCTGAGTAGCGTGGCGTATCATCGGCGTTGCACAGTGTGTCCTGGCGGAGGGACTCTAGGCAATGGAGATTGTGCGCGAGACCTTCTTCGGGGTCGATGTCGATCTGCTCGTTGTTGACGGCACGGAGCAGCGAGCGGCGGATGTATTGCTGTTGGAGTCGTTGAGTCACACGTGTTGATTTTATGGAATGACGATGTGACATACCAAACAGTGTAGATTATGGTATCCGTTTAGTAAATAGATCCCTTTGTTCCCATCCCATGGCCAATGCTGCGCTTGCGGAAGCATGCGTCCTTTAACCCAGTCGTGAGGCAGCGCAACAATCCCTGGATCCACAACCCATGATTCCCATGCAGCATCTGCAATTGAACGATTTGGATGCGCAAAGATTGTGTCGTCACGATATGGTGTTGGGACGTCTCTCTCGAGCTTTGCGTATAGGCTCCGGTCTTTGTTTGTCACCTCCCTATCTGTGGCTTGGAAAGCGCTGTATGCCCACAGCGCATTTCCAACGGCTGAGAACACTGTGATGAGAAGTAAAGCTCGAAAGGTCCAGCTGTCGTTGTGAGTTTCATAGCGGCTGTGTGTTCCTTGTGCCGTCTCATCATCGGAGTGTAATGGTGTGTATCCTTTGCTATGCGACATCATGTTTTGCGATGGGCGTGCCCAGTAATGGTCTTCTTCTGTATGATGATATGAACTGTTCAATATACCGTCAGGTATGGAAGCAGTATGCACTATGATTCAGATACGTGGGCGCCACACTTTCCGGCAGTTTTTAGAGACCCGAGTGACGTTCTGCATAACACGTAGGACATGCTGATCGCCCGTCAAGCCCCATGAGCTAACTTCTAGCCGGATCGAAGATAAGACAAGTGTATTTTTGGAAACCGAGTACAAGATTTGCAGTATAGGGATTAGCCAACAGCTGTCGGGGAAATGGGCTGCCCGTTAGAGCGACTGGCGTTCACTGCCAAGCACCTCGGGCCGCTCAACAGCGCCAACGAAGTCGTCCAGCACCGTCACGCTGCCTGCGCCACCAACATCATCCCCTCTCCAGAAAACATACCTCCATTTCTGGACGGATCGATCCAACGTGCTTCATTGTTATACATCGCTCACTATTGATGTATAACACAAACAAACTGACTGATGATTAGGCCAAGCCACTGACGTTTGATCTGCGAACAGGGAACCGCATCGGGGACTTGGAAAGCCTTGTTCTAGTCTCGCCGAAAGGTGGATTCTGCAATGGCACATCACCAAACAGTTGGTCTGAGTCCCGAAACAAATATGGTCACTAGCTTCCTTTTCCCATGTTCGATATAGAGAGGCTCCCGACCACGTTGTATCCATCCTGGCAACGGCACCTCCCGCACGCGATCTCCACGAACCGCAAGTCAAGATGTCTACAACCTCCCGCGAGGGCATGATCGCATGCTGTACAGTTTTACCTGTGCTTGGTATCACAGTCGTTGGGCTCCGAGCCTATGTCCGAGTGTACAAGCAGAAAGTTGATTTGGCATTCGACGACTATGTTCAGCCAGTCATTTTGGTACGTTACAAGTACTACTAGACCTGGATGAAAGCACTGACTGTGATTAGGCTTTATACATTGGCATGTGTATTGCAGGACTGATAGGTACGTTGGTCGAGACTATGCCCGTGGAATACCTCTGATCTTCTCATAGGAGTCTCAAACAAAGCCTTGGGCTATCCAAGTCCCGTCGGACCAATCGAGTATACTGCGCCCTCTACAATCCTCTGCATGAAGGTACGTCAGGCAGCCCTAGACAAAGATCACAGCAATTGACTATTGGATTGCAGCTGCTCTATGCCATTCAAATGATTCAGATTCCAGCTTTAGGTCTTGTAAAAATTGCCGCCCTCTGTTTTTACAGACGCATGTTCTGTGTGCACCGGAAAGGCTCCTTGGTCGTAATCATTTGGACACTGATATATGCCACAATACTCTGGATGATCGGATGTGTCATATCATACGCTCTGGGCTGTGGCACGCACCCGACCGCTGCTTGGGGTGGTAACATCCCCTTTGCAACGTACTGCAAGGACATTACCTTGCGCTGGGAAGTAGGTTTCTCAGTGACGGACTTTGTGCTGGACACATTGGTCTTGGTTGTGCCTTTGCCATCTGTGAGTCCCTGTCCACTCGTTGTGACCCTTCGAAGGCGGATGACTGATAATATGCAGATATGGTCTCTCAGAACGACATTCGGTCGCAAACTCGGAATAACCTGCGTGCTCATGCTCGCCCTTGTCGGCTACGGCGCCTCCATTGCACGCATGGCGGTTTTCATCCGGCTCGCAACTGGTGTGATGGGTGCCAGCGCAATCGATATCCAGTCGTCTGACACTCAAGCCATATGGTTCTCCCAGCTCGAAACCGGGCTTGCGCTTATTGCAGTAAATCTCCCTACGTTGTGGAAACTGGTGTCGGACTTCACATCTTCGAGCATGTATCACAGTCTCAGGAGTCTGATCCGAAGCTCGGATGAGAGTAAGGGGAGTGTAGTCGATGTCAAGTTCGGGAGGCCGGAGGGACGAGAGTCGGAGAAGAGCTTTGATACGTCAAGTAGTGCAAGTCACGAGAGAGGCGGGATCAGGAAAACAGTGGAATATGATGTTGTGTAGGAATGAATTAGAAAGTTTTAATAGTATTCATATCTGTTATCATTCATCTCGCATTCTTAGTTCATCGAGTCTTGTAGACATTCTCCTTCCCGTCGTAATAATGACCATTATGGCCGCTACTCATCGCCAATTGTACCCTCACTGCTCTTTTTTCGGCTATAAGAATGAAGTTCTCCATCTCTTAGGTATATCGGACCTCGAAGAATGAGGCTCGATGGTCAACCGTCTTCGTGTCGGTCGCAGTTTTCTTAGGTAAGTCCATCCAGTGTTCCCACAGTCATCCAGCAGCTCGACGAGCTTAGTGTCCCCTTGTTCGATGTTAGCACAGTCGTACAAGACTTCCAATATTTGCTATTGTATGAGATTATGAAGAGCGACAAAGTACATGAGCGCTCCAGTCCTCTTAATTTACTCAGCTCAAACCTTAGAGGCTTAGTATTCCCCTTGCTCTCTATTTGGAAGCTCTTGAGCGGTAAAGATAACCCAACTCTATGTCAAAGTACAGAGACAATGCGCAGAGATATACGGCGTCCAAAAGAAATGTTCAGTGATGTTTGTGCGCTGATGTTGACAGTGGTAGCGAGGAGGTACGATGCCATGATGACATAGTTTATTGCATCGTCGAGAGCTTGAAGCCATAGGAAGGGCAGGTTCGGTGAGAGGGAGAGAGGTTATGGATGTTCTTGCTACGGCTTGAAGGTTTTCCACACTAGTTGGCAAGCCTATCTAGTGATTTTTTGATGGGTATTTGAAATTGTTCAGTCTTCGAGGGAGTTGTGGCGTTAAAAAGTAAGCTTTCTGTGCAAAATGAGATCTGCAGGAGTTGTTCAGGTATTGATTTGGGGGATAGGCAGTGAGAAGTTCGGCCAGTGTCGTGCTGTTCCGTTGAGGCTGTAGATGGTCAACGGGAGAACTCCAGCCACGGCGATTAACGAAGGATCGTAGGATGCCAATGCAAACCCCCAGAGAATTCAGATGTAACTGGATGTACTCTATAATGATCTGGTAGTATCTATAGTTGGAACAGAAACAAAAGAACCGCTCACCGACGATACTGAGTCACTGCCCACGCCCAAGTTCTTCAAACCCGCCAGGAGATCAAGCCAGCAAAACAAAAGGCATGGCACAGACTTGAACCCAAACCAAAAATTGCCAAAAAAATCTGTAATCTCTTTGATTAAGTCCGTCATCCTTAGTGCAGGGGCCGAGCTAATCTTCTCTGTATCGTTTCATATTGACTAAGTGCCCGAAGGCGAAGTACATCCAATTTTAATAGAATATATTATGCAGATTAAAGAACTGCGGATAGTGGGACACTGTTTGGTACTAGCCGGGCACCCGTAAAGGTAGGTGCTGGAGGTGAATGTGGCCTGATTTGGGAGCCTGTGCGCGCTATTGGCTGCAGATCTATGACTACACTGACACTGTTATGAGCTAACTTGAATTAAAAATGAGTTGCCTTGACAGTTTTCCATCGCTAGATGACGGGGCATTGCTTTGCAGTGATCTGGGTTTACGCCACCACTGAAGCGTTGGCTAAGAAGGAGAGACACACATACAATCTCGGCTGTGTCCACGCGATTGTAGCGATCACAGATTAGCTGAAAGAGCGTAGTCATGAACCCAGGGATTGGAAGAAGAAATCAATCACAGTATCTGGAAATGGAAGTCTACCGAAATGTACATTGTTTCTATATCTTGCAAAGGCTATACCTTGTTGACTCACTGTACAGAAGTTATTCTACACGTACGTACTATAGGCTTTCTTGATCTGCTATCTTTTCTGCATTTCTAGCTAATTACAATTATCCTGTCGACTGCTATGGATGATGGAGGTCATGCCCATCGCGCAGATATAGTCCTCACATATGTCAAAACCTGGAAGAAGTTGATCGTGCTGCGAGAGCTCTGATCAAGATCGCTTTCTTACTTGATGTCTATGCTTCTGGCTACGATCTCTCCATTCTGGCTATGAGTTCTCTGATGTTGTGTATCGGAGCATGTACGTGATCGCCAAGGAAGAAAATTGCTTGCTCTGTAATCTGTATGTTGTAGTGGACCTCTTGGGACTACAGAATGAGAGTTCAAGGAAATGAGGAGCCTACTCAATCTTTAGCTAGTTCAAAGTATACGTTCTTGAGAAGTCCAGGTTTCATGGGTACTGACCTCCCTAGCACTATGCGCTTGCTTGTGACATCTCGCTGCTTTTCGAAAGGAAGGTATGCTGCGAGCATGTTCAACATCTCTCTCACTCGCTCGCCCATGTTGTTTGTTCGTGGGCTTCCTGTGTTCCCCTGTACAGTCGGTCAAGGGGGAGTTTAGAGGTTAGATACACATAATTAACTTTGTATGCAGCGTAAATATAAAGAGTGGACTTATCGAAGGCCCTCAATCGTAACCGAATCGTTCATTCTATTCTTACTAGCGTGGGTTTCAGTGACCTGCTGATTGTGCAATCTGCTTGTGGTCCAAGCGTTAGACCTTGTAATCCCCCAGTCCTTCCTCGCTTCACATTTTGCCCACAAACTGATGCACCTACAATCCCACACTCATTTTGGCTTGTCACAATTCCTTCAATCGAAGTTTGTGCTCATCACACCAAATCTTCCTTCCTTCCATGGTTACTAGCATCAATTGTGAGTACCACTCAGGGCACGATTCAGAACTTGAACTTCACATTTTTGTTTCAACTTTGACGCTCATATCTGATTCTTTACCACCATGTCACGAGTAACACTGTTCGGTGTAGATTTCAAGCAAGGCAGCCAAGTCATTACTTCAATGAACTGATCTCAACCGCAATGACAAGGTCAAGACATGTCAAATACTTGGTACGTATACTCAACGCCACGAATGTCTACAGATTTGACCGTCAGAACCTCAGCTGACACATACTTTGCACTAGATATAGAGGAACTCAACTCTCAGCCTAAGTCTCAGAATTGGCAAGAGTTCTAGTCTGTTCTTTCAATGAACAGTTCATCCGACAGTCTGGTAGCTAGTCTGCTTGAACGCAGGATCTCAAATACAGATTTCTATACCGAGCAGGTAAAGAAAGTGTCAGGACATGTCGAAGAATGTGAGTCCGATATGTACGTCGATGGATTCCGGCCTTTCAAGGTCAGAGTCTTCTTCAGTCATCATGACGAGCTTCGCTAAATTTGACAGACCACGGCTTGAGCTGAAAGTGCGTTCAAGGATTCTCGAAGCTCCGCAGCTGCACGGAGATGGTCTATTCGAGTACCTGAACGGTTCACTTCCGTGACACTTTCGAAAACTGTATTGTGAGGTAGAAAGTTTGACAGATACAGTATGAGTACTTCATCCCGAAGTAATTACGAAAGCTAAGTTGTCATAGTCAGGTGTACGATGACCAATGCCCAGCAAAGACATCCCAAGGATACTACAAGATCTACAGGCCTGGAGTACCTCCCCAAGCGGCCGTCTGCTCACACCCTGTGAGATGTCACAGCCAAATCTGAGTACATCAGGGAACAATACACCCTCAAAATCAGAGTTCCACTTCATGCACAGAAAGATTTTTGCACGTCGACAAGTATGGTGCAGTGGAAACACACAGTTACGCAGGAATCGAAATATACTGTGAATCTTCTTTCCAATCATAACGGACTAAGAAGAACTGGCGTGTGATTGACCACGTGTCATCATCATCTGGCAACCACGTCTTCCTTCAATGCTGAGCCAGCTTTAGACAGGTCCACCTAGCTATACCTAGGCTTTCATTCCCTTTGTCTCTCAACTCTTCTTTCATGGCGTTTTCGCCACCAAAGATCCTCTCCCACCTGATATATATATATATCACCCTGTGTATTTGGGTTAACTGCGATGTACACAACAGTGCCGTACTTGTCGTTGCGGTTGACCGCAAACGGCGAACATTAGTGATAGCCAGAAGGATGGCTATTGAGACATTCGCTTTGTCTCTTAACTCTTATTTCATGTCTCAATAGCCATCCTTCTAGCTGTCACTGGTGTTCGACGTTGCGGTCAACCGCAACGACAAGTACGGCACTGTTGTGCACATCGCAGTTGACCCAAATACACAGGGTGATATATATATATATTAGGTGGGAGAGGATCTTTGGTGGCGAAAACGCAATTGGCGGCCTCAACGTTGATTCATCGGTCGATGTCAAAGCCATCGAGGTATGTGGACACTGAAATCCTCGTCGGAGAGGTTCTCCGCCATGACTCGAGTCATCTGAGGAAGGGGACTGGCCTCGGTGGCTAGTCCCACTGTGAGCAATATGAGTCCGACTAAAGGCCATCACTTGTGCCACTCAAAACACGGTGATGGTCGTGCTCGCACACGATTGGAGTCCCTTGAGGTCAACCGAGCCTAGCAATTTTGTGGTCGTCGCCGCGGTGTATAAAATAGCAGGACGATAGTGGAGATCTATTCGCCCGATAGTGACCGATACTATCGTCCTGGCGACTATCACCGCGGTGGCGACAGAGAGGACCGTGACGAAAGGGGAGATCGCGACCTCAGCCGTTACAATCTCCCCTTTCGTCACGACATGTACACCTGTGTTCTAGCACGAAACCACATTACGGGAACCGAGTATCGTCACTCCGGTCGAGCCATGGAAAGGATGAGTGGAGGTTTGGGGATAGAAAAGGGAAGTTCTTTGGGACGACTGTAAAAGGTCCTACACTACCCTGGACCTGCCAGAGTTGGAAACTCGACAGTCTCTACATGAAGAGAACAGGTCCAGGGTGGTGGGATTACGGATTCTGATTTTCTTTGGCTATACACTTGGTGGCGTTCTTTGGTGGTGGAAGAGAAACCGCGGATTCAGATAAATCTTCGGTCTGGCTCTGCAGTTGGGCAGCACGATTGGTCCATAATATCAATAAACAACGAAAAAGCATCATCATCATCATCTAAAACTACGTTCTCTGTCATCTTTGTTTCGTGATGTTTTCCCTTTGTAAAGCCCTGCGCGTCTTTCAGCTCCCTTGTCGCGCCAAGACTTTACCCCTGAACCCCACGTGTGGAAGAGCTACAGCTAGCCCTGGGCCCCGCCAATACCTAAGGCACCAAATAGCGGGGTAAGAAGTAATAGAGCTCCAGGAAAAGGGGCTGATGGAAGTTTCATCAAAACGTCTAGAAGATACCATGGGAGATGAAACGATGAGCTATACAGACTATTTAATGAAACCGAGAAGCCCGATTCTCCGCTAGACACTGATTGATGCAACGCTATTGCTGTGCAAAATCGTGCACTTTGACAATGCAGTATTATTTTTCCTACCTAGGACGTACTGTGTGTGTGCGAGTGCCAGTCTATCGACTCCATGGGTGCTTCAGATAGATAATTATCTTCATGGGATGTTATAGCTGTCATAATTCGCCTGATTTGACTGGAACACCATTGAGACTACACTTGCGGCATACATCATGGATGCCGAGGATATAAATATGTCTCATAGTGTATTCTTATTAGGGGCATCTCTAGGGGAGAAGAGTTAGTTCATGGAAAGATGAGAAGTCTAAATATCTGAGGGCTATGTATGCCATATATAGTAGACTTTATGTAACATATAGGAGTACTGGATCTGCTTAGACGGGTACTATATAGGTGTAAATCCTGCCATGCGGTTGGAGTAGAGGAGATACTGTTGCAGGAGGTGAAACAGGCATTTTCCATTGTTATATGCTACATATGGCTGTTCAGTTATTTCGGATAGCAGCTTGAATTATGAGAGCATATCTCATGGTGCTTATGAAGGTAATTTTTCACCCTGTGCGCGTTGTGCATGATGTTTGTAAGACTTGGAACGCCTGTACTTCGAAGACCTCCACAGCGGTCAGGGCTTCTCACAATGGCTTTGATTTCATCATAGTGTCTTAGAACAGCGTATGCGATGGATAATCATCTTAGAACCCGAAAAATTGCTCTTTTATTAATTGTATAATGGTACTCTGCCTCATAGAGACGCCCAATTGTCGAAATATGTCCATATTTTGCACCACCAAGATCTGTCCCAAGCATTCAAGGGTCTCCAACCTATTCGTTTCTCGTTAGCATGCAGTTGCTTTCACTGCTTTGTGCTGCCTTGGAAAGCTACATACCGCGATGTCCAACAGCCAAGAATCCCGAAAGTTGTCCCCAGGCCCCCTTCCGGCTGTGGCGTTTACGAGACCCGACAGCGACGCCCTCTACCATCTATCGTGCAGACTGCTCCCCAGTCTGCGAGGAACCCCGAGAGGAGCGTTCCTCCGGTATTGGAGAGAGCTCCACGCCCGTTGAAGGAGGGATAAGCGGGAGGAAGACAGGACGGATGGTGGCACGTTTGGCAGGTTGTGGTGTAGTTATCTTCTTCTGGGCGTTCAGAGCGGCGGTTTCCTGACGCTTTAACTCAGCGGCGAGCTTTGCTGCTTCTGCAGCCTTCTCAGCTGCCCTCTGCTCCTGGCGCAGCTTCATGGTGTTCTTCGTAGCTCCAGCCATTGTGACTTGGAGGAAAGGAATGGAGATTCGAAGACAGCTAGAGATTTGATAGCAGAAGAGTGTTAAAAGGTCCAAGAGAAGGCTGGGAGCGACGATGTATAGCTTGTTCTTGAGTCTTTGGGTGCAGACAAAGGTTTGAGTGAAAGATTATGGTAGTAAGAGCCGATATAGACGTATTTTGTGCGTTGTCGAGACTGGGGGAATGGTTATTGTGTAAGAAAGTCGATATAATTCTGTGGGTGTCCGTGCGGGCCTGTTGCCCCTAGAAGCTGATGAGAAATTCAATCACACACTCCTAAGCTTCACTACCTCCATCTCAATCATCCATCAGCCATACTCATCAAGAACCATCAGAGAACTTCCGCTTTAAGAGGATCGTTGTTCATATCTTTATCTCGATATCATCTCCTTTCTTCTCAACATCATTTGAGACACCTTGTGAGAAACAGTAATCGTCTTTGAGCTTTGTCTTTACTAAAGTCAAGGTTTCGATCATTCAAGGCTTGTCTCTGTCCACTACGGGTGTGCATCATCAGTCAGGTGGCCTTTGATACCGTGTGTGTGCTCATTGAAGAACACCGTCTTCTCACCATCTTTGGGGTGAGGTATGAGTTTTTCATGAAGGTAGATCCAGCTTCGGCATGATTGGTGAGTTTTTCCATCTCCAGCGACGCACAGTTCTTGACTTTCATTCGACCCTCACCTTCTTACATCAGGGATAAGAGACTGGTAACTGATAAACGAGATAGTAAAGCTCTCAGCTTCCTCACTGCCATCTTGACGTCCTTGGCTTCATCGTCAAGGTAGACCAATCACCAAGCAGCAAGGCCGTGACAGGCTCGATGATGCGGAGCAACAGCCTACCAGCTAGTATCATAGCCTTCTATTCAAAGACCACTGTCTAGATCGTGTCGAAAGGCGAAAATCATACCTGGCAGGTTGAGCGGAGCCGAAGATCGACATAGTCTGTCAAACTGCATCTTGGAAGTCCGCTGTGCCACGATTTTAATCTTCAAAGTGCTACAGAAGGCTGCGAAACATAACAGACAAGTCTTCTGTGCACTTCATTGAGGTTTTATCATCGTCGATACACGGATCCGCTTCGGTGCAGTGCTCCAGAAGGCGAAATGATCGACTAACCTCAGCAAAGGATCACAGCTGAAGAGTTTCACACTAGTGTACTTAAGATAGAGTCTTTGGCTCAGTGCGTGGAGATCTCTATGCATCATGTCGGTGTGCAGGCCTCCATGGCATCACTACCTTGTCGCCATTCCGTACCTTCGGCTCGGAAGAGGTTAAGGACACCCGTCACCACCCAATGGTAGCGAAGACGGTGTCTCAGGCCCAAAGAGCGTACCGTGTAGCCTAGAGCTCACACTATCAAGTGACTACCTCTGTCATTTTGAAAGACATCGGGATATGTTCGTGAGGTACATCGCTTGCGAGCGTGTCCACTCCTTTGTCAGACTGGATTGACTGACATCTTAGCCAGACATGACCCCTCCGCCAAGCTCTTTATCCCATATCAGTATTTTGAAAGGATTTGGAGTCACGGTATGATTCTCCTAGGCAAGAATTGCAGGTGATCTGATCGCCAGTATTGAAGTCGACATTACCCCAGGACTCCAGCAACAAGGGATGCTGAGAGCGAGCCGCATAATGGATGCGTCGCTAAATGCCTTGTTACAGAAAGAACACCCCAACACACCTATTGAGCTCATGCCTCGTGTAGCATCTCAGAGCCTTCTAATGGGATTTATGTCTCCAGGGGTCGCTGCCAGGTATGTGACTTCCGAGATTGACCGGTTGGAAGGCAGGCGCATACTAAAAGACGTCGAAGGTAGACGTGACTTTGTGACCTAGAAGGTATACTCAAAGTCGCCAGTATAGCCTTAGTACGTACAGATACTCAAACGTCGTGCGTTCAGAGAACGATGGCTCCTAGATACGGGGCCAATCATCGCTATTGAATACCAACATTTAGTCCTGCCAAAAAGCAGTCATGCGTGGACAATTGACGTTTCAAACTGCCCGCCACCACAAGCGGATGTCGAACTATTGCCAGCACAACAAGAGCTAGGATTCGCACGACTTACAACGGGGCCACCGTGAAGGCTCTACAGCGAGTGAACGGTTGCTCGTGTCCGTCCGGAGCAAGTTGAGCTTTGCGTGTGCAGGAGAGTGTACGGGTCTGTACAATGACGAGCCGCATGACTACCTGACGAACATGACGGCGCATTCCAGTGTCTTCCGCAGCTTTGGAGCGCGTGGGCCTTTTTTTCCGTTGAGTATTGCATACCTTCCGCAGCTGTATAAGCGCGTGGGTACCCTGGGTCCTTGGAAGAGATTGTTCAAACCCTTCCGCAGCTATCTGAGCGCGTGGGCTCTTTGCATCTCGAAACGAAGCTTTGTCTCCCTTCCGCAGCTTTTGAGCGCGTGGGTTCTTGTTCCATCTTGTTGAAAGCATCGAATACCTTCCGCTGCCATGTGAGCGCGTGGGTCTTCTTTTGTATTTTTTTGTTGAGTCTTTCCACATCTTCCGCAGCTATCTGAGCGCGTGGGTTTCCTTCTGTCCTTCTCGCTTGTATCTTTGCAAACCTTCCGCAGCTATCTGAGCGCGTGGGTTATTCTGCGATTCACATGAAGATTCGAGTACCTTCCGCAGTTTTAAAACGTGTGGACTCTTCCGCCGTCTTGTTAGAAGTTTTGTAACCTTCCGCAGCAGTATGAGCGCGTAGGACTCCCTGTATCTTTCTTTGTTTGAGCCTTCCAAGACCTTCCGCAGCTTCGAGCGCGTGGGTTGTTTCTGCATCTTGTTTGGTACCTTCCGCAGCCATCTGAGCGCGTGGGTCTGCTGGGTCCTCCACAATACTTCTCAATACCTTCCGCTGCCCTGTGAGCGCGTGGGCTTCCTTGTGTCTCTTTTCGTCGAACCTCTGAATACCTTCCGCTGCCTTCTGAGCGCGTGGGCTCTCGCGCCATTCTGATAAAGTTGCAATGCCTTCCGCAGCCATGGGAGCGCGTGGGACGTTCATGTACCATTGGATTACCAGTCTGTCGCAGCTCCTTTAGCGCGTGGGCTCATTGTAGATGTTGAACCCATATTCTTTCTGGGCATTTCAGTTGCGTGCTTGGATTACGAGTCACCGAAGTCTTTACCTTACGCCGCTATAAGCGCGTGGGTTTGACGTTATCTTCATCTCGTTCAAAGTCATCTCGCGCCTTACGCAGCTTTCTGAGCGCGTTGGCCTTCCCCCTCTTGTGTTCAAGGATTTGGTTTCGATACTTTCTCAGAGCTGAACATGTGAGAAAATCCTCTTCGAAGCAGATGAATGGTATGGAATCGACGACAAGGCGACCAATCTGCGGCTGATATCATTAAGCTGTCGGGCTTCATGGCTTACTCCTGTTTCTCTCATGAATTGAAGTCCACTATTTGACGTACGGGAGGTCCGGGAAAAGTTCTCTAGGGCTTTTGTCGGTTCGGCTTCTTTGGTTCGTCTTCCGAGCCGCTTTCAAACATGTAAAGAAATTTGATTGTGAGCGCTAAGGAGCTATTGGTATGAGAATTCGGATCTCCGAGAACCTTTTGAGGTATCATTGGGTGCGAGCCAAGTGCAGTGGTAAACCCTGCGAACTTACGGTCTGTCATATCTTTGACACAGGATTCGTTGTACAATAACAGTCCGCACTCAGTAAAGCTCTCTTGGGAAGCTTCGTTAAAGGTGTTTCAATGGGAGAGATTGATCCGGTATTGTTCTAGCAGGCAGTCCAGACACTGTAGGACTGGTAATAAGCGTCGTAAGATCCTACTAGGAGCGATATGATTGAAGGATGGTATGTGGAGAGGCATCTTGATGATCTAGCGGTCTCCATTTTCGAAGCACGTATGATGATGATGTGCTGCCGAAAGCCGTCCAAGGGAGGTTTTCCACCTGTTATGTGGTATTTGCTGTCCGTCTTAGTTTCTCCTGGGGCCTCGATAGCTCCCCAGGGTACTTGTCATCATCACCTCTTAGCGGTGCGGACAATGTCGATGATGTGGCCTTGGCTTACGACTGGACCTCCCAATCCAGGAGCCAACTAACCATCGCGTGCCCCATTCAAGGAGCAATACCCAACCAGTTCAAACGGGTCGCAAGGGTACCGTTGCTATCGGACGAGGTGATTAGCTTCTGCCCTTTTCGGTATACAGTCCTCGACGTTTAAGCTCAAGGCTAATCATGACTTACATTCTGGTGGGCCGCGATATGATCATCCCCGCCTGTATAGGCTCTCCGAACCCCCAAAGCGCCAGAGCGCGGTCCGGATTCATGGCGTGCTCAATCGCCAAACGCAGCTTCCGCACGAGCAAAAAACGGTTCACTTGCCAGTCTGAGGTGGCAATGGTCACAGGGCGAGTGCCAGATCCAAGCTCCAAGGAGACGATGATCTGCCGTGCGAAGACTCGGCCATGGGTCGACCGAGTCTTCTCCCAGACATAAATGTCTGCTCCTGGCCTGCGCACCCAGCGTCGGGCAGTCCGAATCAAAGCAGCCTCCGCGGCTGGAAGGCGGGTTCTGCGGTGTTGTGTCGACATTTTTGATGGTTGTGCGGTATCGTGCGTTGGATGCTGCGTTATGAGTGTTGACAGAGCTCAAGATCTTTGCAAGTCAACAAAGCCTGTCACTGCAAAGCTGCACCGCTCCTTAGTGGCCCCACTTTTTGCAGGACCAGTATGGAAAACTTTACCACATGCTATGATATCCCCTCTCAAAGGTTACGGAGGGGTAGGGCCTTGGCCTGTCGTTGCACAGATTCATTCTTACAGGATACATCTTCATGTTTGAGGATATGCAAGCAGCATATTATGGAACCCCTATACAGCAACATCCGACAGCCAGTTCCGCCCTTGCCGTGTATCAGCACCCCTTCGATGTTTTGGCACCTAATGCTGCGGTGCCGAGAGTCTACGTCCAGAGCTCACTAGCGAAGATTGGCAGCACTTGAAAATGCCTCGCCAATATCCAGACGTAAGTTCTCTTCGTTGGTATGCTTCTCGATTTGACCTTAGCACTGACACCTCCGGAATAAGCCACCGGGAGCATGTTTCCACTGTGAGCACACTCCTGATGAGCTTCACTCCTGCGTTCGTGGCCGCTGCCTCCTAACAACGGATCTCTCTGATGTCGTTGCCGGAGGAAACTACATGCCCGTGGTGTATTAATAGGGATCCATACACTTTCAGGCGGATACCAAGAATCTTGGTATCAAAATCTGTGAGCGGACTTGGTGGACCATAGGAGGACGATACAGCATCCGAAGGAGAATAAGTTACCGTCACACTCGTATTAATTTCAGGAAGGCAGAGGAATATGCATGGGATTTAATATACTGTTCTTATATGTCCCCAGAGGCTCTTCACATTCCATCAGTATAGCAAGAAAGCGAATATGAGATGCGTATGCATGCCACAGCATATGGATGGTAGTCCTAGTAACACCTAAGCGTGGAAATTACTTCAGAATAAAGCAAATTATGAGTCTCCCACAGTCCACAACTACGAGCGATCATGTCCTCATAGAAGTCCAAGAAGCTTCGCAAAATCGAAGCCTTGGGATATGTCTCATACATTCCATTTTAGACCTGCCTCAAGGCAAAACTATCTTGAATGATCTCGCATACCATGTCCAACAAATTATGATTACTGTCGCGCCATGAGCCTAGTATAATATCCATACGGCAGCACATAGTCAGGACTAGCCAGCTCTTCTCGTACCAGGGTAGACAAGTCCTGCCAACCGGTCAGATATAAACTTCCTTCCCCTGATCCGCTGGATGCCATTATGTGTTACCGAAGGAGCTGTATGCATCCACGACCGTCTAGGAAACTAAACTTTACTCCAAAGGCAACAACGCAGCACCTGTTCAGTATTCCTAGAGATAGAAGTGCCATGTACAATAGCTACTTGAAGTGAAGCCTCTGCTTTGGATATCTGCAACTCTCGTGGCGCGGCGTACGCTCGACAATGAAAACGTATGAACAGCTCGCGGTGGCCTCCAGACTAATGTTAGCTTGAAATCGTCTAATATATATTTTGTCCTACCTGTCTCTTGTCTTAAAACCTTATTTCTCAGGAAGGTGAGAGACCTCAAGTCTGGCGGTAAAAGTACATTGTTGTTAGGGAGAGGGTCACCGAGAGACCTTGAGCAGCTGGCAACGGCACCAGTATGTTATTATCATAACCTCCAGATGTGGCTGTGATTCAAACGTATCATGGAATGAATTATCACTAAGCAGGATATTTCAAGCTTCAAACATGACCAAAACACAGATGCTGATACACTTCTGCAATACCGCACGCACTGAGCCGTGATGATACATGGCAGCCCAAATGTAAACTATCATCCGTGTTTCCACAAAAGTCGTCCATCGCCTCTGAACCTCTGGGAGTTACGCCCAAAAGGCATCAAGAGCCACAGTATCCCTATCATCAGCGCCTCCATGAGCCTAAAGCATACGTCACTGCCAGCCTCCTCTTCAAGACCATTTCCGCTCCCTGATCCCAGTCCTTCCACAGACGCTAGGCTTCACTTCCTTCCCAAGCGAGATGTTTCCACGCTAGTACAATCCGAGACATCAGAATCGATTCGAAGGTCGGCGATGAGGAGTTGCCCAGGTCAAGTGAACGCTAGTCCTCTCTCAGCTCCTCATATTCGATCCGATGTTGATCCATGGGCTTACGTGATCCTGCCTCCCAGTCTATATAAACAGCTGCTCCCTCTCTCGCTCCTACACCTTTTTTCCTTATACTGTAGTGGTACTCATCCAACAAGTCGCTTCGGTGGCTTTCGTTGGGTGGCCCGCACCTTGCCCCCGGTGCAGGTATTCCCCTTGTGGGCTATTCTTTGGAACAAACTTCCCCATTTCCCTTCCTTTCCCTTCCCCTTCCCCTTCCCCTGCCCTCCGGTCAGAAGTGACCATAACTACTTGGTCAGCAGTGACGCTAAACACTCAATCTTTGGAATCAGCTGAGCTTTTGCTTGGCACCGTGTGGCTTGTACCATTGCACTATCGCAGGCCAACGCGAACTCTTTTTTTCATTGTCATTTGGCCTCTGTGCTGATTGCGAGGAAGAAAATCCTTCATCTGATTGCTTTACTACTTTTTGGTGTGTGATCTTGAAGACCTTTGAGCATGTTGATAGCCTTTACCTTCGTCGTAATAAGAGAATATGATGAGAACATGATGCAAAGATCCATGTAAATAGCTGAAATGAGAGTGCAAGTACAAGGAGAAACATTGCTCAAGCTCATACCTACTGAGTCTGAATCTATCGCACACAGCTCAACAGCTCCAGTACGATATGTTCGTGTCAATCGCCCTTCCTCCTTCCCATAAGATGATTTCGCAACAGTGAAAGCAGACGGATGACACAAGGTCAGAGAGCTTGTACTTGAAGTATCGAATAATGCACGCCCTGAGCCACCCTGCGCTTCAATGGCCTACATCGATGGACTTGAAACAGATTTCCACCACACTTCGGACCTGACGCTCGCAGAATACCTCCTCGAACGCCTGTTAGTTCAATGGGAACATATCCTTTGAAGAGTACACAAGCTCCAAAGCAGCTGGCCAAGCACTCCAGAAAAGCATCTCACTGACCGCGTAGGTCCTAAATCCACTGGCTTCGGCTCCAATAACGTGACCAACAACTTCCAGGCTCGGCCCCCTGCAAACAGGCAGCACGGATCGACATACCGTAATAGCAACTACATGCGGCTAGCTTCCCTGGATCCAGGATCCAGATTATCGTTCCCCAACTATATAAGCTTGCCAACCCCCGCCCTCTTTCATCCTTTTTTTTCTCCATCGTGCAGTGGGTCACTCACCCTTGGTAGTGCTAACTTTTGGCCTATCAAGGATGCAGAAAGTGTCTCTGAGTGTGCAGTGAAGAATTGTCTGAGCGCACCTCACTCTCTCTCGACATTCGTGTCAGAGAGGAATTTTTGGAACATTTTAATCGTTTGGGATTGTGGGAAACTCTTTTTTTTTCATTGCTGTCTCGGCCTTTGTGCTGGACACAAGGGAGAAGCCCTCTGATCATTCGTCTCTTTTTCATTGCTGTCTGGCCTTTGAGTTGGACCCAATGAAGAATTTTCTCCCACGGACGCCCAATTTCTGCCTATTGCTGAATCTTTGTGCGTCGTATGGCCTACGTCACATCCACGACTTACAGTGACGATGAGAGTCTCAAGCGTCTGTGGAATGCTTGTCATCTCACTGCGTCTCTGCTGCGTTTCTAGACCCGAGTGGAACTCATCTCATAAGGCATGGTATAGTACAAGATAGGCTGTCAATGGAAAGGCGCAGGTGGATCGCTGTAGAGGTATTATCGTTGACTGTCTCACTAGAGTCTCGGTGCGTTAACGAAGCTCAAATATATAGCTAAGCGATGTCAAATTTGGTCATTGACTGAGCAGGAGGCGCTATAGAGACACTGATTCATAGAGTGCTATTAGGACTTGTAAGAGCTTGTATTATCGGTTCAAAGGCACATTTCGTCTGATCTAGTGGGAGCGATTTAAATTCTGCAAGCAGATTCGCTAGTTACATACACACCTTCACCGTCACTGTTGAATCAAGGAACAACCTGGGCAGTGCTGGACCTACGAGTTATGCTTGAAGCTACCATGGATTACAGGACAGCAGGTAGCAATACCAATTATGTACATCTCGATATACTTGATGAGTATTGCTGTCGTGCAATGTCCCAGTCTCGTCGTCTTCTCACCGACTCTCACGCCCGCCTGGCCCTACGTGCTTGAGTATCCACAATAAACACCCATGCTATGACAAATCACTAGTTGCTGTGCCAGTGAGTGATGTGACTAAAGCGGAAGTGTCACGTGAATCACCCGTCCAGATGTAGCTAGTCTCAGGTCCAACGACTATATAAACAGGCCTTCCCCCTCCATCTCACCTATTTTTTCTTCATCCGTTCCGGCCTCAGTGCTGGGATAAGTGCAGAGGCAACTCCTCCAGCTCCTGCTGGTCTTCGTGATCGCCAGGGAATTTTTGGAACACAATCATGGATTGAGAATACCTTACTTCTTACCTTTTTCATTGCTATTTGGCCTCTGTGCTGGATACAAGGAAGAAACTGTCTCTTCTTGGTCTGTCTTGAAATTTGGCGTTGAGCTGCACCTATCTCGTGTTTCTGACGGGCGTACCACGGTGAAGACGCTGCTATTGAAGGAGTGTGAAGTCCCGACTGCCCTGTCCACGTATATCATTGCAAGATCTTACAATACATCAAGCTACTTTGAGCTCCTCTTGCCTTAAGCTGTTTCCATATCAAAACGAAGCTTAGCCTTTGCCAGTGGGACGAAATAACTTCTCTTTACATGAAGCCCTTCCACGAGGCAAGTCCAGTTCGAGATCTTATCACTGGAAGAACAAGTGGCGGCAATCTCTTAAGCTTTCAGCGTTTCCAAGAATAAGCTATGCTAGTTTTAGAGCCCACTGATAAGAAGATTGTGACCGCGAAATGACAGTGGCGAGTGTGTTTGAGGTTGTGAACCTTCAGACGAGATGTCGAGACCTTGAAGTATAGGTCAGCCAAACCACCCAAGTCTCTACGAAAATCCTGTGGAGAATAGACCTAACCTTCTACGGATGATAGATGAGATCAATAGCCGATGAATTATGACTTGCCTGTACTACGCTTTGGTCAGAGCAAGCTTTGAATCAAGAACGAGACCACGACAGTCTCTAGCAGATCGAACACTCCACCTACGAACCGACATAGCAGAGAAGCAGAAATAGCTAGAGATTGAAGCAGATACTAGCTTGGACATGAAACATACACGCAGAGGCAACACGGCATTCCATGCAAATTCAAAATGTGCGTTGTAACTACGCCTACAATTTGGACCCACTGTGGCCAGATCCGCACATAACATCAATTAGTGGCGTACTATGGGAACCAGAGAAGATGTAAGGCACGGAAAAAACGCTGTAGCACTGGTATTAATGGCATAGTGCAAGAACTTGAGATCTGGAGCTGCACAGTACAAGATCTTAAGACAATGTGTACGGTGTATCGCTATCATATGAGAAAAGATACCACATGTGCGCTATCTTGCCTGAAGCAGTGACATGCCACGCCTCGTAGGCTCAAAGCATCGCCATCTTTTCTTGCAAGGTTTCTCTGTGTACCGCCCCAATGTAGAATGTACAGGACAGTCTACGTGCCAAAAGATATGATTCCGTATTACACTAGCCCAATGCATTGTTCCATTCCGACTCTTTCTAGCAAATGTGGTTTCCATGCTGTGGGTGGTTATGCAGAATGAGGCCCGTTTCGAAATTGCGGAGAGCAAGGTGTCTTTGGTATCTACGGACATGTTTTAACATATCTCTTTACATTCGCAAGTGTAGAGTATAGGGACAACATGACCGTTGTGAGCAGGCCGCGTGCAGCAGCTATTGAGTTATGATTAGCGAAAAGACATGAAGCACCCGGCCAAGAGCATGACTTACAGGCTAACACACCGTTTACACCCCGATGGCCATATAGTCTATGTTGCCAATCCCTAGTAGTATCCTATGCACGAGGTGCGCCGATAGCTAAGATCTGTGCTTCCTCGTTGGCAGGTATACCAAATGTTCTGATTTCTGCGCGGCCACAGCGCCCATTACAGCTATGCCCCTCTTGCACGTCCCGCGTATGTATTCATGGCTTTGTCTTCGCATTGTCCAATACTACGAGCACAGGACTTCCTCCATCGAAAAATCTCTTTCTGTCGTCTTTCCAGCCCCAATTCCCATATTTGGTCGCACTCTCTTCGCATCTTAAGGCGAACGTCGTAGTCTGCAGCACGCCAAAGCAGTCGTCACCAAAACAGGGAATGCCGCAGCGAGCGCTTCATTGGCCAGCTAAGCAGGCTTCTTTCTTCCTTCGGAGCAGGAACGAACCATCGCCAAACCATGGGCGCAGCCCCACGTAGTCCAAAGCTTATTCCAACCACTGCAATGCTATGTCTCTTGAGCCTCCGCATATCGATATATATGTATTGGATGGGGGCGAGTCTGGAATGCGCAAGGCCGCCGGCATGAGGAAAACGGCGGGCTTTGGGTGCTCGAGGGGCAGGTCCTACGAAGGCGAGACTTCTGTGTTGCAATTTGGCGCAAGTGACATGGCGCATGAGAGCAGGAAGAGACTAGAAGTAAATTAGCTACCATATGATCGCCTTTAACTGTATGCGCAACCCATGTTGGTGCGTGATGACACGACTGGCTTGAGTCTGGACGGCCCGCCTGAGCGGTTTGCGGTACATTTCCAAACGCCAATAAGGAATGGCCTCGTTTGTTTGAGCTTCTCTATAAGCGCATTGCCTGTATTGATTGTACTTGTTTGCTCAGCGTGCTGCATCTCCTGATACGCAGCCGACTGATCCAGCTTTGGGCCTCCATGCTCTTGCGCATCCCTCTATCTGGCGTGCGAGCAGGCCTGATGTACGCCGAGGGCAGTGTTCGATGCGTCTCTGCTCCTGATATTTCTTGCCCATCCGACGTAAGGGTCTCGCCTTCGGAGGGCATCGTAGTAGAGATTAGGATGGCATTATCATCCTAGCGCCCTACTCTATTAAGAATTTAGTATAGGCGGGTCTCACAAACGTCTCGGCGCTATTCTTTTCATCATAGTATAAACTTACCCTGACACGATAATTGCCATCGATGCCAAATATCTTACGATCATGAGGTGATGGGGACCCTACTCATCTGCGAACGGCGAGGATGATACGTCTGCCGCATAATCTTGGTGTTTGTATAAGTGTCGAAGTTGGGAATGCAAGGCGCAATCTTTGGGACGTCAGAGAAGAACTCTCGCCGGCTGGTATACGGATAAGCAGGAGTATGAATCGTGCCTGCTCTTGCAGTTGCAGTTGCGGCCGAGTGCTTGGATTGTTTTCATATGCTCTTATTTCTACCAGTTCCGCTGCTGTAAAGAGGATTCGTAATTCGGCTTGTGTGAAGAGGTCCGTCCGATTGACCGAGGGATCCATTGTCGGTGCTCCCCAATCAATATATGCTCGAGCTATACAATATGACCAAAGTATATACTAGAAGAGTAAAGAGCTGGAAGAATGAAAAATGTCGTAGTTTGGATGTTCATATTCTGTGAACGGAGCTGGTGGAGTTTCTGCAACACTAGCTTAATCTTGCTAACGCTCCCTGCAACCAAAGTCGCCCCATGCCCGGCGACCACGTTTGGGTCCTCGCACTTATATACAAAACATACGTTCTACCGATGGCCATCAGCGGCTACCATGTCATTGCTCAATTACATCTTGACCGAGGTCTTACACTCAGAAAATGGGAGAGCAGAGATGCTTGGCCCAGCAGTACGAGTCTCTGCACACAAGCAGTCAACTTCTTGCCAGATGTCTAGCAGGATGTGACGAAGCCCACAGCATTTCAAATCTTTACCTTATGGACTTATGCTAATTCCTTTATAACCCATCGCCTTCGACGGGCCCGTCGGATGCAATCTTCTCTATCCTATTCAACAGCACCACGGCTCTACAGTTCGATTGAGCAGGCAATAGGAGGCACCACATAGACTATCGAAGACTGGAGAGCTCGGAGCAAAGCAGGTTGCACTACACAAGCAAAGTCTACCCGATCATTATGCTGAAAAGCAGGACTATCTCTATCTAGTGCACATGCACTGTCCTAATTTCAATCTGCAATTGCCTACGCGAGTACCATCATGAGCCCAATACTATAATCAAATCATAGCCTGATAGCGGATGGTGATTAGAATGGAGATGTACTCCATAGGGTTCCCAAAATTTTTGTTAAGAGAAAAAGTGGATTTTGTATGACTACAATAAATGCTCGGGCAGGATTCCAAGGAGGGTATACACTGCCAGGTTGCGAAATTGCTCAAATACCAATTCATATGCTCTTCGATCTCTGTACTCATATGGGGGGTCAGGCGTCGTGTTGAGGTTTGTGATTATTGTATGACAGGTCACAGAAGTGAGAATAGATGATGTTTGAATCCTAAGTCGCTCATGAGTGTTGATAACGGCAATTGGCAAATTATCAAAATACAATAGTGTGGATCTTGGCCTAAGAGGTGGAGACTCCGTACACGTAAAGCATGGAAAGGAGGAGCAAAATTAGCCAAGTGTCCAGAGTGCACCGCTATCTATAATCCAAGGCTTGTATTAGAGTAACAGCTAGGAATGCAGAAGAAGATGGTCACTGCTCAGTGGAACGTAGAATAAGCAATTACATAGACATACATGAAGCTAGATATCACAAAGAAGGTGTTTACAATTACGTTACTTCCTAATCTTCAAGGCTGCAGACCTACATGCCGATGAACTACCTATCTAAGAAACAAGATTGCTATCGTACGTCGTGATGGGAGTGAAATGCAATGCTACACGGTGGGAAAGATTAGTTCCACGTGTATCCAATCATTACAATCGAAGCGAACAGTGCCCAATGACGCTCGACAGGCCGTAGCTATGGTGGTCGAAGCTTTACCCTTAGCGAGTTCTTTGTTGACGTGTGTCTCCCTGTCCCACAAATATATTTTCTCCCAGCTTCCCCCAACTACCTATCCACCATCACACAATTCAAGACCTTCCTCAACTTTTCTCTTCTCATCAATCTCTTGCATCTTACTTATTAACCTATCATTATACAAACGATGATTCCTTATCTTGCCGGAATACTCGTCGGTCTATACCTGGGTTTGCTCTACAGGTACTTGCTGGTGGACCCACAGTACCAAATAGAGGTCTTCATTTACGACACTCCTGCTGCACGACAGCTGCTTTTGAACTTGATGAGACTCGGCGTCGTACCTTAGACTGTTGATGGCTCGTCTACATTTGTGCTGTAAGTGGCATCAATACAGTACCCTAGATGGGGCTTAACGATCGACTCTTGCACAACTACTAACTTCAAGCAGCTGATGACCTTGCACGCACTTGGTGTTTTATTATGGCATCAATCTCCACTTCCATTTTTCAGACAGGTATGTTTATCTCTCCCTTGGTTCACGAGCCTAAGATTATGATGATATATTCATACACTTCATCTTCTTGAATCTCCATGATAACACAATTCACTGATTTCCAATCTCCCTTTGCTTCTCTAAACACATCTCAGAACATTACATTTGACTGACTTGCCTCTTACAGAGTTTCATGATACCTCCCGTCTCGATACTAGCATCTTGCATGGTATCACAGGCGATGTCGTGTAGGCTCTTCCTCTCAGTACACCTGCGTAGCCGGTCTTGAATGGTAATGGTATCTTGAGAAGTAGCAGAGTAGCCAAGTAAGTTTCCTCTTTCCTCTCCCGATATACTGAAACATCAGTATCTTCAGTGACATGTTTACTTGGTCTTGCTCGGACAAGCTACAGGATACAGGATATCACCTCTCATCAAGCGAGCATCTGCTAATTCGACGCACAGTAATATTACAAAGTCCTATATATCGGCAGCTCATGCCATGGTCTTCTCTACTTTCATGTGCTCAATCACAACATTTGGCACACCAACCCTAGAGGGGCTTGGCTTTCAATGCTTTGACCTGCGAGGTGTGTGCCTAGAAAGAATAGACGCACAAGTTTACACTTCCGTGCTATCTCAAGGCAATGATAGTGCGGTCTTTCTATGCGAACAAATTATTGAATGCAGACATAGGTTCAGATCAAGACAGATTGAAGAGATTTCATCGCTAAGTCCATCGATTTTATCTGCATTACTCTCACTGACCACCATTCCCAGATGCTCAATCAAGACTATGTTCGTCAAATCTGTCATAAGATATGGACAGATCAGCTGAGTTGTTTCCTAGCCTCGCTTTCACACACCTCGCTAACTATTCCCATGAATTTCATCCTTCCATTTAGCAGATGCAATTGCATCTTGACTCTCTGTACCTTGGCTTCTTTGTCGTGTCGTGACTAGCTAAGTATCGTATCCCTCATTCTTGAACTTTTACTGACATTGCCGCATCAACATACTTTAGATTTAGATGACTGAGTATGACTTTAGTCTGCCTCGCCTGGCTCAAGACTTTGGGGTTAGCTGAATTATAGCTACACTCTAGTGACAAAGAGCAAGATCATCGTAGCTAGTCTGCGATGCAATGGAGACTCCTTCCGGTCATCAATCCTAGAACTTGGTAGCTAATACATTGCATACATCGCAGTGGACTTCCTCAATATTCGGTCTTTGGTCCTACCGAAGCAACCAGAGCTAAGTACCTCTTAACACTCCTCCGTCTCATCGCTAACTTGGCGTTGCACTAAAGCTATCGGAAGAGCTTGAATCGGGCACACTGCCGCTGAGTCCCCGCCTGATTCTTCCCATATTTTGCAAGAGCTGACAAGGACTAGAGCAAGCTACTCCTCCTCATCCTCCTCCTCCTCCTTCTCCTTTCCTATCTACAAAATATCAACAGTCACCGCTCTCGTCTACCACTTATTACAACGACTACGCGGTTGGGGATTTATGATATATCACGCTACGTCCTTCTCCTTCAATGATAATACTTGTTGCTAACTTTCATCTGCAAGGCATTTTACAAGACTATTCTTTCGGAATCCGCACCATCAAGACCGACATGTCTTCTCAAGCTACGTCAATCTTCTTTTATTTCTGCGCTCCTTGCTAACTTCAACTGTCAAATGATTATTCAACTTCCAGTTTTACTTTATCGCCTAGGTTGCTGAGGACAAACTCGTGTCATAGTTTCTTCCTCTCACCAAAGGCTAGATCAATTGCGAGTGTGATCTGACACCTCCGTGCGACCTCAAAAGGCATCAGATCGCCAATCTTAAGGATCTGGTGCCTTGATTTGTTCTGCTTACGCATACATGCCAGCATCTAATGATCTCTAGCAATGACCGTTGCTTCTCAAAGCTCGACTATTCGGTAAGTCTTCCACACACAAACAATGAGCGTCTACTAATAATGTTTTAGATCACCCATCCATAGTCTTCGAGCTATGGGTGGGGGGCTGTATAGGCGGGTTTGTCTCAAAGTCAATGAGGCAGGCCCATAGAGCTCAGCCCACATCAAAATGGCTGTCGGGCTGTTCAAGTCCCTCAGTCACTTGCTCATCTCCTGGGGTTTCTTCGCACGAATTAACCAGAGACACCGCTGTTCTGCGATCGTAACCGCCTTCGGGTCTGGTTCCTGTCGTGTATGAGCCGTGCATGTGCTTCCAAGAGGAGCATACATCCTAGGTAAGAACCTTCAATGTCATACAATCTCTCTTCGTTTCCACATGGATTCTCTCCAGGCTTCCACCCCTCCAGTCAACATGTACGTGTTTGCGCTCTCTTTTACCTTCTCACTTTAGTACCCTGCTTGGACCGAAATGGTTCAGGTGAAAGCCAATCATTCTGTGCTCCAAGATGGAGCTTGGGTCTGAGACCGTTTTGGAGGCAGCTAGGACTTTCCCTTGTGCCAATTAACCAGCGCGAGAATCATCGGTATCGAGATTGCGAAGATACAAGTAAGTCACACTCATGTTCCCAACCCACTCTTTAACTCTCTGGCTCGCGAGCAGGCCTACCATCTGAATCAACCGCATCAGACTCTTAGAGCCTTGTTCCTTTCCGAGTAAGTTCTCTCATCTTCAGCCGCTCCTTTGTCCCCACTTCCAATGCCGAATATGGGTCACCGAATCGAGATCCTGGGATCTGGGCTTTTGGAAGCTGTTCCCACGGTTCAATGGTGCAGCTCCTCCTGGAGGACTCAATAGCTGCATCATGATAGGTTGGCCCGAGAGCAAGCAAGCATTTTGCACCCTGAGTAGAGGGGGACCTAGGTCCTTCTTGCGATCCTGGCGCATGCCGGTGTATCAGCTCAGTTTGCAGATTTTAGTCTTGCACACACCAAAACTGCGTTCTGCCTCTCGTAAGGGAACTCTCAAAAGAGAATGGCTTGACGTGCGTGTCGGTGCGTACATATCGTCATCATATTAAACTGTTCCTGAATAGCCTGGCGGGTTTTACATGAAGCTTTGCAACAACATTTTTCCCCATCTCCTCATGAGCTCCTTGCTAACATTCTGCTTAGAATTCCAATCGGCAGTCATTTCATTCCACTTTTCACCATTACACATTCCCCAAACATCCCCATCACGGGCCGCCGAGTCAAGGATCTCGAGGAGTCGGGCTTTTGGAAGCTACTACTCGTATCCTATGGCGCAGTTCCTCTCCAGAGGCTCCATAGCTGCGTCATAAGAAGCGGCCCAAAAGCATGTGAGATTGGGTTCATTGAGTGGAGAGCAACCTAGTTTCTCTCGCGATCTTAGCGCAAGCTGAGTATCGGCTCAATGGACTTCAGTCTCGCGCACACGGACTACTCTGACGGACTATCACCGAGAGGACAATGGTAGTCTCGTTTGAGTTCGTGTGCACATGCGGTCTTCGAAGTCGGACTCTGAGCCTGTACGCGGTGAAGGCTACGAACCTGCTTGTCTCTCGAGATGGGCAGAGCCAAGTCAGAGACGCATGGTGGTGCTGGTGGTCGACTTGGGTCAATTGAGTGCAGGCCGTCGATAATCTCGCTCCCGAATCATATGATAGCTGTTGCTTCATGAACATGCTAACATTTCATCTCAGATCTAGCGCCGTTCCGATCTTAACCTCTGGACTCTGAGAAGTATACATTTCTCCTAAGCCGCTGACACCACACCAGACCTCCTCAAGGCACTTGCCAGATCTCCGGACCCATCCCAAGGTATGTTTCATCTCCATATCTTCCTGTCACACTTTCACCTCCCGATACCAATCCCCCTGGGTCGACTCAGCACGCTTTGCGAGTTGAGTGAGTGGATAGAGCTCGTCCTCGGGCAAACCAATGCTCTTTCCAACACTACCGTCCCTAGATTAAACCTGCAGCAATTGAGTATCCGACCTGCATCCAATGGTTGGTTGCGTGCAATTCCTGGTCTGCAGACAACACATCTTTCATACCAGACTGCCTCAAGAATTCGATTTTTCTTTGGACGTCTCAGCTGACAGTCGACGCAGAGTCGAATGTCGTATGAGTTACAGTCATTGTGCTCACGATCCTGGAAACCCGATGCCTTCACGGGATCAATCCAGCTACGTTGCCTCTATTTACACTACTCTCAAGTACCTTACTGACCTAAAATCGCTAGCTACAAACCTCGCAATACCCCCGCCGAAGTTGAGCGCGAGTAGGCACTCTGCTGTCAAAACAATCCCGCTACGTCGACTCTATCCCTGCTGTTCTTGAATGCTTTGCTGATCTCCAAACACTAGTCACATATCTCGAAACGCTCAGTCCAAACTGAGTGTCAGCCACTCCTCCGATACCTTAGCAGTGTATCATCTGATCCATCCAGCTACGTTATCTCCTATGTTTACCTGAACACCTCACTGACCACAATCATTAGCGACGTATTTGGAAGCTCTCAGAACCAGTTGACAGAGAGTGGTCCATTCAACATCGCTTCTGGCTCATCCATTGGACCCATCCAGCTACGTTAACTCCTATGATTACCTGAACCACTCACTGACCACAACCATTAGCGACGTATTTGGAAGCTCTCAGAACCAATTGACAGCGAGTGGTCCATCCAACACCGCTTCTGGCTCATCCATTGAACCCATCCAGCTACGTTATTTTCTATAATTACCTGAACACCTCACTGACCACAATCCATAGCTACGTATTTGGAAGCTCTCAGAACCAATTGAGCGCGAGCAAGTCATCAAAGACAGCACCGCTTCCGGCTTCTTCCAACAATTCCACCCAGCTACGCTATCTCCGCCCCAACTATAGTATACAAACCTCACTAACTCATCATCCTCACAGTCACCTCAACCTGCTCGAAACCCTCCGGCTCACCTCACCGGACGCGCGCTGAGCACATCCAGCTTCCTTTCCTGCACACACCCCCAATCACGAAACCTTGCTAACACCCAAACACCAGGACCGTCCTTCTCGATCCCAATCGACCGCACGACAGCGGGACCCCCTCACAGCAAAGCGTAAGTCTCCTCCACCCCGAACTCTCTCTCCCTCTTTCCCACATCGCACCACAAGTCCATCTGCGCGAACGGCACCGTCAACGGATGTTAGCTGTCCAGCTTCTCGTCTGGAAGACAAGCCAAGAGCAATGCCTCCACTCGACCATCAACCATTGCGCACTCAATGCGAGATTCAATGAGTGGCTACATCCTTCCGTCGTGCTTCTTCCTCTTCACACACTGCAATACATATCCCACACACCCCTCCAATGCATACCATCGCGCTAACTGATCACAGCAACACCAGATCGCCCTGAAGCAACGACGAATCCAGAGAGAAGAGCGCGCCTGACACACATCAAGGTAAGTAAATCTTGCACATTCATACCTTCCTTGTCCCTTCCTACACCTTCGGCACCGACACCACCACACCGCCGGCACCGTCAACGGATACAGTACTATATGCTGCGATCTGTAAGATAAAGCCAAGAGCAATGCACCTGTCTTCGAGTGTTCGCTCTCTCAAGACTATGAGAGGGGATACAAAGATTGGGTTACATTCTTTTTTTTCTTTTGAGGTTTGAGGATGAATCATGGATGGAGTTGGTTTGAGGATGGGTCTGTTTAGAGCTGTAGTGGAAATGAATATATGTTGAATTCGACTCATTGATTGTGACAAGAATGGTGCCATGAATCTGTGCATATAAGGATGTGACTTCCATAATTATTATGATTGTGAACGTGGGTATGACTGTGGATTTATTTCAAATTCGGCATGAGAGATTCGAATACGAATACGAGTGCCAAGGAACGAATTAGAGCATGTCGATGTCGCTGAAGTCACGAATGAAGTCACGTGAGCGTAAAAAAAATGGAGGTTCTGTACACAAAGGTCTGTAATGTGAGTACGTAAGACCACATGAATGTGTATTGGTAGTAGATGGAGATCAATCCAACCAGATCTACAGAATTGGGTTAGCTGACTGAGTCCTAAACAACCATATTACGCGCTTGCCATGTTTGTGAGATGGGTGCTGTGATGTGGGAATAACCCGGAACGCGTCTGACGGGGTGGAACTCGAGGGCTTACTGGAAGACAATCTCCGGCTTTCGCATGATAGACCACGTATAGCTACGGTGGCGGCATCTCTTTGCGTCTCGCTTTCATACAAAATGCAAGACGCGCTTCCCATGTCCCTGAATTTGTTGACTGTGCGCAAATATCATCCCATCACAATTACAAGGGTATCTTTTCAACGACTTGTCTAAGTCGCTCAACGTCCCGGGCTCAACGGCCTGTTGAATCCACCCGTTCTGTTCATGTATTGCCTGTACTCGGATATCGTCTCCTTCCTTACACAGTAGATGTCGTTCCCAGGTATCTTCGTATTCTTCGTGCTTTTGAAGCCCGCAAAGCCCATTACCGCTCTCATCTTCTTGGTCTCCGGATCCTCATCCACGTCGCCTTCGTCTTTAGCCTTCGCCTTTGGTGGGTCTGTGACTTTGGGCGTGACGCCCGGGCCCGAAAGACCACGGCCCTCGGTGATGGATATGTCGCGGGTTTTCTTGTCTATGTCGCGAGTGGCAGGTTTGTCTCGCTTAGTATCGCGGTCGCGTGGGTTGCTGCGCGGACCTTTCAGAGGGGATCGTTCGCGGACACGGCCGTGGGGAGCATCATTGCCTGGAGATCTGGAGCGAGAACGAGTGTGACGATCATCTGGCGTGTGTTAGTGGGTGAAAGAATCGAAGGTTGATCGGATCTCACTTCGGCGGGTGGATGTTCTGTCTTTGCTCTTGCTACGGTCGCGACGCTGGAAACGGTCGTCATCTCTGCGACGGTCACGGGTACTGCGCCTGGAGTCTGGCATTTTAGAGAAATGCGAGAGTTTGCTGGGTTTATTGCTGAGCGATGGTGTTGACTTTCAACGGTAGCATGGGAGTGTAAGGTTGCAGGCGGCACGGGCTGTAGGCTCCCAATTGTAATTATCGTATTGGTGGATGTCTACAGAAGAAAGCTGGATTACATGAGGCGTCTACCAAGAGAGTGCCAAGGCGCTAATTCAGGTAGCAGAGCTTGGATTTGCGTGCGTGCACTTGTGGGCACAGCAAATTACCAATGCTTAAGTGGACGTGGCGAAGAGCGATGGAGACTTTTGAGCACAGAATTGGGTATATTTATTTGTTTGAAAGTGGCGCAATACATGTCTCACACTGATAACCCTTGTGATATGACTGGTACAATACGCTTTGTCTGGCGTCAACCACCACTCCTTGATGCGTAATAATCACAATGCCGTGCAACTTGCTCTCCTTTCATTCATGAATCATTCGTACCCTTCATCTTCTGACCCCAGTACTCCTCGCGCTCCTCATACTTCCATACATCGAATCGTCCGCTGGCTCGCTCCTCCATGGCCTCTGCGGCCTCGCGTCGCCATTGGGGATCGAGACGGCCAGCGCCTAAATCTTCTTGGAAGAGGCGGAGGTCTGTGCGAAAAGCCTGACTTTGCCTGAGCAGCTGCTTAGGTAAGTTGGGAAGTGGCTCGTCTGCTGGGAATGAGTCTGCAGGGGGACCATTGGGTAGGATCTTGAAAAGCCGTTCCTGTGCCTCACGGGATAGTGAAGCCCATGTTCGCTCGTCGCTGAAAAGCATGTCTAGATCGAGGTTCACAAGGACTGACTTCGGCGAGGTCGTCACAAAGTCAGGTGAGTAGTTTGGTTCCTTCGCTCCTCGTGGCAGACGGCGTGATTGCGTTCGCGATGGTGTATTTTTGGCTTTCTTTGGAGGACTGCCTTGTTCCAGCGGCTCTTCGTAGCGGACAGGTGACTTTCGTTTGCGTTTGGGACGTATCGGGCTCTGTTGAACCTCATCCGGTAAAGCGTTGGATACCGGGTCCAGTGATGCGTCATCATGGTCTTTGGGAATGTGGTCATTATATGAATCGCTTGGCGCGGTGTCTGTACTTGTGCTCACGGCCACAGGAGGAACCGAGTCTTCCGCTGTAGTGTGATCTTCCGCCGCATCTGTGGTCGTCTGATGCTCAGTATGATTGTCGTCTTGGTGCGACTTGATGGGGTCGACGTGCTCAAGGGACTGGACAGATCTACCGGATGAGGGGGTACTGATGTCAGATCGAGCGCTCGAGAGTGGAGAAGAGTCCATCGAAGTGACTGTGAAACGACTGCGTAATAAGAGCCTTGGTTGAAAAGTTCGAGCTATAGCTTGATCTACTAGAGATGTTAGCAGAGGTGCGTAGGTGGAATCCCGAGAACGCTCCGTGCAGGGAGCTGTTGAGCAGTGGAAATGAACAAAGAAACGATCAGGCTAAAGAGTGTGCGATCGAACTGACATCTCGTAACGTAGGTTGCAGAGGAGCAAGCAAATGTAAGGAGTTTGCGAGGCTCAAAATTCAAATAGAGTAGGTCTCGGCAATGGGAAGGCGCAGACAAGTCTCTCCTCGCGGAAGATGAAGACAACAAGGGACCTCAATACAAGGTGCAAGCCAACAAGTATTAAGATGTATTGCGCCCACGTGTCCATAGTGGTGAAAAGACAGTGATGAATGATGACTCTAGCGAGTGAAGGGCAGAAAGAAAGAGATAGCGATAATCCTAGATAGCGATAGTGATCGATGATATTGCGCATTCACACAGAAACGAGTGCACAGGAATGTATGCGATGTTCAAGTAATGCGACCAAAGGGAAAAGTACACACACCCATCCGCAGTTATTCGTCGTTCCGCACGTGCTGTGAGGCTGTACGAGGTAATAGCGATGCAGTCAACGCTCCACTGCCCGAACTTTGGATTTGAATGATTCAGTCACAAATTCAGCTAGGCAGTGTGAATAGACACTGGAAGGTTGCGAATCGTAGAAGTCGTTTGGCGGTATACCGTATAAGGGAACATTGATTCAGCCCAGAAACCTCGAATCGATCCGGATACGAGCGCATCACACCAATAAAGGAGTCAGCGATACTGGTCGATGGCGACAGCTTTTCATTTTATATAACAAACAATGCTGATGCAGTAGGGGTGTACAAGCCAAATGCTCCCGGTGTGTATGTGGAGGTGGTGGTGGTAGTGGTAGTGAAGGCGGAGACTCTTCAGAACGCGTTCTTTATAACATGGTCCGTGCATGTTCATGCTGGCAGATGCCAGATATATACATGCATTCATTGATGCTCGAGCCTATTAACCTAGATTCTCATCCGCTCTGATTACAACCCACAGACTACTCCCTCCACTCGTCCCGGACCTCCATACCGTCGAATTACATACCTCTTTTTCCGACCTCTTCTCACGATGGTGAAGTCGACCCTCATCGTGCGCGTGGACCGTCAGTGCACCCCATCCTATGCTCGCTACAAACACCAATACTCACTCGTGTAATAGATCTCGGCGGCAGTGTTCTTGTCGAGACACAAAATGAAATGAGTCGGGATCCAGCTATGCTAGAGGCCAGCGCGAGGGTGAAGAAAGTAATCCGCCAGGCAGGCCCCCAGTCAGCAACCCATGCAGATATCGACTGCGGGAAATATACGGTCTTGTACGCCTGGCAATGCATACTTCAGCATGACTGTCTATCTAACTCTGCGCAGCTATGTCATGAGTGGACAAACCATGTATGTCGCATTCTGCGAAAAGTCATACCCCAAAAACGTGGCCTTTACCTACCTCGACGACATTCAAACACAATTCTCGCAGCAACACCCCGAACGAGAATATGCTGTTCCTACAGTACTAAAACCATTCCACTACATGAGCTTCGAGAACGACATACGAAAGACAATGAAGGCATACTCGGACCCGCGCGCTGTACAGGGACCAGGGCTGGACAAGATCAATGAAGAGCTCAGAGGCGTCACGGAAGTTATGAAAAAAAACATCGAGGATCTAATATACCGGGGAGATAGTTTAGACAAGATGGGAGACATGAGCTCGCGCTTAAGAGAAGAAAGTAGGAAGTATCGGAAGGCGGCTGTCAGGATAAATTGGGAGCTTTTACTCAAGCAGGTAAGTCGGCATTACATCTTAGCAAATAGGCCACCTCGAAACTCACAAACCTGTAGTATGGTCCGATAGGCGGAGTCGCGCTCATAATGATTATTTTCATATGGTGGCGCTTCTTCTAGTATCGCATCCTTCGGGCCCTGGCGGTCTCCATATTAGCGTAGGCGCATCACACGAGGAATGGGTTGTCTTCGACAATTGATGTCTATTCACGCAACATGCACCGGTCGCTGCCTAGGCCTGGTGCCAGCTCTCATCTAGGGAATGGGAGCGCTAGCATTAGCATTGCTAAAAGAGTCCTTAATGACTTTAAGCATGGCAGCACAAGTCGAGTGTTATGATAGTAATCTGATTAAATAGGGGTCTGCGGAGCGCACCACACTGTGCTAAAGCATAACATTATAATAGGCATTCATTTAACTAGGATATACTGAGAGGGTAGAGCAAGCAAGTGGGCGAACCATGAACTGAAAAATCATATCCATAAATATTCGTAGGGTTTGTGCCTTACTGTGGTGATAGCTTGGCGTTAGGCATCCCCGCACCGCACCTCCGAGTCGCCCAAAGCTGCGACGGTGTTCTTTGAGGAGACTCTTCCAGGAAGCTTGCCAACACCTTCCCACCACAAGCCATTGTTGGCCTTTTTTAATTGCATGATTCCGAACACTTCATGAGGTGAGCATGAAGTTGTTACAAGACCGCAGCGACCTCTGGTCCACTGCTGTCCTGCTCCTGACTGCATGTTGTCATCGGGCTGTCGCCGCTGACACCGCTGCCGAAATTCTGGAGATCGAGAAAGCTACGAATCAGTCGCTGCTATGGGGTCCTTATCGCCCAAATCTATACTTTGGAGTGAGACCTCGCGTACCGAAGAGTCTTATGGCAGGGCTGCTATGGGCGCGAGTTGAAGAGTACGAGGGCATACAGACAAGTGAGTTCTGACTCGATCTTGAGGGCACAGAACGACCTGACTAACGGCAGGAGTGTCTAGATCTCAGGCATACATGTGAGCAACATGAATTGGATGGTTATGGCTGGAATGAATATGATGTTCGCACCGGTGGCCGTCAGACCATTCACGACCCTGTGAACAAGCTGGATCTTACGACAGAGTTTGTCAAGGTTCCTGGCGGCGAGCATGGCGGCAATTGGGGAGTGAGGATAAAAGGTGCGCCTCGCGAGGATGCTGCACCAGATCTCAAGAGCACGGTATTCTTCTATGTCTCACAAGAAGGGCTTGGGCATACGACAGTCACGAACGATGGTGACGCATCTGGATTCGAGGGCTCTATTCACATGGAGGGCTCGGCTTCTGGCCTGGGAGACTTCAAGATTGAGATTACCGAAGGACCCAAGTCAAATTCGCACCCGAGACACAATCACCCAAGCTACGAGGATAAGCCACTTGATAAGACGTTCGTAAGGTCTATACAAGTGCGAGAGGATCAATTATGGCATGTTAAGCCCATCCTGTTCCAAAATCTGAAGGTCACTGTCGACGAAATTATTGCGCAGTATGGTGAAGATTTTGAGAAGCTGCCACCTCCACCTCAGTTGTATACCCTCACAAATGATATTGGTCATGGAAATATGCATATGATCCAGAAGGTATTCGAGGGTCCGTTCGAGTTCGATGTTCTGTACACCTCGGATTCATCGCCAACTCCGATGACCTCTGATGCCCTGACTAAGGCCATCAAAGACGCCACTGATACTTTCTCGACACGGTTTCTTGAGGTTCACAAGCCGCAAGCTCCCTTTTTCGGTGACCGATTTGAGGAGTTTTCCAAGTCGCTCTTCTCGAACTTGCTCGGTGGTATTGGCTACTTTTATGGCGACTCAAGGACTGATCGTAGCTATGATCCAGCGTATGAGGAAGACAACGAGGGCTTCTGGGAGGAGGCTGCTGATGCTCAGACGCGTCACTCGGCACAATCCCTCACCGATCCTCGAGAACTTTTCACGAGCATTCCGTCTCGCCCGTTCTTTCCCCGTGGCTTCTTGTGGGACGAAGGATTTCATCTCTTGCCGGTCATAGATTACGATGTCGACCTCTCGTGAGTTCCAGTGCATTCTTCGAATTCCAACATCTAACCCAAGACAGGCTTGACATTATCAAAAGTTGGTTCAGCTTGATGGATGATGACGGCTGGATTGGACGAGAGCAGATTCTCGGTGCTGAAGCCCGTAGCAAAGTCCCGCCAGAGTTCCAGATTCAGTACCCGCACTACGCTAACCCACCGACCCTATTTTTCGTTCTCCACGCCTTTCTGGATAAGCTCGAGTCAAAAAGTGCCATCACTTCAGGGAAGGAGTATGCCAAGCGCCTCCTGAACCCAGATGTCGCGACAAGCTACCTACGGGAGCTTTATCCGCTTCTCAAACGCCACTATTTCTGGTTCCGCCGCACCCAAGCCGGTGACATCAAGTCATATGACCGCGAGGCTTTCTCCTCCAAAGAAGCCTACCGCTGGCGCGGCCGCACCCCCCGACACATACTCACCTCTGGCCTCGACGACTACCCACGAGCCCAACCGCCACACCCCGGTGAACTACACGTCGACCTGATGAGCTGGATGGGCATGATGACACGCGCCATGAAGCGTATCGCCGAATTTCTTGGCGAATCTGATGACATCACCCAATTTGACAAATATGAAACGGCGATTCTTCGCAATCTCGACGACCTGCATTGGGACAGTACTGAGAAAACATTTTGCGACGCGACGATCGACGACTACGAGGAGAATTTACACGTGTGTCACAAAGGATACATCTCCATTTTCCCATTCATGGTGGGTCTTTTACCGTCTGATAGTCCGCGCATGAAAGATATTCTGGATTTGATATCCGACCCAGAGCAGTTGTGGAGCGAGCATGGGATTCGCAGCTTGAGTAAGAGTGATGAGTTTTATGGGACAGAGGAGAATTACTGGCGCAGTCCGGTCTGGATCAACATGAACTACCTCGTTGTACGCGAGCTTCTGGTATGTCACCCTTCCCTTTGCGCCCTCCGTTTTCGGTCCTGCTAACCCGAACAGAATGTCGCCCAAACTCCCGGCCCCCATCGTACTCAGGCAGCCAATATCTACACCTCTCTCCGCACGAATCTCGTCCAGACGGTCTACGACTCATGGCTCGAAACAGGCTTTGCATGGGAGCAGTACAATCCCGAGACGGGCAAGGGCCAGCGCACGCAGCATTTCACGGGGTGGACGAGCCTAATCACGAAGATTATGGCGATGCCGGGCTTAAGTGCAGACGGAGGAAGGGTGCGGGATGAACTATGATTTAAAAAGATATGGGGATTTGATGTATAGAATCCGACCTATGTTAAAAACGGAATGTCCTGGGCGTTTGCTATACTTAGAAGTCTATTATATCCTTCAAACGACGAGCATCAGAATTGTCGGATTCTTGGCGCATGTGAAATAGCAATTTGTGGGCTAATTTGGATGCTCGCATAACCGCGCCGACGATCCGGCTGCTACAGCTCCCACGGTCTACGGTCAAAATACGAAGCTCTTCCCCGCATTTGATACAAGATCTGATGATGGTACTTCAAGATATATGGCTGTTCGTCATGGTGCATGACCGGGAGTTGGTCCTTCTGCTAGGATAGGTTACTCACAGCGGTCCAAGAGCAGGATGCCACGCGCTTGCCAATGTTGCAGTAGCAGCTGTGAATATCGGAGGGGCATACTACTGGAGAGTTCGGTCGATAGCAAAAATGTCTATGTTACACTCCACTAGTCAGATCGACCATTTGAGGTACTGCTCCCGCTACATCGCACTGTCGCCGAGCTGATCTGCTGGTCTCTCTGTCATCTGCCCCGAAAGGTGTGGTCCACATAAGTCGACAATAGTTTTGTCCATTCGACACCGAGTGTATGAGGATACTAAGCATCTCTTGTGATGCATGGATTGTGCGACAGGATGGCACATTCTCAACTGCCGATACTTGCATTCTTCCGACAAATTAGGCACAACGTTGCAACAACGTCCTCGGCTCGTCCAATAGAACGGTGATCTAGCTGTCAAACAGTATGTCCTGGTAGATCTCCTGTTGAGATTACTAGTAATATGAAAGGCCCTTGATTCGAATACTATGACGAATCCTCCAGTAGCTTGTCGAATTGTGATCCTTGTTTGATCAATATACACAGTATATCCGTCTCAAGCTCACCCAGTGTCCACATGCCTCCACATTTGGGGCGTGCTCGAATCCGAATTTCTATTTGGCCTCGCAAAGCATATAAATATCGCTTCCCTTTCCAACTTCTGTAGTCTCAACTTTTCTCCTCCCGTCTCCTTTCTCGCATCCCAAAGTCATAAACAACAGCCTTCTATGCGGTCCAATATACTCGCACGCCTCATAGGCGTCTCCTTGGTTCCCCTAGTCTCCAGCCACGGCCACGTCTCCGGCATCGTCGCCGACGGCATCTGGTATTCAGGCTACGATCCGGCATTTGCATACGCCAACCCTATTCCCAAAGTCGCCGGCTGGACGGCCTCGAATATTGATAATGGCTTCATAGCGCCGGACGCGTTTGGAACGTCCGATATCATCTGCCACAAAAACTCCTCTGCAGGACAGGCCTATGTCACTGTCAAGGCCGGCGGAAAGCTGGTCTTCCAATGGAGCACATGTAAGTCACCGAGTCCAAATAGCAATACGATGATAAACTTATCGAACCCAGGGCCCGTCTCACACGTCGGCCCGGTCATCGACTACATCGCGCCCTGCACCACAAGCTTCAATACCACCGATCCCACCAAGCTCAAATTCGTCAAACTCGACGCTGGAGGCTGGATCTCCGGCTCCAACCCGGGCAAATGGGCGACTGACACGCTGATCGCATCCAATACGTCCTGGGCCATTACTGTGCCGGCAAAGCTGGCGCCGGGGGATTATGTGTTTCGCCATGAGATTATCGCGTTGCATTCGGCCGGCCAGACGAATGGTGCGCAGGCGTATCCGCAGTGTGTAAATGTGCGCGTGACGGGGGCGGGGACTGCGGTGCCGAGTGGAGGCGTGAGTGCGGTGCAGTTTTATAAGGCGAGTGATCCGGGGATCAAGTTTGATGTATATACGTCTTTTACCGGGTATGTGGTGCCTGGGCCGGCGGTTTGGACGGCGGTTAAGAGGGCGGTGGAGATGGTGTGGTGAGGGGAGGGTGATTGTGTATGGCTGTTGTCTTCGTTAGCTGGATAGCTTCAGATATGGCAATTCAATCGTCCAGAACTCGCTCTTAATTTCCAGGGAGTTTAGATATATACTATACCATCCTATCGAATTCCTCATCCTCTTTAGTCCACTGAGATTCAATTCCCACTTCGTGGCCAGCCATTCCTCCGAGCAGATCTCCAACCCAGGCATCCTCCACGCCGCCGCCAGGAACACTCTCTCCTCGCGCATACTCTCGATGATTCGCTCATTGGCAGGGAATAGATTGCTGTTATACGCTATGCGTAGCGCCATGGTGCGGTTCTTCTGTTGCTGCCAGGTGCGCGGCCAGGGGAGGGGGATGGCACTGGACGAGTCAGCGCCGTTCAAGAAACTGTTTCAACCGCTAATTACTGACAGAACATGGTCCATCTCTATATTCCTGAGACCTTTGATGTCAAGCAGCGCGGAGCCAGTGATGCTATTCAATATCATCAGATCCATGGAGTCGTGACTGGGACTATGGGAGACTTACAGGCTACCGGTGTCGAGATTTAGGATCTTGTGTAAGATGATGATGCCCTCGTGCATGTAGATTGATGCCCTCGTGCATTTAGATTGATGCCCTCGTGCATTTAGATTGATGCCATCGTACATGTAGATGTCTCTTTTATGGTCTAGTACGCAGTCGCGCCATAACTCCTCTGGGGTTGCATAGCTGCGGATGAAGTAGATTGGGCAAACTGTCTGGCATTTTGTGAGGATGAGGTTTTCTTTAAGCTGGCTCTATCGTCCATAGTAGCCGTGGTATGGGTGGTATCTACGGCCCGTGGTGGTAGAAGTATGAGTGGTGTGGCTGGTTGAGCTTTGGGAGTGTGTTGACTTTCTTCAAGTGTGGACTGGGAAGAACTTGAGCTATGGTCGTGGTCAGGGCGGCGGCAGTACAACTTTTGGGCACTAGCATGGCAGTAGAGGTAAATATCATATCACTTATCACGAATTTAGATTGCCATGGAAGTCGGGTGTCTATTAATTGTATTCCATTCCATCTCTTGTTCTGCTAGTTGAAGGGTTTTCACCTGTCCCCTGCCTGTAATGCTATAGTGAGTTGCAAAAGTCGATCTGGCTGATTCTTTGTGACAGTATGTTGAGAAATACTACTATGACTGTATTGTCTTAATGCTTCATTCTTCCAGGGACCACTCTCGGTTTTTATATTCCCAGCCTACCATCCGTCACCTCCTGATGATCAAGGCTTTTCTAGTGTAAGTCGTGATTGATGCTCACGGATTCCGCCGAAACTTAAGTCGATACACTCAAAACTCGGTACCAGATATAAATGAAAGCCATGGTTGGTATGTACCTGCCTAGTCTTGAAAGCATCTTCAATGAGAAGTGTTGCAAGGAGCCATACCGTAGGGGCTACATGGCCTTGTCTCAAGAAACTGGGCATTCGTGATCTGGCTTTTGAAGCTCATCAGAGCTTCTCGCTTATCAGTATAGGTATCATCATGACAGAGGGGCATGACGCGTTTCTGCACAATAGCTCCCAACACTCAATCGACCATACCTTTCACCACACCTGCTCCGAATCAATTAGCGCCTGGCCGTTCAGGCAAGGAATACTATGCTTTGATCAACCAGATCTTCTGCAGCTCATAAAGATCTGACAAGCTTAAGAACACACAAATACTCATATCTCACACAAAAATCATTTCTAGCCACAATGTCTTTAATATTCTCCATGGCGTCCATCGACAAGCCCAACCAAGCTTGCTTCTGCCACTACCAATACCACCATTTTTACACTTACCCTCTGTTCCCTGGCGAAACCCTCTTACACTCCAGCTGCGAGTCCATATGCCGGTTCGAAAGCTGCGAAGAGTCCTTTGAAGACCCGATAGATTTCCGCACGCACGTCCTGACAGCACACCTTGACCTTCTCCTGGCCCTCGACATCACAGTGTGCGAGAAAACAGTGGACGTGGAAACTGGCGAGATGTACGCTCTATCTACCTCCTAAATGAAACTCCTCTTCGATCTGAGCCCGTACTGACTGTATCTCTAGGTTGGAGCCAAGGGAGCTCAACTCCTATTGGCATGGGATACGCCCATTGGTGATAATCAAGAGGGCACAGTAGTGAGTGACAGCGGTACCATGAATCAATTTGAACCGCAGCTAATATCTATACCCCTAGTGCTACTGCACGCCAGCAGTACCTTGCCGCGGTGGAGGAGCAGAAGAAGAAGAAGAAGCTGGAGCTCACAGACAAGATGGACTGAATGGAGCTGTTGGCGCCCCAGAGCGCAAAGCTAGTGGGCGGAAGCATGGCACTACGAGGAGTGATGCCGTGCGTGTAGATTATAGCAAATGAAATGATTGACATTACAATTGAAGACCGTGTGTTCGTGTTCTCGCGTAGGCCTCATGTGCTCTCAAAAGCCCAGTATCAATAGATAATGTTTTCACGTCTGACTCTCGAGATTCCATGAACGATATATGAGTAATGATACTAACACACAGATCTTAAGCCAAGATACATATATACTAGGCTTTTAGTACATATAAATATATGAACTTTCGTCCCTAGAACTTCTACGTAATGGAGTATCTACCAAGTTATATATATGCCTAAGCATTTAGCTACTCCGACGGAAGTAGGCCTGGATAAAAGCGAGAAAAAGCGTGGCGTTCTTAATTGCCAGACGGAGTGACTCTTTTTAAGAGACTGTAAATGGCGCGCCAAATTCGTGATTCTCTAGCACATTCTAGGCTTCCTAAGTGTAACTAGAAGCTAGATTGAAAGCTCGGCTGGGGGGAGATATCAGTGATTATGATAGACATTGCGACTCAATGGAAGTCTTGCTGCTTCACGACATGATTCTAGCGCTTAGATCCCAAGTATCAACGGATCTATGTATTTGATTCCTCTTTGATAGCTATGTGATAAAAAACTTTTCGCAAACTTCACATAGGACATGGCGCGAGACAGACCATAACAAATCGACAAATAGACTGTAACACGCATCGAAACCTCGCACACACCATAAGCCACTCTCCATTTTATCCTCTTCGCACCCCAACCAAGCCTCGCAAGATGCCACGTCTCTGCTGATCCGAATGCGCTCTGTCGCAGACACCAGCCGCCAACACCACACCCACGCCCTTCACTTGCGTGAACGGTACCTCACAGCTCTTCGAAATCGCGAAGAAGCCGAAGAACTTCAGCCGTTCCCTTGCCTTCCCTAGTCATCTTGTGACGAAGCATGCGAAACGATTCGCAGATCCAAATGTGTCCCTCAGACACTGATCGACCGTATCAGTAGCTCACGGTCAGCACACACCATACAATCACGTAGCGAGATACTTGACACAGAGCGCGCCAGACAACATGGAAAAAATCGGTCGGACTAAAAAGGGCAAGGATACACGACGTGGAGCACGTCTACATAAGAGACCTGAGCGCGCACAAGCAAGAATGTAAACGCTGAGCAGGACGCATAAGTACATAAGGGAGAACAAGATTCCAGACTCTATTGCAGCAGCTACCATGCTCGCGAGGCGCCTTGGTGCGTGCCGAAGAGGAAGCATAATGGGGACGGCGGAGCACAGTAAAAATGTACAGGATGGAGATGCGGATGGAGATGCGGATGGAGATGTGGATGGAGACACGGATGGAGATCCTGCGGGCGACTAATGAGGTCTTGAACAAGTTAGGATGCGGCTGCTCTGGTATGGATGTAGATGATCGGTGAGTAAGAAGAGATTGTACTCTTGTAGAACAGGGCTCGTGTATCAACAGAGACATCACAATCACAAAGAAGAATATGAGGCGTTTATCCGCCATGACCGGAGTACCATATATACCTACTCCACTGTCATAGAGCATACAATATTCGACAATACTAGTTGCTACCTAAAGCATCTATCAGTCATTGGAGGTCAAATATTAGAAGATAGATTCCCGATGATGATGCTCGGGCAGTACAACGGGATGCGGGTGGCCATAGACCTATTCACGGAAAACAGTAATTGAGACCAGAATGAAACGTTGCGCCTGAGTACGATAGTCTCTACAAGTGCCTCTCATTCCTAAGCATGAACTCCTCGTTGAGATTATTAACACGCCTCACTAGTGCTTCATATCATGCTCCAGTGGTTATGTCAAGACATAGGGTGCGAAGGATCCGATAGTTCACTATAAGTGTATAGCTGCACGATATACCCGAGCCAAGTGATCGAGGATCAGGCAGTGAACCTTCATTTACTAACTTTAAATACCTGCCCTTCGCTCCGTCCGCCCAGCCTCTATAACACTCTACAAGATACACGCCTGCTGCTGCTGTCTCTCGAGGTTCCATATCAGGTCCCTATAATCTCTAGCAGAGACCGTGCCAAGAGCTTCTCTGTCCACCATTGACATGTTAGCCAACGATGGTCCTGGAATGGAGTATGAAGATAGTGTGCAAAGATAGGTGGTAAGAATGGCGAAATTACTGTTTCGGAATATTAGCCCTCTGTGTAAAGGTACGTGAGCTTACGCGTGTTCATGTACTTACGGTGGTTATTGCTGGTTTCTGCCATGTTAAATAATTCGACCGTTTTGACCCACGAAGATGTTCACGGCCCGGGACCTCTTTGAAAAAAGCTTCAATAAGCAATGTATCTAGACTTGATTCCCGTACTCGCGCACTCTAGCATTGAATAATGGCACAAGTGACGACGTAAGGAAATATTTAAGCGAGCCTAAGATAGAGTAAGGCATGGGCCGAAGCCGGTTTACTTCTACCATAGTTAAAGATATTCGTTGTGATCGATCGTCGCAGGCGCGGCGGGTAATATGTCCGCGCCTGGCTCTAGTTGTTATGTTTGTTGTTGTCATCGCCGGAGCGTGGTTCTCATTTCTGTCCGTGACGGCTTGTTAGAAACTTTTGCAGTGTAAGACTAGCGTAATGGACATACCTTATTCCAGACCGACTGATTGTATATGAGTTGTGATTGCAGACTATTATGAATCGCTGCCATCAAGCATAGCAGTACTTTTGAGCAGTACAAGCAATTGTCCACGCCATTCACTGCAGCCACGCCTGATGCTTACGAAGAGAGCAGACGCCCTATGAATCAGGGCATCCGCTCTCTTCGTGAGCAATAGACGCGTCTTCTTGGGAGGTTTGTTTAAAATCCTAGAAGCAGACCATTCATATTAGTAACTCGAAGGTTAAGGTGTTACAGGACAGTTGACCTACCAAAATAGCTGTGGAGTTCTGTATGTATTGTGGCACCTCACTGGAGAGCGATTAGAGAGGGGATCCCTACACCTAGCTGCCCTCCAGTGAGGTATTTCACCAAGAAGAAAAGAGGAAAAGAACAGGCCGCTGTGTGGTATTAGATCGCGTGTAAATTAGAGTTGAGTATTCAAGGGGAAGGAACTTACAATCTGAGTACCGACCCCGAGCTCGATGCAATGACGAAGACGAATCAGAGTCGTCATCGCCTCGAGCTCAGGGTCTGCCTTTGCCAGGGCTTCAAAATCGTTCTCTGAACGACGAGCACAACAATGACCCACTCGATCCATGCCTCAACAGCAATGGACCGGGAACACGATGACCATCCTTGTGCTCAGCATTTAGCATGGTCACACGTACAATAGACCACGTGAGGGCCGTGAAATGTTGTAGCAAGAAGAAGTTAAAGCAGAAATAATTTGGAGTTGAAAGTTGTAGAAGGAAAGAGGAGGATCTGGGGAGGAAATGGGTGAAATATATAGAGACCTGGCAACGGCGCTAGCGAGCCCGCTCCGAAAAACCCAAGGGCTCGTAGAATAATAGCTTCACATTTTGGTTGCTTACTGGCTGGATTGCAGACGCCAGATCACATACAGCACCATCAATTCTTTTTCAATATTCTCTATCACTGTTCGTGATCGTTTGCAGAGGCAGTGAGCTTGATCTCTGCCTTTTCTGGATCTACAGAGAGCTTCGTTGATTAACATTCGGTCTCCGGCGACCCCCTGAGAGCTTGAGCTTCATATGAACTGCTGAATTGCAAGCCTTGTAACACACCCTGCCCTTATACAGAGAGTCTACATCTGTTTCAAAGTACCTGCAAGCAGCTCGCCTTGCTGGAATACACCTCCTTACGTATCTATTGCAGATAGAGGTCAGTAACGAAATCAACACGGCTCAACAACCTCACGCACCTCTCAAGCATTCAAGCTCTCGACCCACATTCTCACTTGCACTGTAGCTCTCGCAGGGGTCCTACAATTCCTAGCCCTCGCTGATACCAGCCATTCAAGTGTCATCACTGGCGAGAAGTATCCATTGACGATCAGATCTCCCGAAAGTCTCACGTGCCACTGAAGCACAAACGACCTCCTCCTCCTCCTCCCTAACTCCATAAGTCCCTCGAAGATAGCGCGACTCGCCATTCTCGATAAAGCTAGTCTCAAGATTGCCTGCGGCAGGAAGAGCATTGAAAGAGACATTTCAACACCGAAGAGACTCCCACGTCCAAGAGACTTGAAGAGGTCAAAACCCCTCACAAAACGATCAAGTACGACGGCATCACAAGCCCCTCATCCCACCTCCTCATTACATCTCCTCCTTCTACCACGATATCAAAGCTCTTGAAACGACAGGAAGACCAAACCTCGTCTTATAACGTATACTCCGACGTGCTACGACGCCCAGTAATAGATTGAGCTTGAAACCTTCTCGAGCGGCCACAATCCTTACCAAGAGACCAGGAAAAAACGTGGAAAGCACTCTAGCTACTTCCAAAGCTCTTTTGAGCGCTATCATAAAACCCTCGCCTTACCGCAAACAAGCCCCTGATTGCCTTGGCTGAACAAACCATCTCTTTTCCAAAAGGCTAACCAGAAAACGTCGGCCTGGTGTCTCGGAGTCCCTCAAACGAGCCAAACGCAAGAACAAACACAAACCTCCACGCCCACTCCTTCCGCTATACTCGTCTCAGCCCCTCTATCAAGACGTTACAATGCCCTGCCATTGTCATGCTGGTCGCAAGGTCCCACAATGGCCACCAGGCCCGGGCACTGTGTTCACATTCTCGGAATGTGAGCATGTATGCGGCGACGTGACATGTCCTGCGGGTGATTGCATCACCCACGAGAATCTACGCCTACACTTCGTCCAGGCCCACGAAGCCGAGTTTCTCGAACGTGGCGTTATAATCGCGGACCATGAGCTTAACTTGGACACGCGCGAGCTGTAAGTACCTTTCCATGACGATGAAGGCTGTGCCTTACGCGATCATTGTGCTAATTAATGTCGTATAGCGCGGATGTAGCCCCGGGCATCGTCGACACCGTCGAGCGCGTCCGGAGAGCTGAAAGGGAGAGGGGTCAGTCCTCTAAATTAGCTGGACAGGGCTATAAAGTCACAAAGTCATCCCGTCCTATCGCGGGCCAAGTCGGCAAGAAGACGAAGCGCGCAGAGGATAGCGTGGCTGAAAGACTGTCAAAGATGACGCTTGGGGGTGGAGAGGACGCAACCAAGCACAAAGAGGAGGGCAGCAAGGCCGTAAAGACCCAAGCCTGGGCACTGAATCCGGACTCAATCGAGTACGATGAAGAGGCCGGACATGGGTCAGCTACCATTGTAGCGGCTGCCGGCTCTGAAGGTATCGATGAGTCGGATATCAGGGAGGCCTTCCGGAAGTTGAATATCCAGAAGAGGCGTGAGAAGTTGGCGAGCGGGCCTCGCAGGATGACGACTGGCCGCAAGGCACCAGCTATAAAAAGCTCGAACGTACCTGTCATCCTCGTGTCCCACGCCGAGGATGCGGGCGCAGATAGCGAGGCCCTTGGTGGTATCAGTGGTCCTGTGGGAGCGGAGAAGCCTGACTTCGATGAGGATGATGCTGAGATGGAGGATGTCTGACCTTGTCGACAAGGCGGACCGGGCTACACTAGTAGCATATAGCGGAGAAGCGTGCTTCAAGACGACGTACTAGCAGTAGCTGGTAGAGGATAGAGAGGTTGTGATAGTAGGTAGGAATATGATATCGTCGTCGTTGCCTCAAATTTGATAATCCTCCTGTGTGGCGCTACTCATCTCATCAGTAGGACCTCGCGACAAAACCATAATACTAGGGTAGCGGCACCCGTATCCTGTACAGGCAGAGTACTTCCAGGCGGTACTCGCTCCTTGACCAAGATCGGAAATCTGTATAATGAATTGCTTCAAGACCGGGTCTTTGTTTAATGGATGAGTTTTCCAAGCGACAGTCAGTTCAGCCTCATTTTCCAGTCTACGCATCGATATGATGAAGCTTGCTTCCACAGTGGCGCTTATCAGATTCGGATAGGCTGACAGATGTTTTCTTATACTGTCAAGGGTCGATAGCCAGTCGCAAGGCACGTGAGCACTGCTAGAGAACCATCCAAAGAGATTCTGACCATAGATCATAGTGGCAGGGAGATCCAGACGTAGGCGTCTAACACGAGCCATCATCGATGATGGAACAGCGTTTGGGCCCAAGAACCTTTCCGGGATACGCTGGTGCACAGTAGCATGAGCGAAGAAAAAATCAAGAGCCTCGTCCCGTATCTGTCGGCTGATTTGGAGCACACTGATATGGATTCGATGATCGAATGTCGCAGCCGTTACACGCACCGTGGCGTGTTTCTCGATCAAAAGTTGGTATATCTCATCCCGAAGTTCGCGGGGAAGCCTGAGAAATGCAAAAGTGGACTCGTCCTGATGCTTGAACATAATTGAAAATGGAAGCCGGACTAGAAAAACAAGGAACAGATCAAGTGTGCGAGCAAGGAACTAATGTATCTAGCAAGGAGACTCTACATCCAGTGTTGCGGTGGGATGCTGACGAGCGCCTCGTCAGCTCTTTATCTGGTTTTTAAGCAATCTAGAACTTCGAATCCGAATCCGAGACCAATGAGGTACGTGAGATTGTGTCCATTGTGCAGAGCATGCTGTAAGACAGAATCGATCATCGAGCTGCAGCGATAGCACAGGTGACTCGCCGGCTGGAGACCGGTACAGTCAGCAAATGAGTTCGACTCAAGTCATCCTGACATCTGTAGATGTAAGCCGTGCCTCCCAACGACGATTGTTCTTGTCGATGAGAAATTATCTCGTTCATTCAAAGTTCCTGCGCATAGGGTCCAAGGAGGATATTCGAACGATGCTGCCAATGGAGTGGAAGCCGAATTCTCAGCTGTGTCTACGAGCGCATATGGCGACAGATGCGAACATCGCTGCTGATAAAAGACCCATCATCCGTTCGCTGAACATCCCAATATGACTTGTAACAACGTGGTCATATTTCGTGTTCAAGAAAAGCGCTTTCGTCGCGTCACATATTAGTCATGTATGCGGTTTCCATCGTCTCGGTCGGTTCGGCACGCCGCGAACTTCTAACATCGTCCACGGAGGTGTCCCGGAAGACGCGAGAACAAGCAACCTGGGATACATTATATTCGAGATGATAGTGATGAGCAACAATACACATGGTGCGGGTTGCTCTTTCGCAGGCTTCCCGGGCGGGCTTACTGATTACAGTAACCGTCACCAAAGCAAAAGAAATCAAAAATCTCAAGCCCGATTCCCAGCGCCATGCCGCCTGTCGATCCGTTTCAGGGGGGCTGGATTCCCTGAACAAGCAGCCAATGGTACGGCGCCAATGCCCCAGTCTGCCACAACAACATCTCAAATCATTCCGCGCCGCACTCGTCGATCGCATCATCGCAACACTCAACACCATCATCATCATCGCCTTCTGTCGCGAGAGTCCATCCTCTCCGCTTTCTCCATATTGATGGAACCGCTACTATAGAGCTCAAAATGGTGTATCAACCGAAGTCTTCGGCTTTCGCGCGCATGCGCACATCGAACGCATTCATTGCATTCGTGGTTTGCACTGCCATATTTTCCGTACGTGCCCATTCATAGCGAATCGCTCATATCCTCTATGCTAACAAGATGCGCAGGACTCATTCGTGTACGATCTTGTATGTTCTGTGCAAGACTGGCACCGTTGCGGCGTATCTGACAACCTCACCACAGATCATTCCTTTCATCCCGCACATGCTAGAGCACCGACTCCATCTGCCAGCCGATCAAGGTGAGAGTTGGCTGCCATGTAGGCAAAGTTGTGCTAACAGCCATAGTACAAATATGGACATCGACGTTGCTTGGCGTGTTTGGAGCCGCATTTGCCATTGGTAATTGTAAGTCCGGCTCATCTACTTTTCTACAGTGTGGTTTGATTTACGACTATGACAGTGATCGCGGGCTATCTCACAGATCATTCGCCTTCTACAAAGTTCCCATTTCTGCTCGGCATGGTCACGATGATCGCATCGTCCTTGATGTTCTTCCTGGGAGAACATATTGCAGTCGCGGTCGCCGCTCGTGCTCTGCAAGGACTGTCGGCATCGTTTGTATGGGTTTCCGGCCTTGCCTTTATGACTTCGAATGTATCCGGCAGCTTTATCGGCAAGGCCATGGGCTACGTATCAGTCGGGATGGCAGCCGGAGAACTTCTTGGACCGCTTGTTGGCGGTGCCATGTACGAGCACGCGGGTCACTATGCTGTTCTAGCCCTTGTATGTGCGATTCTTGGTGTCGACGTCGCGCTCCGGCTCTTACTGGCGGACAAAGAATCTAATGATAGTAGGGGCTCTACCGGTGCCGCTCTGGAAGACGACGAAGAGCGGCCTCTGCTTGATGAGGGCCCAGTCGGAGAGGCTGATGTTCAAACGCCGGTAGCAGAAGATGCCGGAGTAACGAGCTCGAAGACTATTGACATATTTGGACTTCGCCTGGATCGCGAACTATGCGCCAGTTTCTATGCAGTCTGTGTTATTGGGACCATCCGCTACTCCTTTGAGTCCTCGCTCAGCATATTCGTTCTTCAGCGCTTCTCGTGGTCCACGTCCGCCAGCGGCGGCATTGTCTTTGCTTTCCTTGGTCCAGCAGCTTTTGGTCCGCTGGTCGGACACTTCACAACAAAATACGGCCCACGCTGGTTCACCGTCGTTCTATTTGGCGTCTCCGCAATTGGTCTCGTCGGTCTCGGTCTGTTCACCCAGCCCAGCACTGTGGTAAAAGTGTTCTTTGTCATCACAGTCGCTGTTGTAGGCATCTGCATGTCATCGCTTACCACGATTCAATCGATAGCATTCTCGGTTGCGGCGAAGCGAAGAGAAATGGAAATGAAGCGGGCGGGTAAAAGCAGCAGTACCGGAGCTGATTTCGGAGGCTTCAGCATGGCCTGGACTACCGGCATGTTCATCGGACCGTTGGCTGCAGAGCTCTTTGTCGACCACGTCAATTGGCTGGCATATTGTTTGTTTCTTGCTGGACTATGCGCAATCAGTGGAGTCATCATGTCTTTCACATGGAAGGAATGGGAAATACCTGAAGACGAAGGGTCGTGAAGCGGGCACGGAGAATGTTTCTATACAACCACTAAAGAACGTACAACTGAAACCAGCAAGCTTTCAACATCTCCCGCTCAGTGTATAGCACAACTTGAGCATAGAGCACCATGAAGAACAAATCAGATTCTGGACTACTTCAGCAGGATGACGTAAGCGGCCTCAGCTTCGCTAAATATGTTTGTTCTTTTGTCCAAGGAAACTTTCTTTCCTTCATGCCCAGTTGAACTCTCTCCGTCCAAAACCGGTCGCATGTTCCATGCATCATGGCTTCCCCTAACAGCTTGTCAATATATGAGGACGAGTCCTTCACAATCCACACGGCTCTTTTGTTCTCGTCTCCATACAGGATGTTTCTTCAAAACATATCCCTCGTCATATCGCGCACCTCCGGCTTGATTCTTAAAACATACTCCCGTGCCTCCGCTTCCGCTCCAGACCCTCTCCCCCCTTCCGACATCGACCTCACCCACCTAACAATTCTTCCCGGCCTGGTCGACGCCCACACTCACATCTTCCTGCATGCCTACTCCGAAGTCTCGGCCACTCATCAAATGCTCCACGAATCCCCGGTCGAGCGCATCCTCCGCGCCTCAAACCACGCACGCGCCGCGCTCGACGCCGGCTTCACCACATACCGCGACCTGGGCACCGAAGGCATGGCCACCGCCGACATCTCCCTCCGCGACGCTATCAACCGCGGCATCACACCGGGCCCCCGGCTCTTCATCGCTACAGATCCCATCACCACCTCATCTAGCTACACCATCGCAAACGAAAACCCAACCCTCCACGTCCCCCGCCTCGCCGACGAAGCAGACGGCACCTCCGCTCTTCGTGCCGCAGTCCGCCGCCGCCTAGGCGCAGGCGCAGACATCATCAAGATCTACGCTGACCAAGAATCGCGCGCCGGCCGCTATCCAGAGCCTTCATTTCCCGGCGCCCTGCCCATGCGCTTCCCCCCGCTTTGGGGCGATGTCCCGCAACACATCACGCTGTTCACTGCTGAAGAGATGGCCGCCGTGGTTGACGAAGCGCACGCCGCGCACTGCCCGGTGGCCGCGCATGCCAGCTCGCCTAAAGCGGTCATCCGCGCGGCGCGCGCGGGCGTCGATACGATCGAACACGGACAGGAACCCAGCGCGGAGGCGATCTCCGCGATGAGAAAAGCCGGCTGTATCTTTGTGCCGACGCTGAGCGTTATGGAGTATGAAGTGCCGGCGGACGTGCTGCCACGCATGTATGCGCATACGTATGCGGCGTGGAAAGACGGCGTGAAGATTGCGTGTGGCGGAGATACCGGACCGGTGCCCCATGGACAGAATGTGCGTGAATTGGAGCTTCTGCTTGGTGCCGGGGTGCCGCTTGCTGATGTGCTTGCTGCGGCGACGGTGCGCGGATGGGAGGCGTGTGGCGGCGAGTGGTGCGGACGGCGGTTTGGAGTGTTGCAGGAGGGATGGGCGGCGGATATTGTTGGACTCGAAGGGGATGTTAGAGAGGATGCGAGTGCGTTAAGGAGGGTGGCGTTTGTGATGAAGGATGGGGAGGTTTGGAAGAGGGATGGGAGGAGGGTTGGATGAGGAGCGGCGAAGGGTGATGAGACAATACTATATTATACTGGCATGTATATATCCCTGCCTACATAACAAAGCTTTTTGCTAATACACTTCTCCTCTCTCTTCCCGCCCATACAGCTAAACTCTTACATAGGCAACACCCGCATCCGCTGACTATACTCAATATCCTTCGTCCGCTCCTCCAACACGCCGGCATAGAATCCCTGTCCCAAGACATGAATGCGCTTCCGATCAATCTTCTTACTCGCCGTGCGCGGCACCCAACTCATCAGCACCCACGTCGTCGGCACCATATATCTCGGCAACGCCGCCGCAATCCCGCGCTGCATCTCCTCGACTTTCGCTCGCACGCCGGCATCCTCCAATGCATCCGCTAACAGCGGCGCAGCACGCGGCACCGGTGCGCAGCTTGCTGGATGTGCGTCGAGATACAAGAACGCCGTCAGTGAGGGGTCGGCCTTGCCGTTGATGATGCCGAGCAAATCAACCACAACGGCATCCGCCGCTCCGAGAAATTGGCGCGCTTGGTGTTCAACTTCGAGCGCGTCGACGCGGCAGCCGTCGATTTTAAGTATCGTGTCTTTGCGACCGAGATATGTGATGCGGCCGTCAGCGGCGAGGCGGCCGAGGTCGCCGCTGCGGTACATGCGGGCGGGAGCGCGGTGCGGGTGAATGTCGCGCCGCCACGCTGGAACGAGTTTGAGGAAGCCCGCTTCAGAGCGGTGGAGAGCGGTGGTGTCGATGTAGCCGCGGGAGAGATGCGGGCCTTCGATGATAAGTTCTCCAACAGCGCCGATGGGGAGGAGGGATTCCGGAGAGGCCGGGTCGACGAGCCAGATTGCGCCGCAGGAGGGCCGGCCGATGACGGCGCCGGTGTTGGGGGCAATTGCGTCGTTGTAGGCGCAGCAGATGGCGACTTCGCCCATGCCGTACTGGTTGACGAGATGGGTGTCGTGCGAGGCCCATTTGCGGACGAGGTCTTTGGGGAGCGGCTCGCCGCCGACGCACATGAGTTTGAGGCCGGGCACGTCGGAGGGGTTCAGGCGGATGGCGACGGTCGGGGTGAGGAAGATTGTGTTAGCGTCGAGGATGCGGATTTGACTGGCGAGGTCTTCGACGGTGCGCATCGGCGCCGGGACGCAGGCGGTGCCGCCGATGATAAGAGGGACAAGAAACTCAAGATTGGAGATGTCAAAGGCGTAGTCGTCGAATTGCAGGAAGCGCGTGTGGGCGCCGAGCTTGAGGTTACGGGAGTAGTCCTGGATGGCGGTAACGTATGAGGAATGGATCTGAACGATGCCTTTGGGAGTGCCGGTGCTGCCGGACGTGAAAAGCACGAGACAGGCGTTGTCGGGCTGGATGTCCGGGCAGATTGGAAATTTGGTGGTAGCTGGTAAACTTCGAAGCCATTCAGGAGACAGTTCGACTACCGTAGGTACCGTGTTGCGGAATTGGTTTACAAAGTGCGAGTCGGTGAGAAGGATCGAAGTCTTGGTGCGATTGATGACTGATTCGAGGTATATGGGAGGATTGCTCGCATGGATGGAGATGTACGCCCCGCCAGCTCTCAATATAGCAAGTCGAGCAACAATAGCCCACGTCGACTTCTCGAAACAGCTAAGAACAAACGTCTCGGGACGGACACCAAGTTGAACAAGGTGAGAAGCAAGTCTCGAGGAAAGATCATCGAGCTCTCCGTATGTCATGTCTCCATCCCATGAACGAATTGCGATTTGGTCTGGTCGCTGTTTACATGTATCGACGATCAAGTCATGGAGACATTCGCGCTTGACAGGAGAAACATTGCTTGTGAACTTCTGGATGTGTTGTCGGTCCCAGGACGGGCAAAGGTTGACGTTATGAATCAGAAGCGTCGCAGGAGCAGTCAGTATCTGGTTGAAGATATGCTGAAAAGTGCGTAGGACACTTGCGGCCATACCCTCGTCGGTGTGAGATAGCTTATAGTCGAGCTGAACTCTCAAGCCATTGTCCGGCAACTTGGTTATGATGACACTCAGGTCAATCTGAACTTCGTTAGTTCAACTTACAGTTCCGTCTTGATTCAATCTCACCTCTTGGTGCGCAAATCGTGTTGCTGTACCATTCCTGACCTCCTCTTCGCCTACATTGAAAGAGATGGCTGTATTGGATTTATGCTGATCTGTGTCTGCTTCGACAAGAGTGATCTCAAAGCCAGCTGGACCAGTCGTCGTAAGGGACGACTGATGAGTTTGTTGAAGCCTCTGTATGAAGGACCGCACAGGTTCGCTGCGATCTAGTTTCATGACATACAAAGTTGCGAAGGTGCCAGCATCATGCTTGTCTGCAGCGTCGGCACTGGCACCAGACGGGCCACTGTAACCAAAACAAAGCACATCAGCAACAATGAAGCATTGTAATGTCAAAGCCCAGGCCGCCTGGATTGTTGCTGCTATAGCACGACTCGTGACATCTGTTGCTATTGAGTCTCCAGCACTTATCAATTCAGATTCGATCCATCTCCTTCCCTCTGCTGCCTCATCCGTGCTGGACGAAGGAAACAGACAAGTCGACCGATCGTGTCGACTGGAAGAATGGTCCGTGTCGATAGGGTTTGCCATACTGTCAAGCGATCCTTGAGGCTTCGAATGGTATTCTGCTAGACCTGTCTGCGGGACATTCCAACATGTACTCTACAGCCGCCTAGCCAACATCTGCTTCAGTGTCAACTGCCATGAGAATGGTTGGGGTGTGTCCCGGATCCTGGGAACCACTGATTCTCCCCCTATGCACTGTGGAGAATCGTGAGTAAATGATTGGCTATTCTGAGCCCTTTAGATCGTTTAGTGTATTAAGATGGCGGGACATCCGTTCCCTTCTATCCCGTTAGTGCGTACCAGCTCCAGCCCGCCACATGTGCAAGCCGAGATCTGATATCTTGTCCCGATCGGGTATGGTGTTACAACAGCCGTGCTCAGCACTTCGGCTAGGACGTCCAGATACGGACACATCATACCTGCATCCTTGTCGTCCTCGAACTCTCTTCCAACGTCGTTCTTGTCGACTTGACACATCTCTCACAGTTCAGACATGCCAGATATAGCCAGAGGAAGTGCATCTCCGATAGAGACCGCTCCAATGACCATAGTATGTCCGTTGCAGTTCGGATCGGCCGTCTGCAGTTGTTCCCAGTCCGCGGAATCACGATCATGCAGCCTGCATCACACCGATACCCGAATGCACTCCTCACCCACTCGTCAATCAAACGAACACGGGTTAGCCAGGAGACTGACTGTGACGCTTTGACATGGCCCAACAAATGGTTCCATATTGTTGGCGCAACAAACCAGTCGTTTTAGTACACATCTTATTGTGGAGTATATCGTCCACTTTTGTGATTTGTTGGCTGGAGCCAGCCCCTAGCGTGCAGCCAGCCTGAAAAACGCCATTCTGATGATGTAAGGAGCTGAAAACTTCTTGACCCATGCATGCAGCTCTAACCTCCCTCTCCACAATGCCTGATTAGTGCACATGAAGCTTCATGCGGTCTCTTTGGGTAATGCTCACTGCATTCAAGATTTCAGAGCAAGGCATCCCTGGAAACCAAGGCAAGACACATGTTTACAGCTGATGATGTAGCATAACCTAGCCAACGACCCTGGTATCTCACCACAAGAACCTAGGCAGCAATACATGTGTGATGCCCAAATGCGTCCAAACAGACCTCATTCCCGCATATACCCAGGAAGCATTCTCGACACCATGCCTCTTCTGTTGCCTGAATACCACACACAAAGCACCACAGTGGCATAGTCCCCATATCCGCCGCATCCACGCTCAGCACATTTCTTTGCTCCCTGCTCTCTTTTCCGAATACACATTGCATCAACAGCTCCCTGTCCGTATTCCCTGCATCCAGCTTCGGCAGCCATCTCACCCACGGACTCCTCCGGCGAATTGCACTCTGCACGCGCAGTCGCATGGCAATCTCGCGATCAAGTGCAATCATGGCACCCAAGCCACGCACAGCGTCTGGCTCACGAGTAGAGGGCTCGAGATCATGCAGAATGCCTCGTATCGTTGCTCCAATGGTCTCACTTCGGGCAGGCCAGCACTCCTTGCGAGCTGTGGTCAGCGTGCCAAGCGCTTCTATGAGGACAGGTGTACGGATGGGACGCGAGACCAGTGCGCGCCAGTAGAGGATGGATTGTAGTATATCCGCGCGTTCAATGTAGGTAAAAGCGTGTGTGATAGGGCCTGAGAAGCCGATTGCAACGCCTGAGATTCCAAGACCTTTCCCGAATATGACAAGATCTGGTTGAATTGGAATGGTAGAATTGGCGCCATTGGTGCTGTTTCCATTGACTCCGTTCGTGCTGTGCTTGACTTTAATGTTTGTGTTGTATTCTGGGCGTTGAAATGCAAATGGCGCGCCACAGCGGATGGCAGTCATCGTCTCGTCCACGATAATCAACAATCTGTTACGCTGAGCCGCAAGTTTCAGCTGCGCATACTGTTCAACAGACAGTACGCTTCCATCTTCTGTAGAGACCATGTCGAAGACGACTGCGATAGCACCTTGAGCTTTCGCGGCCGCGAATTGAGTATCGATCTCTGAAAATGACGGCCTCGTCTTGAGATTCACAACAATAGGTGGTGGTCCAGAGGCGATAGCTTGAACCTCCCATTCCTTCGACGTGTGCGCCAACGGTCCAAATCCAGCGCCATAGATGCCCTCAATGGCGACAAACGTCGGCTTTTGCACGTGAGCTTCCGTCCAGCCAAGCAATTCAAGTGAGAAATCCCGTATCCGTGAGCCAGTTTCCTCGGGTTCCTCGTTCGCCTTCGGTCTTAGCTCTTCGCTATTCAGAATCAACGGACTAGTGGCGACAGTATTGAGAACGAGACTGGCGATGGTCGTAGGAAGAAGAGCATCGGTGGCATGGGCGTGCAACGAGATCGGATAGTAGCCGCCAAAGAAGTCGGCAAACAGATTCGTGTATGATCCTAGAAGGACGTGATACTGTCGATCTACGGAAACAGGAGAGACAAGATATTGCTCCCAAAGCTTTCGAATGGCTGGGTCGTGTAATGTACTGCGTGCGGAATAGGAGCAGCCCCAAACAGAATGGAAGTCGTGGTCTGGAAGAGGATCCTCTTGGTGATTCGACTTGATGCCGTTCATGTTAGTTGTAGAGGTCTGGTAGGAATTATGCCGGTGATGTCGGTATTCAAGATACGAAGAACTTTTACAAATGGTTGAGCTTGTGTAAGAATGTGCATGCAAATGTTGTTGACTCGGCTGATTGGACTTGGACAGCGCCACTTGGGCTGTATAGTACGCCTTCATTCTGAAAAATACCCGACCATATAGAATGCGTCATCCACTTAGCTATTCACTCGAGGAAAACAGAGATGAAAAATCCAGGAGCTACTAGACTGGGGTCCTGATTTATGCTTCTGGGCGGCTCGAGTAGGATTCTGATACTCTCTTGCCGCGAAATGGGTTCATGATAAGGAAGATGCGAATGGGCTAACGAAGAACTCTTTGGACGTCGTTGAGATCTGATTAAGATCGAGTCGCTCGCATGTCGCTATGCGACACCAATTGTTCGACAATATCCAGTAGCCAGTATGGAGACCTCTTGAACAGAAGAAATCTAGCGATAAGGTCTGTGTATCAATTCTAGTCTTGCCCCTTTCCCCATCCCCGTGTAGCTCGATTTTTCTGCAAAGGGTGTCCTGCAGTATCGGTGCCTTGTATTTCCATTATTTCCCCTATCACAAGTTCACAACTAATTTTTCTCCTTTCGTTCTGCTCGCGGGGATGATTTTCTTCTCCGCTGCCTCGTCAGTATCAAGATCACATATCTCCATCTACCCGTCAGTGGTGTCATTGAGTACTTCATTGATAATTGCGACTCCTGGGCCCGTCTGTCACAGACAGAGTATTCCTCGACATCTGTGACCAAGGTTTCTCATTCGGCGTGTCTTCTTTTCCAACATTTCCTCCGAGGCAAACTGAAGTAGATCAAAGTCTAGCTCTACAGGTTTGCGGCGCAGCAGTGACTCCTTGAAAAGTGGCGCTCGAGAGATACGATGGAAACACTTCGGAATGTCAGTTGTGTCAGAAACGCGCCGGTGTTGGACATCTTGACCATCTCTGACCTTCAGACCTCACGCGAGTGACCTCAAATGAGGTTGTTGTATTTATATGCGGTGGCAAGGAAGAATTTATGGAGATGTGCTGCGCCGTAGACGAACATTGTGTTACAACGGAGAGAATGACGATTCGATTTCGCATTCATACAACGCCATTGTGTCACTATGTCATCGAATTCAACACTTCTTACAGATGTTGACCTTAATTCCCCCTCCTGCCTACGAACTCACGTGGTCTCAACCACTGTGTAACTTCAATTGATGGCACTCTATATAGCTAGCATAGCTTTCTGACTCGGCTGCGGGCATGTCTTATTAGACGATCAACGTTTTCTAGGAAGACTGTGATACAACAGTACGGTGTATTAGGATGCATATCAATGATCAACTATCACATAAAAGTGATTCTTCTTTAGCTTCAAGTACCTAAAGCGCGAATAATTCACACATTGTATAGAACCTGATATTCCCCAGACTTACAGCGTAAATCTTTTACCGTTAGCAATTAGGAATCGCTTCTTTTTCAGCTGGACCTAGACTTCCACTATTCAGGGACAAAACAATCTCGCCATTGTTCAAGGGGATTCAATAATTCACCTCCTTCAGTCGACGAAACGGAGTTCATGTCTGATGGATGAGCAAAGCCCCATCTCACTGACGTAGCTCCCGAAGAAGGATCACAACAGGCACTCACACAGCATCTATACTCAACAGAGAAATCCACTTCATATTGCTCCATCTACCCACATATCAGCGTTCCAAAGCTAACTCAGCAACCGCATCCTGAAACTCCTTCACGCCCTCCAGCACCCTCTTCTTCCGCGCTTCATCAACCACATATCTATGCTCCAGAATCTTCATCTGCTCCCTCGCCTCCCGCATTCTCTTCTTCTTCTTGCTCATCGGCTGACACGCCGCACTATCAAGCCGAACCCTGGATAGCACATCGCGTTAGTTAACACTTATTCCATACCGGGACACAAATTCACGATGCGATGATACGCTCACAGTTTTCCGGTCGCGAGATCGAGCGCGCAACTGTCGATGATGCAGCCCAGGCTCTCGAGGAGGGCGGCGTGATCTGGGTCGGTCTCTAGGTGGGTGTTGAGCTCGGAAGCGCCGGCGAAGGTCTTGTCGGCGCAGGAGGGAGCGGGGCATATATGCTCGCAGGTGGTGAGTGTGATGAAGGTGTTCTTAGGGGGCGGCCAGGTGGAGAAGCCGAGAGGAGTGGTTGGGTGGCAGTTGCAGGGCATTTCGGTTGATGTGATGAGTTTTGGGGAATGTTGAAGATGGGATCTGGTGGGATTTGGCGGGATGAACTTGAGGTATGTAAGAAGGCAAGTATCGACTGTATTTGCAAAGACATACGCTTTTTGTGGGATACGCGTTGGAGGGTGGTTGATAAGGACACAACTGTGTTCACTTCTAAAATGTCGATTAGCTGGAGGGGTATGTGTACCTGATGAGGGGCATAGAATTGAGACAAAGTCGTTGATCCGTATATACAGCCTCATGTTATCATATAGAGAATATCATCACCATGTGGTATTATGTGACTATCGATTGTCTGTCTTCGAGTTCTCTGGAGTTTAATTATGGACCTGAATTTTTAGTACAAACAACGAGTTGTGGTACTATCAACAGTGCTTGACATGGCGTCTTGACGTGGGAAAAGCGGCATGAGGAGTTGAGACAGATGTATAGAAACATACAAGATGAGTTCACCAGATTTCATTCCATTTGCTTTTGCTTTTACAGTCAGACACACAGTTCAACACGGTGTGGTGCTTAGTACGCTGTGAACAGCTCTACTACCCCTTACATTCATTACCCACACATCCCGAGTGACTCCCTCAAGTTGTCTTCTACTCGAGAATCATAGGAAGAGAGGATTGGTGCTCAGTGATGTGTTCCGTCTTCATCCCAGTCGAATTCCCCATGTTGAGGGTCTTCATATCTCTCACAAGGTTCGCAGCCTCCTGCCTTTCAGATCTTGTCATGCGTTTCGCCCTAACCCTCTTTTGCTTCAGAAATTTGCTGCCTGGTTCGTATTTGCCTCGATTAGGCTTGTTGTCGTGAACAGTAAGACCTTCGAACAGCCCTGCTATATCATTTGGTGTGCTCGGAGGAGGAGGTCGAGTTAGCTTGATGGTGTTGGCTCCAGTCTTTCTTGGACCATGACATGGAACACGTTTAGGTAAGACACCTCGACTTCTAGCTCTCGCAGCTGCCTTGTTCTGCCTTCGGTCAATGATCTTTCTCTTCCTTTCTGCCTCCATAGTCCAGAACACGTCGTCAAGTGCTTGGCATTTGCCTGGTACAAAGCTCTCATGACTTTCCAGCTTCTGAAATTCCAGCAGGGCAAGAGGATTATTGGTTCCATCCAGGTGTCGGCCCAACCTACGTGAAGCGGCTCTCTGGATTCGACGCTTTTGACGCGCCTTCCTGGATGACGCAAAGGATGCCTTCGCATCACGGAAACTGACTCTGCACAATGTCAGGAATTCTTCCAAACAAACGATAAGGTAGCATTGGAGATTATACTTTTCACCTGTGTCTGCATCAATAGAATCTTCATCCAGTCTCACTCCGATGCTGTTAAGATCCAACCCATGTACGTTGGCGACATGGCGGCGAAGTTTCAGAGGCGTGCCGAACTTGTGTTTCTTCGGTGGACCCTTCAGACACACCTCGAAGCCACAATGTAGTTCACAGGACTTAATAGTGAGAGCCTCCCCAGCACAGAGTGACCACCCTTCGTAGCAACCGTTCTGGTCCTTCTTGGAATGACATACACAAGGCATGATGGATGAATAGCAAGAGAAAGGGGCTGACGATCGTGGTGGGACGTGTGAGGTGAAGAGAATACGGAAAGGTTCAGGAATTCGGGTTGACGGAAAGTGGGATAAGAGAGTCGGATGCGTACCGACTAGTCCTGTAAAATACGGGACTACCGATGTAATATTGAAAATGTTGCTTTGGGCATGGTACTCGATGCCTTGGCGTATGGTAAAGCAGTCGGTGAATGTTCTCTTGTGAACAGTGATAACAAAGCACGGCCCGTGCGTCCCCAGGCCTTGAGGTCGTCAGTCCTAATCGGGCTTCTGGACAATTTATATTCTAGGTCACAGACTCTACACCTTTTTTCATCTGGTTGGGTGCTTGGAGGAAACCTATGAGAGTATGAACGTGTGACTTTGTGCTCGGCATGTTCTTTCTGGCCTTTTGGTCCGTTTCTGCGTTTTACCAAGAATCATTCCACCGCCACACAATACGATCCACCGGCATTTGACCCAATCAGTTCGTCAAGTACTTCAACAGTAGGAATGAATGAATTGGATCTGTGACAATAGGGAAACACAGCGGGAGTCTGTCCGCTGTCCAGGGAAACAGTGAGCAGAGACAGTCTCGCCTTTGCCGTCAGCTATGTCTGTCACCCAATGGCAGGCAACAGCCATATGTAACAGCCCGACATACGGATGTTAAGGAGATAACGGTAGAATGAGTAGAGGAGACGGCGAGGAGCTATGATAAGAAGGTGTGATGAGCGAGAGTTCAACACCTAGAACGAATAATAGACTGTATAAGATGGAAGAGAATGGTGAACAGAAGAGCAGAAAAAGAGTGTAGATACGAGAGCACAAGCTCCCATACGCTGGAAGAGCCTAATCAAAGTTCAGTAACGCATGTGATTGTTTGTCTAAACAATGAATCATAGTCTGCGAAAGGAGGACATGTTGCGAATGCACTCGAGTTGCTGACCAGAACTGCGTCGCGTAATCACGGGGACGTTAGACACCGAGTCAAATCCAGAACTCTGTCTGCTCAGTCTCAGTATAGTTGTCAAATATTCGATGATCAATCCGACTGGTATCGACTGTCTGAAAGGATACCGTTGGATTTGTTGCCTTGACACCTTAGGCAGCAGTGGTCTACTGGTTCAACGGCATCGCGAAACCACTTTGCTGCAATAACTCAAAGTTGACAGATCTGGATGAACATCTTGCATCTCCAGTAACGTCACCCCTTTGAATCTTAGTCTTTCCGTATCCGATAGCCATCTGCAGTCGTATTGGCTTGAACATGTTGAAACGACCACTATCTGCCGAGTAGTTCGCGATCCGCAGCATCGACGACAGTGAGCAACGTCGTACTTGCATCTGAGAAGCCCCTAGTAATACAGAAAGGGAATTTGTTCTTGAAATTTCGGTCGAGTAAGATATGTACGACGTACTGATCGCTCAAAATCTCGGCCCAAGGCGTGTCACGACTTGTAGTCTTCGTCTTGGTACGACCTGTGGCCGCGTCCACCGTCCAAAGACTTCTCCGCATTCTGAAACGCCACGGCCACTTCACAGCAACGACGGCGCTAGACCCATCGAGATGACGCCGTGCACTCCGCCCTGTGATATTGGCGATAAAAACTTTGCAGGCGCAGATGGAAGTGCTGTGGAAAAGCCAAGTGCCCAAGATACGCTGCCAATGCGAGCGGCTTGGGTTGTGACGCACGACGACTTGGCCGTCGTAGAGCAGAACCTGGGGAAGGAACTAGCCGAACATCATATAACTTCCACATTTCCGGGCATCGTGGCATTCTCTCTTCATACCTATCATCTCACAGTCCTAGCGAATCTCCTCGAATCAATCTGTCTCTGTATCTCTAACTTAGGTCCTACGCGGCACTCGAAGTACTGTTGCTGACCCCTATCAAACATTATCGCAAGTGTCCGCACCTCAATCGACCTTGCGTCGTCTTTTCTACCTCTGCTATGGGTCTGGGCAAAGTGTACGTGAAGCAGTGGCGGCATGACCTGAGCGAACATTTGAATAATTCTGATCCTGATCGATAGATCTGTCCGCGTCAATGGGGCCGACTGTGGCATTGAAGCGATCATGTTGGGTGTCATTACGTCCATTGGGGGATTCCTGTTCGGCTATGATACTGTATGTACATACAGTGCTTGGACGTCAGTCTGGTGGCACTGTAGCAGAAGGGAACTGCTAGAAAGACCACCAGGCTCACGCACTGTCACTGTATATCTCCATACTGGAAGGAGCATTCTGACATACATAGGGCCAAATCTCTGCAATGCTGCTCTTCAGAGACTTTATCGCACGTTTTGGACAGCGGCAACCTGACGGCACAGTTGCATTCGACACCATCATCTCTTCTCTTCTGGTCTCACTGATGAGTATCGGTACTCTCATCGGCGCTCTTTCTGGCGCCTACACGGCCGACTGGTGGGGTCGTCGTCGGAGCTTGAGCTTTGGAGTCGTGATATTCATCGTTGGAAACGTCATTCAGATCACTGCCATGAATTCCTGGGTCCATATGACGGTTGGCCGTTTTGTTGCTGGTCTTGGGGTAGGCAATATGAGTGTTGGTGTCCCGATGTTCCAAAGCGAGTGCTGCCCTCGCGAGATTCGTGGAGCTGTTGTGGCATCATACCAGCTCATGATTACGATTGGTATCCTGGTGGCGAACGCGATCAATTACGGCGTCCGAACTTTCCAAGACGACTCTGCGTCCTGGCGAATCGTCATTGGTCTTGGTATCGGTTTTTCGCTCCCTCTTGGAATCGGAATTCTATTCTCGCCTGAAAGTCCGAGATGGCTAGCTGGACGTGGTCGTTGGGAAGAATCGCGTATGGCGCTGGCGCGTCTCCGGGGTCTGAAGGATGACCCACACAATATGCTCGTGGAGAGTGACTACAATGAAATGACGACCTCGATCGTGGAGCAAAACAAAGCAGGAGAAGGTACTTGGCTCGAGTGCTTCACTGGACAGCCCTCCCAGATCCCACGTCTGGTGTATAGAACATTCCTGGGCCTTGCTATCCATTTTCTTCAGCAATGGACGGGCGTGAACTACTTCTGTAAGTCAACCAACTCTCGCACCTCACCCTAAACGTATAGAATTCCCACTGATCTCGAAAAGTCTACTACGGAGCGACCATATTTAGATCAGCCGGTATCCAAGATCCTATCATGACGCAGCTCATCCTTGGTGCCGTCAACGTTATCATGACTTTCCCTGGATTGTACATTGTGGAACGCCTTGGTCGTCGAACACCACTCTTCTATGGAGCATTGTGGCAGGCAGCGTGGCTGCTCATCTTCGCTGCTGTTGGTGTCGCTCGACCACCTACGGAGTTCCAGAGTTCGGGCGTAGTCATGATTGTTGCGGCTTGTATGTTCATTGCATCGTTTGCAATGACCTGGTAAGTGCTCCGTCCGAGGCGACATGATTAAACTAAGAGAGTGTAGGGGGCCATTCGCGTGGGTTGTTATCGGAGAGACATTCCCTCTACGTACTAGGGCAAAGCAAGCTAGTTTGGCAACTGCTGGTAATTGGCTAGGTAAGGGCTCCGCAAAGGAAATGCTCACGGAATCACGATAGGCTGACAGGTCGCAGGCAACTTCATGATCGCATTCCTCACTCCATTCGCAAACAGGGGGATCAGCTACGCCTTCGGCTTCGTTTTCTTTGGAACCAATCTTGCCGGTGCACTACTGGTATACTTTTTCCTCTTTGAAACAAAATCACTCTCCCTGGAGAACGTTGATGCGATGTACTCCGACACATCGTTGATGCCACGGAAGAGCAGCAAGTGGGTTCCGGAAGGGTATATAGATCGCAACATTCGTGATGAAAGATCATGGAGAGCTTCGAAGGTGGGAAAACAAGACGGCGTGAAGGATACAATTAGCGATGGCTCCGGGGAGGGCACGCCTTCAACCGCACGGACAGAGCACAACGAGAAGGTCTGATCGTCGAAATGGAGGTATCCGTTTTCCTGCTATGGTTTTGAGCCAAGAGATCCAGACTGCTGGGATCAGGCAAATTAGAATTCAACTCCTCGCGGCCACAATGAACAGATCACAATGGATTCGATATGTCCTTGAGTTTTTAGTCTGCATTTGGTGAGCGCTATCTTTCAGAACTCTAAGCCAGCCCTCTCGCGCTTACCTCTCAAATCTCATCCTCCTCTTCGTCGAAATCATCCTCACTTCCCATGTCATACAAGATTCGCCCTCCTTCCCCCACGCCCTCATCTTTCTGCGCATCGAAGTACGGCAGAACCACGCCCTCTCGGTCCCTTCGCTGCTTCTCCGTTAATCCTAAATTAAAAGTCGTATCCATCCCCTGCTCTACCTCCTTTTCGTCCTCGGCAGGAGTTCGATAAAGTGGATGATCCTCCAGTAGAATCACCCTCTCCTTGCCCATGCCCATAAGAGACTTCTTACTCGCTGATACCTCGGACGCTACGGATAATCCTGACGATGTCGATGGAAGAAAAAACCACTCCCTCACGCCCCGTCCCGATTTGCGCCGATACTCCATCTCGACCACAACGCCGCGCGTGTCGTTCGCGCCGAGACTGCTCACCACGCCGTCAATTTCAGCTGCCAGGCCAAACACGGGAGCGGGCAGCGAGCGGTCGCGGGCGGCCTTTTCGGCGAGCAGGTGCGCGAGAGAGTGCGTGGTCATGAGAGTCGTGGCGAGGTAGGTCAGGACAGTGAGATCGTCGGGGACGTAAGGGGTACTGGTGGTGGTGCGGACGATGTCGGAGTGATATGTTGCGACGAGGGATGTGGTGGGTGAGATCAGGGCGGAGAGGGTGGCGGGGAGGTTGGAAGTGGTTGCGGCGAGGGCGTTTATGGAGTCGAGGATGAAGATTGTTTCTGTCAGCGGGTTAGTAAGAGTGGGATGATAGATTGATTTGCTATGTACTTTGGCCGGAAGGGGTTATGTGTAAGGAGGTTTGTTTTTGGAAATCGGCGAGGGGGAGACGTGACGCGGTGATGAATGCATCAACGTCTGCTGGCTTGCGGAGAGTTTCGAATGATATGAAGACGATCTTTGTCTTTGCGAGCTACAGCTCAGATTAATATATGTGGGTTATAAGTAGCGACATCAAAGTACCTTTGCTCTACGAATGATCTCTTGCACTAACAGCTTTCCAGATTGCTCCAGAGAGTCAATGACAACAGTGAATGGCGATACATTATCGCGACCATTCAACAACTTCGATATCAGCAGCAGATTATGCGTGCGCCTGTATTGAAGCTGACTTGTACGAGACATAATGATCACTACAAGAATCGCCGGAACAGGAAAGATTCTTGATATATCTTTGATACACACGTGATCGAAAACTCAAAGTCTTGGCACTCCCCGCCCGGACATAGCAGCTCCACTGCCTAACCCCCGCTCCGCCAATGTTGGTCTACTATATACACCTCAGCGCACGCACTATGAAGTCCCGAGCGCGTCGCAGATCTTGTCGCGCCTCACCATGATACAGCGAAGACCCTCAAAGCTTACGTTGGCGAGATGACAACCTCGTCTGCTGCGGCAGCATCTTCAAAGCCTCCTCGCCCGCGATCTCCACACTTTCCCCCACACAATGCTCCCCGCGTGTGGCTCCTCGTACACGGTACTTCGCCTATCAACATTGCTCTAGCCCGGAAGGTCATTGAGTATGGAGACTATGTTGTAGCAGGCGTGCTACCAGTGGAGTATGAGCGGGACGAGGAGAGGATGTCGGAGTTCAAGGAGTTTCTGGAAGAGGCTAAGAGGACGGAGAGGTGGAGGGAGAGGCTGAGGGTTGTGGGACTGGATGCAAGGTACATATCTGCTGGACACCCTCACCGCGGAAGAGTCGGTTTGACATAGTATAGAGTTATGGGGCAATGTCAGGCTGCTGTGGCTGAAGCAGTCGAAGCTTTTGGAAGAATTGATGTGCTTCTAGGGAGCACTAGTGAAGGTAGGTGCTTGTCAGGGGAGCTTACGAACAAGTGCTGAGTATAGCAGCTGTTGTTGGAACAATTGAGGAGCTGGCTCAGTCGGCCCGGACACAAGCTGTCGCGCGCGATCAGTTTGAGATCAACTTCTTTGCCAACGTCAATATCATAAAGGCGGTCCTACCGAGCATGAGAGAGAAGAAGAATGGACACATCATCATGCTGACGGCGATAAGTACGTACTATCGCGTGACATTATATCATATAAGCCTTGACTAACCTGGGAATAGCAAGCCATCTTGGCACTCCGGGCCTAGGACTCTACTGTTCGTCTCAATGGGCTATCGAGGGGTATTGCGACGTATGAACCATACCTGGCACCTGTTTGACAAATGCGCTGACCTTCGCAGAGCATCGCATACGAAATCGCTCCGTTCAACATCAAAGTCACCATCGTGCAGCCGAACTTTGAAATCACCGTCCTGACAAACCGCATTACTTCCGTACCCCCTATGCCAGAGTACTCTCCGGACGTGAACCCAGCGCCTTTATCTCGAGAATTACTTAGTGGCATTCTAGACAGACTTGAAGGTAGCAAGGGCGCCGTTGCCACTCCGACAGAGGACTCCACCGCCATGGCAGATGATGCGCCGTCCCCGGCAAGTACTGTGCACAACCCGACCTTGGGCGACCAGCTCTCTACTGAGAATGTAACATCGCTATACCCGCCCCTTGTACCAAGTTTCAAAGACCCGCTCATCGCCGAGACCGTACATGCCCTCACAGCGATTGGCGGTCATGACAATCCTCCAGCGAGGCATATTGTCGGCCTGGAGGGCGTCATGGCCGTCAAGGAGAAGCTGAAGACTGTGAGTGAGGAGCTTGAGGATTTCATAGAGGTCAGCAATGCTGTTGATATAACGAAAGACGAGGAAACGCTAGGATAGGGAGGACAAGCAGGCTCATGGCCGCAAACGGTGTATTAGTAAGGGCATTGTTACATTTAGTTACTCTTCTCGAAATCGACCATGCTATGCGGTTCCTGCATTTTAAGCTTATTTTTGAGACCACAATGAGCGTCAAACATTGAAGCCGATAGGAGTCCCCAATAATGGCCCTATAAGCGGCCAAGCCCACCTAGCGTTCCGTACGAGCGTTCGCATCCTAGTAGCTTATTATTAATACGCAATCCCAGAGGCCTTTCACATGTGGTATAAATTTATAAACTTATGTTTGGTCGCCGAGGTGGACGTAGGAAATCCTGAACTCTGCGTCTATATACTATAACTTTACCGATCACCTAGACCCGTATGTATATGGTGCCATATGCTCCACATTCGCCAGATCCGTGGACTTTAGGTAATACAAACATTCATGTGTACCGCAAGGGCCGTGAGTCCCTAGGCCCCTTTGCCAGCTTCCCCTTTGTAGCTCAACCAAGAACATGTCCGAATGCCACTCCACATATCCTTGCTTTCTCTTCATGATACACTGAGCTTGCAAGCGAGCGGCAATGGCAGTACGGGTGTCCTCGCCACAAACTCGTATCAAATTCGACCCAGGCAGTCGAGCACGACATAAATAACATTACTACTATCATTTGTCATTCGCTCATGAGCAAGAAAGAGCCCAGAGATGCGCTATCCGCATATCGAAGTCATCCATCATAGATGGGCGTGTTATATAACAGGCAAGAAGCACGAAGCGCCATCATACTAATACTTCAGTAACAGTAGAGAGTTACATACGAAACCAAGGATGCTGTAAAGCCTCTTCTGCAGACAATCGATCTTCTGGCTTGTAGCGCAGCAGCTTCTCCAGAAGATCGATAAAGGCCTCCAACTCTTCTGGAGGCGTCTCTCGCTTGCTGAAATCCAACGATCTGGACTCAGGGTTCCAGAATAAGGCGTTCTCCAACTGAGATTTGATTGAAGTGTCTCCGATCCGATGGTGAGCAGGATCGCCAGCCTGAAAAGGCCTATTATTTGCATCTGCATCGACTTCGTCTGTGTAATGTTCTTTTCGAGCTTTCCACGTGGAAGACCACCATGGCTCCGGGAGTTTTCCCAATAACATCACCATATAGAAGAGGTAATCGTCCGTGTCGTTTGCATCGAAAACGTCAATCAGTTTTTGACCTGTGCGTAACTCATATAGACAGTTACCAAGTGCCCACAGGTCGCACCCAACCCCGACATGGCCGTCGAGTACTAGTTCTGGCGGCTGATACACGACTGGTAGACCGATACTATCAGGCGGCGATTTGATCTCAAATGCTTCTCCAAAGTCGATAAGCCGTATTCGGTCACTAATAAAACGGGGATCGACTTTACTAAAATCGACAGGATATACTAAGTATTGGGGAGCAGATGCTGGCGTCTCTGTAGAGGACGTTTTGACGGGATTGATCTCCGGCTGGCCGAGCTTTTCCAATAGATCGGCTTCTGGTAAGTCACCTAGGTCGCGAAGGTCGACGAGAATGTTTTTGGCCGTCAGATCTAACTATATGCATTAGTCATGGTGTCATGTTATTCATTGGAACTGCGTCTCACCTCCATGACAGATTCCATGTTTGTGAAGACAAGCTACGGCTTCAATCGTGTCAAGAGAAGCTTTTCGCATCGCAGCGCTCGAATTGCCAAGGCACGCAAGAGCGTCTACAGCACGAGGCCCAATAAACGGGTACACGAAGCAGTGGTGTGTTCCATTGGGACTCTCCTGTTGAAAAGAGTCCATCGATACACAGAGATGTTTCTTTCCGCGTTCCACCTCAGGAAGAATCTTCAGCAGCTGGACTGCCTCTAGCTCGCCACAATATTCTCTCGAGAGCGCCGCGACGAGAACCTTAATGGCCACGTAATGAGGTGATTCATGATGTAGGTCTCGGCAGAGCCACACGATACCAAAGCCGCCATGACCAAGTTTGTGGATGATGCGATAGCGACCCTGGCATAGCGTTGATCCAAGCTCTGAAGGGCAGTGTCCCCCGTCGTTGTAGTCGTAGATTCGCTCTAGGCCATGAGAGTTCAATGTCAGCCATAGCCGGGGTTCCTCTTCGATGATATTTATATTGTTGCTCGTTGCTTCTGGCGAGGGATCGTTGGTATGCTCATCAACTTCTCCAGCATCTGATTCTGCGGCATCAGGTTCTCCGGCATCAGGTTGTGCGGCATCAGGCTTTCCAGCGTCAGGTTCTCCAGCAAAAATCTTGGCGTCAGACGGACGATAGCCTTCTTCATGACTCTCTGTCGTGAGATCAGCTTCATTGGGCTCCGCTTCGTCCAGATGTCCAGAGTGGTTATGCATTGACGGTGGACTTGTGTTGATATCCTCCTCCACATGTGTATTTTGTAGTGCCATGCTTGGATGGAAAAGGATTCTCGGACGATGAGCTCCCAGAAGACTGGACTACCTTGCGAAAGGTCGGAAATAGAAAGGTCGTAACGAAGAAGAAAGAAGATGTCGATGGTTGGGCAACGGTGCAAACGGCAATCTTGATGGTTTGCCCAGATGCGGTACGTGGACAGATATGTAAGGGTCAGCGCGCGTAAATGGCGCGAACAGTGTAGCTTTCGGTGAAGATGGCAGTCATCTGTGAATTGAAATGTTGTTTGCAAACTTAGCGCCGATAATTTCCTGAAAGCGGTATCTTCACAGACCTCCTCCACCTGCACTGTGCTCGCGCCAAATGACTACATAATACAAGTCCTCGGACTGTGCCGCGTCCAGCGTGTGGTCATTATCAAATGTTGTTCTACTATACCGGAGCATCATGAATTTTCCCTTGTCTGTGGTCAATCACTTGACATGCCAGTCAGAGCAATGAACTTAGACTCTTCGACTTCATCCACCCGACTCCTCTCACGCGTTTACCAGCACAGCACAGCACAGTATTCGTTGGCTTGAGCCTAAACTGCTTAGAAATTCGACTTTGGCCTGACTTTTACAACCTGATCGATTTCGGCGTTGTGGAGACCGAGGGTAACTGTAGTAAGGCGATCTAAGACCAGGGGCAGGTGGATTTTCACGACTTGCCAGAGACTATTGGGAGAAAAGTACTGATGAGAATAGCCAGGAGAAGTGCCTCGATAGCTCTATAGCCTAGTTGCTATGTAGAGTTACACAAGCACATGAAGATCGCTAATGCAGCAGTGCTCTGAGAGCCTCTACTCGGATAGCGATAAAACTTCTGAGTGCTTGACCAATGATCAGACGAGTCGGTAGTGCCCAAGTACAAAGACAACGGTGTGCGAGCCGACAGCGCCCCCAAACTAGCATTCCACAATTCATTGAAGCTCATACATGAATCTCTGATTCCTACACCAATGTCGTATGTTGTTCATTGGAGTAGTCCTTGGTAGGTTGTCAAGAGTACAAACACAAATTTGCAGCTCATCATTCATCTTGTAGGGCTCCTATGTGCTAGGGCTACAGCGACTACGAAAGTCTAGTATTCAAAATGGTTCCCAGGGGATAAGATAAAGGGCGTGGGCAGAAATTCTTTATGACACAACATCAGTTCAAGATTCCGGATCCGACTTCTCTTCTGTTATTTGCCATGTCTGTTGGTAAGGGGTGGGATACTGCCAGGCAATCGAAGTTCGACAGTGAGCCATACTTATATGCAATGAAGCAAATTGTGAAAGATTGCTACTCTTGAGTTCGTGAAAAACAATCGTGTGAGTGGTGTTGGGGAATGGGGCAGCATATGACACCTGATCAACCGGCCACTCCGTTATGCATTCATTCATCGGTACCCAGAAAGCGAGGACTAACACTACTTCAGCGCAGCACATGATCTGGTAAAGATCTACGTGACTATTGCATGAATGGCGATAGGTAGCTATTGCCATGTGATCCGGAATAAATTGCACTCGTAAATATCATGCGTCTCAATGGCTTGTAACACTAAAGTAGGTTCACACCATGCACGTAGATATATAGCACGGATGAGCTGGCTGATTGAATGGCACTAGGATACTATGTCTACATAGACTTGACTTCTAGACAAGGTGCCCTGGTAGCTTCTAGTAGTTTGAACGACTCGAACCATGATACATGAGTTCTACTTCACATCTACATTCACTCTCTGCCTCTTCTTCTCTCCTTTTCCTTATCCTCTCCTACCATTATCTCTACCCTCTAGTTCTGCCGGGTCCTTCTTAGGTCACGGGAGTAGGGCCAAGGAACACACAAATATTCAGTACACTACCATGTGAGAAAAGATCCCCACATCGTTTTGGCCATTCAGTTTGGAAAGGCAAAGTAACATATGAAAGTCTCTAATGCTTATGGTGGATAAAGCAACTGAACTGACGCACACAATAAACGATCACCAACATGACTATCAACTCATAGTGGTCAAGATAACTATGCCACACGTAGTCAATCATTCCGTAACCCAAGGATGCCGAGATACCTCCCGCGCAGTCAACCGTTCCGCAGGATCATACCGAAGGAGCTTTTCTAGCAGGTCCACAAAGCCCTCAAGCTCCTCCGGGGGCGTTATATGTTTACTGAAGTCCATTGAGAGAGTGTCCCAATCCCAGAACAAGTGACCCTTCAATCTAGATCCGATCGACGAAGACTCGTTCGTTCTACTCTCAGGGTCACCAGTCTGCTCTGGCCTATTGTCTGAATCCATTTCATCCGTAAAGCACTCTCGTCGCGCCTTCCAAGTCGTTGACCACCATGGTTCTGGTAGCTTGCCGAGCATTAGTACCAGGTGGTATAGATATTCGTCGATTTCCCCGGAATCGAGAATGTTGATTGGGCGCACCCCAGCACGCATTTCGAAGAGAGTGACTCCTAGAGCCCAGAGATCGCACCCGACACTAACACGTTTATCGAGGACTAGCTCTGGAGGGCAGTACATTGGTGGTAATCCGATATCAGGCGGCAGTGAAAGGATATCGAATGCTTCCCCAAAGTCAATTAGTCGGATGTGCTCTCCTATATAGCGTTTATCGACTTTTCCAAAGTCAATCGGGTAAACCAGATATTGGGGAGCAGTGTCTCTGTTGTGCTTCTCTTCAGTGGCCGTAATTACTGGATTGCGTTGCGGCTCGCCTAGAGCTTGGAATACTTCGGCTTCCGAAAGACCGTCAATTCCTTCTAGCTGAAACAAGATATTTTTGGCTGTCAAGTCTGTCCCGTTTATGAGTAAATGAATGATCTTTGAAAGGTTCAAAAGAAAGATTCCTTACCACCATGACAGATCCCGTTGCGGTGAAGGCAGGCCAGTGCCTGTGATATCTCTAAGACAACCCGTTTCAAGTCGACGATAGACTGTGCTGTATTTCTCGTATCTTCCAGAGCAAGCGGGACAGGTGGTCCTAGGAGAGGATACACAAAGCAGAAGTGATTTCCGTTAGGGCTCCTCTGCTCGAAGAAGTCGATCGCAATGCAGATATGGTTATTCGCCAATTCCTCCTCCGGGATGCGTTTGAGTAGTTCCATGGCCTTTAATTCCCCACAGTCGTCAGTAAGTTCAGCCATTAGGACTTTGACGGCTACGTAGTGGGGGGTCTCGTGTCGTAAGTCTCGACAAAGCCAAACATTGCCAAAACCTCCGTTGCCCAACTTATGAATCACACGGTATCGATCACCATACAGCGTGTTGCCGAGTTCAATAGGGCAGTGACCTCCTTCATTGTAGTCATAGATCGCTTCTAAACGGCTAGGATTCATATCCAGCAAAAGTTCGGATTCTGGATCGAAATCGACTGGTTTCTGATCATCCACGCTGGGTGTCTCGCGGTCTGTCCGAGTGTCGTCATGGATCTGGTCATCGGTAATCTCATTGGTTTCAGCATCTTTCACAATGCGTTCTCTCCTTGCCTTTGAGTCACTGTCCATTTTCACCCTTCGCAGTTCTAGATCAATCCAATGCGAGTTTCTGGTGTTGCATACTTGGTTTGATCAGATCAGGGATAGAAGCTGGAATCGCCCGAGTCCGCGGGTGTTGAAGAGCAGATTATCCAGACGTGGAATAAGCTGCAAAAACGGGAACAGGCGTACAGTTTTGGAGATCTGAATGAAAACCTTGGGCGACAGCACCTTAGATATCAAGATATCAGCTCAGTCTCGAAAGCAGCACAACCCAAAACAGCAATGGCGGTTAAATAAGGCTTATGATAGGATGGGTTTTGCTAAATCAACGTTCACTTATTCTAAGCGCCCGCGCCACCCGAATCATAGCGCTAATCATTCCAGGTTAAGCGCTGGCTGGGTATACCTTGTATCACTCTGCCACTTCTAGTACTATGTTTCCTGAAACTGCATCTCGTTATCGTCAGCTTTATAATCGGCTCATAGATGCTCTGAACGTAGGCATTGCAGTAGATACATGAGCCAGCGTGCACGATGCCTAATGGCATGCGAGCTCTGGTCTCTGGATTGATGTTTTGCATTAGCCGCTCTGCAGCCGCCTAACGATACTATTTGGGCGTCTAGGTTCTCTGCAGTAAAAATGACGGGACCATGAGATATGGGGGATAATTGTAAACGTCGCTTTACTCCGTCGTCCTGACTAACGGACATGGATCATAGATTTTGGTGCTGTATCTATATTAGCATATCATGTAATGAATTCTATCATCAAAATCGAAAGAGACAGACCCCCTGAGCCCCTTGGATTGAAGAGGCACAGGCAAGAGAGGGAAAGGATGAGGATGAAACATGAAGCATGACACTTAACGCATAAAGGCAAACATAGTAAAACATCGATAACAATTCCATGGCAGGTTTACGAGCCATGTCCATAGTCTACCTATCCGTCCCAAACACATCTATACAGAAAGCACCCCCTCCACATTCCAACTCCATACTCCACTCCGCTCCACCACCCCAGTCCCATCCCACCCCTAAACCTCCCTCTCAAAAACCCACCCCTTGCCCTTCATCTTACACTGTACAACACGCCTCAAGCCCAAAGGCCATCCCAGCCCCGCACTCCCCTCGCCCTGCGCCCCCGGCACAACACTCATCCGCACCGTAACCTCTCTCCTCTCCACACCCCCTTCACTAGGCAGATCCACAACCTTACTGCCCACGTCAGGCTTACTGTAGCGCGCGAGCGGCGAGCCGCGCGCAATCAGAGCCAGCTCGTCTCGCGTCAGCGGAGTCAAGGGATGCATGCGGGTCTTGGGCACGACGTCGGTGTGGATGGTGGAGGATGCGGAGCGCTGAAGACGGGCGTAGACGATGAAGATGGGGAGGTTGAACATGGGGGCGGATTTTGAGGATGCGGAGCGGGCGAGGAGGGAGGAAGGGTGGAGATATACGAAAGGAGAGGAGTCTGCGCTTTTGGTGGGGAAGAGAGGGGTGTATGGGACGTCGATGGCGCGTTTGGGGGTTTGCGTGATGCTGGATAGACTGGCGTCTGGGGTGGGTGCGAGGTCAGCGCGGATGGCAACTTGGTCGATGAAGCCGGCGGCGCATATAAGCCTCAGTGAGTTGACTTCTTTTGCTGTCGGCGGGTTGAGCGGCTTGTCGGTGGCCGGGAGGGAGCCGGGATAGTGTGTGCGGATGATGTGAGAGAGTTGGGAACGCAGTTGTGAGGCTTCTTGGAGTGCTTTGTAGCGTAGGAAATGCGCGTCGCAGAACTCTTCGGCGCCGTGGCTTTCTGACGATGCGGCAGCGAAAAGGAAGCCTCCCAGTGCTCGCAACAGCTTTATACAATCAGCAGAGCGGTCCTCTGCGGATGTCAATATGGAATGCGCCTTGCGGTAGCGCCTCATCACTTGTGCTCTCTCAGAGTCCGCTAGATTATCTTCGTTGGTTCTGACTCTGTTCGGATCGTCAGACATATGTGGAGGTAGGTTCAGTTGGTTCTCCTGGATAAACACCTCGGGTATCGACAACGCAGCGACCAAGGCAATGGCCTGCGCGGTCAAATTGTTGCCTTGGCCCATCACAAGCATACGCGAGAACCTAGGATTGAGAGGATACAGCGAGAGCTGGCGGCCGAGCTTGGTGATCTTACCATCAAGAGCTGTTGCACCCAGATACGCAAGCAGCTTTTCTGCCTTGGCGAGACCAGCTCGATCAGGCGGAGTTGGGAACGGGAAGTTGACAATGTGCTGCAGATCCATGGCCTTGAGCTGAAGGACTATGCCCTCGATTGGCGTGCGTAGCAGTTCTGGCAGCGCATGTTCCTGAAAGTCTCGTTCGTAGACGGCAGATGAGTAAAGGCGATAGCAATGTCCTGGACCTGTTCGTCCAGCACGGCCGGCTCTCTGGCTCGCACTAGCTTTGCTGATCCAGCCAATCTCAAAACTCTGAACATTTGTTTCTTCGTCATATGTTCTCTCTTTGGCTCGCCCGCAATCAAAAACATATCGGATGCCAGGTATCGTCAGACTGGTCTCTGCAACGTTCGTGGCTAGTATGATTGCTCGTGAGCCCGCAGGAGGGTCTTCGAATACGCGCATCTGTTGATTTGTAGGGAGCTGCGAATAGAGTGGCAGGATATGTGCCTTTGTAATCGTCCCGTCCGGCTCCTCGCCAATATCGAATTCTTTGTCCTCGTCGTCATCAAGACCCCGAATCTCTGCCTCGTCATCGTCAGAACCGTCATCGTCTTCAAAGTCTGCCTGTCCACCCCCTAAATCGATATCTTCCGTCTCGAGCGATGCTTCCGTTGCTGCCACTCGGACACGAGCATGACTAGTACTGCTTTCTTCCGTCGAAGGAAATGCTTCTCTTAGCCTTTTCGCCAGCGCCATTATCTCATTCTGGCCGGTGAGGAATACAAGTATGCCTCCTTTTGGAAGTTTCTTGTGTCCCCGTGAGACCTTTTGGAAAGCCTCCTCGACGTAGTCTCTGTTAGTTCTGCGCGAGAAGTGCTCTGTGACGGGATACTGACGACCCTCAGCCTGTATCAATGGTGGAGATGCATGTCTGAAGAGCTTTCGATTCTCGGTGAAGTCTGCTATTCGCAAAGTAGCAGACATGATGACGAGTTTCAGCGGTCTGTTCTTTGCGTCTTCCTTGGCCATGTCTGCTCTCAGGTCCACGATTCTGCTCAGCAACCCAATCAGAATGTCCGTGTTGACACTCCTCTCGTGGGCCTCATCAATGACGACAGCCGAATATTTGGTGAGCAAAAAGTCTTGTGCAACTTCCCGTAAGAGCACACCGTCCGTCATGAACTTAATGGCAGTCTTTTCAGTGACTGAGGCGTCGAAGCGGATCTGATGGGCCACTCGGTCTGCTTGGTCGCCCAATTCTACGGCCACACGTTTTGCCATGCTCACAGCTGCGACTCGTCGTGGCTGAGTGACGCCAATCATTCCAGGTGTTGGTCCGCCCTTGGCGCCATATCCAGACTCAAAGAGGAACTGCGGGACCTGTGTTGTTTTACCGCTACCGGTCGCTCCCCATATGACCACAACATCATTGCTGTGTATCGCTTCCATGATCTTCTGTTCCTCTGCTACAACCGGTAGAGCCGCACGCGCTTCTTGTATAGTGGGCGACCGGTTGACCGGAACAGCATATGCTTTGCGCTCGATTTTCGTGGGTTGAAGCTCTTGAGGTAGAGGGTCAGATTCGACAGGACGCGGAGTAAAGTTGCTTGGTCTTGGGAGTGCTGGGAGTGAGCTTGATGCTTGATCATCAGACCTTGCTGAAGGGGTGAAGCCGACGGCCGCATTTCTTGCTTGATCTGCCCATGCCTTGAACGCGGAGGTCCTCGCTTTTTTCGCGACTTTTTCATCCTCGTTGGGGCTGGTGGCGTCACTTTCGTCCCCTTCAGACTCGTCCTCGCTCTCGTCAAACCCTTCGTCGTCAGTATCAGAGCCAGACGAGCTCTCATCTTCTTTGTCCTCATTCGGGTATTCTTCCACCGGTACTCCTCCATCCTCATCCTCATCTTCGTCTTCGTTTTCATCCTCGTCGTTCGAACTGAATCCCTCCCACGGCACTTCCTCCGGCGCCGGTCTCTGAATATACGCCGACACAGGAACCCCTTTCCCACGCTTCCTCTTCTTGATCATCGGCTTTCCGTCCGCGTCTAGTTCGAGCGGTCTCTTCAGTCCACCCCCGAAAGCGCCCGCCTCTTTTGCTACGACCTCAGCCTCCCGATCCGAGCCTTTCATACCACCAGCTGGCTTCTCGGCCTCTTCATGATCATCGTCACCACCGTCATCATCCGAGCCATCATCACCACTGCCATCATCCTCCCTCGCCTGAACAAAAAGCAGCTCTTCATTCTTCTCTACATTGATCCCGAGTCTTCTCTCGCGCGCCGCCCTGCTCAGCGCCTCTCTCTTCGTATCCCTACCACGGCCCAGATTCTTCGCGCTTCGGTAAAGACTCGTGTCGACCCTAGTCTTCTCCAATTGGCGCACAAGTGCCTGATTCTGTTCCTTGCGTAGTTTGTTGTCCTACGACACTGTCAGCCAAACTCTACAGTAATTGTGCAACGCAGGCCAGGAAAGCATATACGCACAATGAACTTCTCCAGCCGCTTTCGCTTCTTGCCCGTTACTTGGCCGCCGTTATCGTCGATTAGCCGGCTCAATTCATGCTTCTTCTGCGCTCTGGCTTTCTGGTCTGCGGGGAGGAGTTCGAGGGTGTTGGAGTCAGGTTCTTGTGCGGCTTGGGGTTTGCTGCCTTGCTCTTCTCGCGCGCGCACCCTGTGCTTGCGTTGGCGTGGTTTGTATGGTGCCATTAGGCTATGTGGTGCATGTGGACGTGGTAGCGGTGGTGGTGGTGGTGGTGGTAGTAGTAGTAGCGCAGGTCATGGATATAAAACCTCAACAATGCAAGACTTGCACAAGAGTACCAGATTCACAGCAGAGAATATCTTCAAACAACCATGGTATCGTTGTCCATCACCCAAACAAACCGTAGATCATATTTTCCCAAAAATCCCCCCAAAAATTCCACCACCCGCAGTTTCCCCGTCGGGGAACACCAACTTATCTCCGCAAGTCTTGGCCACCCAAGATATTTCCAAACCTAGGTATCAAATATATGCATACCCATAAGATAGCCCTATGAACAGCAGCAACAACCTAATACCAATTCCTCCGACACCACGACAATACAAAACCCTATTCTCTCTCTCGCTCCCCACTCGCCCCTCCACAACCCAACAATGACAACCCCAACACCCACACCCACCGACTCCCCCTTCCAAACCCCCCTCACACCCTACCCAGCCCGAACCCTTACCTCAACAGCCACAATCGCAAACACACCCACCGTCTGCACACGCATCGACTTTGCCGATCGAATCCTGCTCACAATCTCACAGGAAGGCCGGTTGGCGTACTGGGTATGTCGATCACAACCCCTCCCTCCCCCTCCCCCTCCCTGAACACATCCCTCCTTCTTCCCTCTCCGACCAAACCACATATAGGATTCAATTAACCAATGACTAACTAACATAAACAAAAAACAGCTCCAAACCCCACTCATAACACCAACACCAGATCCAGACCCATCCTTCTCCTCGAGTCTCTTACCTTCTTCCAACACCGACAACGACGACAGCAATAACAGCAATAACCTCCTCCCTCCAACACACCTTACGCCAACGTCCCTCCTCGGCACACCACCGGCATACCTCTCTACATTCGCACAAACGCTCTGTGCCAAGACTGGGGGCTTGATACTCGAGGCCGCGGCAGCGCAGAGTAACAAGACGGAGCATCGACCGCTCATACTAGGCGTCGGGTTTGCGGGGGCCATGTTGAAGGAGTTACAACAGTCGCAGACTTCGAGTGGACAGAGTAATAGTAGTAGGTTGTTTGGAGAGTTGGTAGGGCTTGTGCTAGGCGTGCTGTGATGAGATTTGGACGGGACAATGGATGAGGGATGATGCATGATGCATGATGGATAATGAAGTCACTGAATACCCAGCCGTCATGTAGAAAAGAACTGCTTCACATATCTAAGCTACAATGTTTCATTGCGTACCAGTGATACTATCTTTGCCGCTCGCTTGTCATCACCACGTAACACATTCCACCGTCCAAACTAGTGCCCGGTTCGCCATTTTAGTCGGGAAAGTAGGAACTGGATCGCATAAAAAAAAAGGAGGGCGAAGTCTTTGGGCCGGGAGCCGATACATGCACAACCATTATGCACATTGTCGGACCCATGACAACCGTGGTAATAGCTGGACGGCTGCTTTTCTATAACCGTACACGAGATGTGATCTAGAATAGTTCAGCAGATGTCATGATTCATGTCTCGAGGGCACGTACAGCTTAGAAGCACTTGCGGTGAACAATGGAAGGACCACTCTCGTCGTACTCTTGCTTTGAGATCCACATCTGTTGGAAGGTAGAGAGCGAGGCCAAGATTGAACCACCGATCCAGACAGAGTATTTGCGCTCTGGCGGGGCGATGATCTTAACCTTCATGGACGACGGAGCAAGAGCGGTGATTTCCTTCTGCATACGGTCGGAGATACCAGGGTACATGGTAGTACCACCAGACTTGGAGGGATTAGCTGTTGTGAGACGGGAGACGCAGTAGATGACGTACCATGACAATGTTACCATATAGATCCTTCCTGACATCGACATCACACTTCATAATGGAGTTGAAGGTGGTGACGTGGATACCGCCGCTCTCAAGACCAAGAACGCTGGGCTGGAAGAGGGCTTCTGGGGCACGGAAGCGCTCGTTGCCGATGGTGATGACTTGTCCGTCAGGAAGCTCGTACGACTTCTCGAGGCTGGAGCTTTGGCTGGCGGTCTGAATTTCTTGGTCAAAGTCAAGAGCGACGTAGCAAAGCTTCTCCTTGATGTCACGGACGATTTCGCGCTCAGCAGTGGTGGAAAAGGTGTAGCCACGCTCAGCAAGAATCTTCATGAGGTAGTCGGTCAAATCACGGCCAGCCATGTCAACACGCGAGATGGCGTGAGGAAGAGCGAAACCTTCATAAATGGGTACAACGTGAGTGACACCGTCACCAGAGTCAAGCACGATACCAGTTGTACGACCGGAAGCGTAAAGCGAAAGAACGGCCTGAATGGAGACGTAGAAGGCGGGCGCGTTGAAAGTCTCAAAGACGATTTGAGTCATCTTTTCACGGTTGGACTTGGGGTTGATGGGAGCCTCGGTCAGGAGAACTGGGTGCTCTTCAGGAGCCACACGCAGCTCGTTGTAGAAGGTGTGATGCCAGATCTTCTCCATGTCGTCCCAGTTGGTTACAACACCGTGTTCGATGGGGTATCTCAGGGTCAGGATACCACGCTTTGACTGTGCCTCATCACCAACATATGAGTCTTTTTGGCCCATACCGATCATGATACTGTACAACATCAGCTTATGAACTTATGGGGTCATGAGTGGCTGGAAGTGGTCATTACCCATGGTGACGGGGACGGCCGACAATGGAGGCTATGCTTTGTCAGTGTCTCTTCTTGTTTTATGTCCTGTTGCTCCAGGTACTGTCCGAGGGGCAGCCAGCAGCCAGCAGGGGAGAGAAAGTAACTTACGGAATACAGCTCGTGGCGCATCATCACCGGCAAAACCGGCCTTACACATACCCGAACTAGAGACATATCAGCATATACTCCACTGTATTTTCGTTCCGAGATGGGGTGTCCTGTCTACGACTGGAATATCGCGCGGATCGACGAGGAGGTATGGCGAATTCTTGAGACCACGGATGATCTCAGGATGAGCTGGAGAGGCTTACCCATTGTCGATGACGAGAGCCGCAACTTCTTCTGTAGAAAGGAAGAGACCAAGTCAGCCAATGTAATATATTTGACGCCACGGAGCGAGCGCGACAGTGATTGACGTACCTTCCATGGTGGATGATTATTAGGAGGTGGGTCGATAGGTAGGAATTCGACGTAGAAAACACAGGTGGGCTGTGCAGATAGGCAGTTAGCGTCTAGGCCGATTAGAGGATGTAATTGAGTGGTTGTTGAGTGGAATGGAAGATGATGAAGGGATCAGAAGTCAACAGTAATGGTCGTGGTTGAGACTTACAGAGATGATGCGAATTCGGAAGCGGAGCGGGTGGTGGGAAAGTGAAATGGACGGTTGAGGCGGAGAGAGGTTCGAGTTTCTCTGTGCGCAGGCGGGAGGGAGGCGAAAGAGTCGGTGCGTTGCTAAGTCAGCCCCTTGCCCAGGTTCTTTCCCTTTTGGGTGCAGTTGTGTGCAGTGTGTTGGGTTAGTTAGTAGTGTCACTATGTGTGTGTGTGCAGTGCAGTGCGGAGAGGATGTTTCTTGGGGGAGACCTTCACCGCAATCAGCTACAGTCAATCTGCCTTAAATATGGACGCTTTGTCAATTGGTTCACAAAGAGGCCTGATAGAAGATGGCAAAGATGTTCTATGCTGCGCCGTCGTTGTAGTCGTGGGCAGCAAGGGTCCTTTTTATCTCTTTGTGTCTTCTCGTAGGCTGCAGCATTACTATGTATAGCTGCTAAATGTTCCCAGTACACAGTACTGTACACGCGTCAAGCTCCTAATAGCGCCACGGCATGATGAATGTGAGGTGTAATCACGGCAAAGGAGAAGTATTTTCCGGTAGGCATCCCTATTTCGCTGTTTAACCTCTCAACAATGTCCCCTATTATCTCAGGGCTCGTCGTCGTCCTCTTCTCATCGTCCTTCTCCATAGCCTCCTCCTAGACAGGGACAGATCACACCAGGGACTGGTTGGGGGGGAGAATGTGGGTAAAGCTGGAGACAATCACAGTATCACACCGCCATCTGTGCAGTGGTGGAATGTGGTTGATGTTCTCCGCCGCAGCATAAAAAAGTGCGTGCGCCTGCATTTTTGGCGATGGCTGGGGTCACGTGAAATGAGGGGTAGCAGTGCCAAGCATACTGAGGGGCGGAGATGGTTGACATGGATCCTGGCCCAATCACGTGCTGGTGCTGTCTCTGCCTGTGTGGGAATCACCCATGCAACAACAAACAGAAAGAATTATACAACTGCTCTCTGATATATAACAGACTTTGACTACTCCGCATCTTTACTCTACTATATAAAAAGCCTTGCTTGGAGGCCCGAGTCGTGTTACCCGTGCTTTGTCGCGTGGCTGGACCCTTATCCTTGCACCCCGTAGAAGCCCATGGTTCGTTCGCGAACATGCAGGAAGCTCTGACTTCACTCCGCAGAGCTTTACCATGAAAATTACTGCAAGATGACTGCAATTCAACAACAACGCGCACTCTGTACGAATATCAGAACCACATCCGCATCGCAAAATAGTCGTGCATCACTCATTGAACCCTACAAACCGTCTCATCCTCCCCACAGACCAGCACCTCCACCTCCACGAAACTCACCATGAACAACGACCCCAAACTCAACGACCTCCTCAAATGGTCCATCAACGCCAGCACCACCACCACCACCGGCGATGACAGCACGCCCCAAATTCAAGCCCCCAATGCCGAAGCCCTCGCCGCCCTCTTCGGCAACCGCAAATCCGACGCCCAACTGATGCAAGAAGCCATGCTTGTCATCAACTCGCAAGACCCCGTCGTCACGCCCGACGACCGCCTCACCGCATTCGACAACTTCGAGCAGCTAGTCGAAAACCTCGACAACGCAAACAACATGGAGAATCTCGCGCTTTGGCCGCCGCTGTTGCGGCTGCTGGGCCATGCGGAGCCGGATATGCGCATGTATGCTGCGTGGTGCGTGGGCACGGCCGTGCAGAATAATGGGAAGACGCAGGAGGCGGTGAGTTTTGTGGTTTCTTGCCATATTGTGTGCAAGTTTGTGAGTGAGCTGACGGGTTGTTGTAGCTGAGGAACAAGGGCAGCGACGGGCTCCCCGCGTTGCTAAACATGGCAGTCACCGACACGGACAAATCCGTACGCAAGAAAGCCATCGGTGCGATATCATCCGCCACTCGAAACTACCAAGCCGGCCTCGACGCCGTGCAAGCAGCCCTGCCAAAAGATCTTGCCATTGAGCAGAAGCTGGATGCTGCAGATATGGACTCGGTCGATGTGTTGATAAATAAGCTGCGAGAGCACTCGGCACGACTGGAGTAAGAATGAAGGATGACCGGCATTTCCGCGGCGTTTTGGCGTTTACTGTGTAGAGGAGATACCGAAGGGGACCTGGCATATATCATCATTGCATAAACTATCACCATAGACCTATCAACAATCGACCTGATCACTTAGATCACGTCTATATACCCACTTATTGCGAATCACTGTGCTCTAGAATGACTCATATTCGGCGAACAGCAATCTTTCCACCCGAGGAATGCGATACTGTCATCAGTGTTCGTGGTATGTGCACAATGTACTTTTCAAGTTTTGTGTGTCACATGCCTTGTATCCGTGGAGTGGCGGGAGATGAGGAATGGAGCTTCTGACGTGAATAATTGAATATGTACGACTCGCTGTTGACAGATATATAGCGTTGTCAAACCTGGTACGGGAATGGCGGATTGCCCATACCACAGCCACAAGAACCTACCACAGCCGCAACCACCACCATGTTGTCCATCCCGGACTTACGCGTCGACGTCGACTACATACGCAGCCAAGGCATATTCAGCGGAGCCGGTACCTTCTTCCTTAAACATGTCGTGACGCATTGCAGGGCCCGATTCTTGATCTTGATACACCACAGATACTGCCCCGAAGAGCTGCGAGAGCTGCTCCAAACGCACGGGAGAACTATCGATCGCGTCGAGGCGTATGTACTGCTGGTGCATATGGACGGGCGCGGGGAAGACACGCGAGTCGACGGCGACTTTCTGCAGTACCACCGCGTTCTGAAGCTCGCTTGCATAGTTCTGGAGTACACTGGGGAACGTAGGTCGTCGGAGGTGGATGTTTGATGCGGGGTGTTTGTAGCTGACGTGTGTAGTTCTCGAGCTCGCTCTGCCGGCAGGGAAACAGTTGACAAGGAGTGGTACTTCGCGTTCCGGCGGCGGACATGTGAAGGGGCTGAAGATCCCTGGAAACACATTTCGACCATCGCTCCGCCGTCCGAAGGCAAGTTATGTCTCAAAGAATGGCTCGAAGCCGTCGAAGGGGCGTGAAACCGGGAGATGTCGACATACACAGGACGACCGACCCTCTTAGACTGTCTATGGTCCTTACCCTGCTCCAGAATGTATTGAGCCTGCCATCTGAGAAGTTTCGCAAGAGAATCTGGCCCGATGGACGCTTCAACTACCTAGACACTGCAGAAGAGTCGGTGGAAACCATGGCTTTCTTGGTCGAGGAAAATTGCAATAGCATTAAGCAAAGGTATGGCCAAATTCGTTCCGAGGATGATAGTCGCATAAGTGAAGCCGAGAGAGAGAAACATCTGCAAGAGGAGAGGTGCTGGGCCGAGCTGCTTCATTCCCTCTCGTCATGCAAGGCGGACAGCAAAATAAGGGGTAGCGCGATACGAGAAAAGATACGTGAGAAGTTCACAGAGCCGCGCATATCGTGGACGAACCAAGAAGCCAACCTCAGGTATCAAGAGCGATGGTACTGGAGGGTCCTAAAGCTCTACAACCTCATTCTTGTAATGCTTTCCAATAGTAAGTCCAGAAATGGGTTCTTGGCCAGTTTCTGTAGATCTGACGGAAGTTTTCAGAAGCGAGTAGCATGCGCGGCCATAAAGTCCCAGATCGATTCGATATCCTCTCGGTGCATCACCTCCTCGAAGCTGAAGGGCCACATGCCGATCGCTACATGAACGCCCTCAGGACGTCACGGCTACTCGATTCTTTGCAATTAGCCAATGATGGTCTCGAATTCTGGGAGACACCTGAAACGTTCGACTGGACGGATGTGGCTTCTGTCTCTCATGCTGTTTCCCAACTCGACACTGCAATAAATGGATCATCAAGGCGTTGAGGGTGTAGTTGGACGCCAAGCTTTGGAATAATCTGAGAGAAATTCATAGTGGTATCCAGTGAGGATAGATATGGCTGGAACCTGCGGGCAGGCTTCTCAGGACAGCTCTGATCCCGCCAATCTAAGGAATGGGATTCTCCACTGATGTTTCTAAAGGTGTAGCATGGTGATGTGATATGATTGGGTTCCACACGAACAGGCTGGAATAATATATTTCGGGTATCAATCAGAAGCTCTTTCAGTCATGCTTGCGCCCCCTAGTAGAACCTCGGTCGGGCGAGTGGCTTCGATCTCGGCGCCTGGTGTTCCTGTCCCTTGAGCGCGAGCGGATCCGCACATGGTCTGATCGCGGCCGAGCTCTTTGATGATGATACTCTCTGCTTCTCGACCGGCGTCTCTTGCTGTCTCTTCCGTTATCTCGAGATCGAGACCTATGTCGCCTGTGTCGCTCTCTACTTCTGCTTCTAGAGCTGTCTCTCCTTCGCCGCCTGTCGCGATCGTCGTGGTCACGTCGTCTCCGATGTCGATCATCATGTCGTTGACGGTTCCGATCACGGCTCCTACTTCTCTGTCTTGATCTCTTCTCCCCTCGGAGACCACCCTCCACAACGTCGCCCTCAAGAACATCTCTTGCTTCGTCGGCAGGCATATTCGGACCACCAAGCTTGGTGAAGCCTGTTCCACGACCAAGACCATCATGATCGTCGTCTCTTCCCTCCGCAACAGCCTTGCGCATCTCTTTGTCACTTATGCCCTCTCTTGCTGCAACGGGCACCGCGTTCGCGCCGCTCCGATCCCTCACAGGCGGAGGCAGCCCGAGCGCAGCAGCCATGGCATCTTCTTCCGCCTCCTTCACTTTCCGCAGCTCTTCAGCACGCGCAAGTGCAGCTGTCCTCTCGGGGTCGGGGTCGTCGGGGTTTGCGTCGCCTTTCGCGTACCAGTTGAGGTCTTTGTTGCGTTGCCAGCGGCCGACAGCTGTATGATATTAGACGAGATCCTCGTAGATAGCTGAGAGCCGACTTACGCGCCATAAGGGAGTGGCCCAGGTAATTCTCGCGGTGCTGGTCGCCTTTGACATCATCCCATTTGAAATCGCCACGGCCGCCGCTGTAGGAAGTTACTTTATGCTGCATGTATGGCCTTACAGCACCTGTTACTACATGGAATACTTACCGGCTACCCTCCTTGCGTACCGACTGTAGAAGATCCATGTTGTTAGATCTTGGATATGGAGGTACCACGAGTGTTGTTTGGCCAGACCTGTAACTTTGGAGTGGCGCACGGGTCCGTGCTGAGAGATGTCGTATCAGACTGTAAGTTACACCACACGTCAAAAATCACCGCAATGTTATCCCGAAGCCGGCAATAGTCCTTGATGCGAATGTGCAAATATATCTATTTTTACGCAGGTAATTTCCAAAGCCCATGGATGAAGTAAGCCGTATGTACATCGAAGGCTATACATGTACCACATACATGCCCCATGCGTCCTGTGATTCGACAATCTTTCTCATGCACATATAGCTCATCAACCTATGAGACAAACTGCACAGCCAACTTCTCTCTCGTCTCCCTCGAGCCTGCAACAATGAGCGGCTTCTCCTTGGGAAACTTGGAGATAGTCTCATCGGACAGCTTCAACGTGTCCTTCACGATTTGTGGCGAAGTCAGACCAAGCCATTGGCCCAAGGAGATGTCAGAAAAGTGGTCAGCCTGGAGCACTTCTAGGAAGATGACATCGGTATCCCCGACGTTCTCAATGTAGTGATTATTGCTCTGAGGAAAGTACGCAACGTCACCGGCACTGTAATCGTACGTTGTGGCGACATTGGGAGGTGTGAAAAGCGTAGCACGAGCCTTGCCCGCGATGAAAAAGGTCCATTCGTCGGAGCTGGGGTGCCAGTGGATCTCGCGCATTGCACCGGGCTTCACGGACACGAGAGCAGCGGAGAAGTCCTTGGCTATGGGAAAGGTGAGCGGATCAACGATCTTGACACTTCCACCAGCAACTCGATGAGCTTCTTGCTCAGACCAGTGGTAGGAGTATGTCTTGCTTTTGGGGATGGGCCCGGCAGAGCCAGTGATGTTCTGCTTCTCAATGTCTTTCGGAGCTGGTGTTCCGGGGAAAATGAACAGCTCGCCGGACGGGATGTTGTCGAACGCAGAAGTTGGGACCTCCAGGTTCTTGGACAGAACAGATTTGGGATTGTGGGCAAACACCTCTGACGCAAGGAATGTGTTGTCTTCGGAAAATGCGCCGTCATCGAAGACGAGCATAAATTCGCAGCCTCCCTCGAGGCCCTGGATGCTGTGAGGTACACCTCTGAAACTTATATTAGATATTGATCCGTCATTGTCTTGGATCTAGCTTACGCAGGGAAGAACCAAACATCGCCCTTGCTAACATCGTCAATAAATGTTTGGCCATCTTCATCGACAGCCTGCTGCAGTATCAGTTCCAGAACAGTCACGTGACGTGTCTCAGCCTACCTGGATTCGAGCAGAGCCATTTAGCATAAGAGCCCACTCGGATGCAACATGCCAATGAAGCTCACGATATGCGTGGGGCTCCAATCGCATATCCACACCAGCCATCAACTTCGCGTCCGGCATAACGTTGGTGTTCTGTTGCCGTGACCAGCCTGCGCTGTCCAGGCCCAACTTCGAGTGAGACAACGCCATCGGCCATTTCGCGCTGATAGTCTGTCCGTGATCGGTTCCTGGAGGAGCCAACAAGTCGCTGTTCATGGCAGAGAGCGCATCGTTGCCTATCGAAAATCAGATCCTCCCAATCTTGGCCTTGTAAAGATGGTAACTCACGAGGGCCAGGGTCCGTTCCTCCTTTGGCACCTCGAATTGGTTGGGGATGTTCAATGTTGTCAAAGTTGAGAAACACCCCTATCTTGGCATCGTCTGATTGGCCTGGAGCAAGCTCATACTCAACCTTTGTGGTGTCCTCGTCAGAGATGATGTTTGACGGATCATAGCCCGCGAGGTCAGGGCTACCTCGCAACGGCGGGTTTGCAGCACGTTGTGGGACAGCTGGTGGAGACCCTGCTATCGCTGAGCTAATGAAAGAAGCAGTGTACAGAAGACCGAAGGCCAGTCTCGTCATGGTGCAATTGATGGACTTTCTTAAACACTGAGGCTAACTTGCTGAGAACTGAAAGAGGGACGACTGGTTGAAGTAGGGAGCAGGCGGTCCTACTTTTTATATGCTGGCCGAACGCACGATTGTCATGGCTCCTCCAATGGATGACTAGTCTAGAGCATCACCAACAGCAGCTCCTCTAGATTTCCCCGTGTTGCGCTTGCATAAGGGGCGTGTAACATGGCAGCATCATGTAGCGAGCTGGGGGGGCCTTGCGGGGCTATTCTCTCGTGAGTGGACGCTACCTTGCTTACCCATGAGTGTTTTCTTTCTTTGCTCGATAGGAGCGCGGCTCAGAGATGCCGGATTCATGTTATTGTGGAAATACGGCAGTTCAGCTGGGGGACCCGATATGTCTGAATGGTAATATAAAGCGTTAGCGTGCTTACAGTGCACACTAGCACGTTGACGTTGATCGATGGCTGGCCCAACAACGCGGCCGAGTCTTGGTCCTCGTGGTTATGACAAGGGATATAGTAGTTAAGCACATTGATCTACATCTGCTAACAACCGTTTCATGCATGGCAGAGCTTGTACATACTTACGTATAATTAATTACAAGACTTCTGGCCATGGACATGAAAGCTATATTCTAAATTATAGAGGTCTCCGACAAATCCGAAAGAGAGAGTTTGACCAGGGGAGGTTGGACGCCAGCCACGCCGGAACACGGCTATCGGCACAGGCATACTCAGGCATCTTCAAGCCTCAGCATTCTCAGGCACTCAGGCATCATCGAGTCACGCTTGTGCTTCTCTCAGCGATAACAACAGAAGCCTCATGGTGCCACTTTGTCATAGACGCCGACTTGTGAGCATCTTCACAATCTCATTCCAGTCTGCGGCATAGCGCTCCGGGGCTAATCGCGCTGCTCGTTGATGCGGAACATTGATATTCATCTGTTCTCTACACTGAAAACCCTTCTCAACATTCTTCCACGCCAGGACGTTCGGTTGGCAGGTGATATGTGAATCTATATATCAACTATACATCAAGAAGTGCTAGCCTTTCGCAGAACTACCTGTGCAAGTAATCTACCGACAACTCAACATCAGCGTGGTCTCCATACAACGATATCAAATCGTTTCGAGGTCACAAAAGGGCTCGCAGAAAAAGATTTTGACTCGCCATATGTAGCACTCACCGAGTACGTTCTATCACACCCAGTCAAGCTTTGTTTCCTAACACTCACATTTCTACTTACCATCTAGCCATGCAGGTAGATTTTAGATCGTTTTCTAGAACAAAGAGGGTCCTTAAGCTCTCATCTCCTGAAGCTCCAATCTCACCAGACGATATCACCACCGCAACCGTAAGCTAACTGAAGTAGTATGTCCTGGATCTTGAACCCAAGTTAGGTCTTGCACGGTTCTCGGTTTACTGGCAGCCTGTGTCCTTTCCCTGACCGGTGCAGTACTGCAAGAATTCTTAGAAGAGCAATGGAAATTCTGCCTTTTCTCTTGCATTGACATATAAGAGAACTCATGCAATTCTTCTAGAGTCGCATAAGCTCTTCTACAGCGTCGTCTGACGGTAGCTTTTCGAGAGCGTAACATGCCAAGTGTTGAGGCCAAGTCTATCATCGAGAGCTTCCGTGTGTGTCAAGCACCACCCTGGTGCTGGAGTGGCTCGAGCGGCATCATGGTTAAGTTGAGCCTCGCGACCGTCGATGGCTAATCCTCGAATGTCGACAGTCTAGCCGGGAGTCTCGGCCGACTTGGAACTGACAGGATGGACGTCCACGCGTATCTCCATGGTGATTCTGCTGGGTAGCCGGACTGACCATGGATGTACGGAGTTCACCATCTCTCTCCCACCTTCCAAAAGTGAGTTATCAGACTCACTGCTGTGCTATTACCGTCTCTTTCAGTCCCTGAATGTTGCGTGGGCTTAGACCGCCGTGATACTTTTCTCTAGGTATTTAGGGCGATCTTTGTCTATGACCAACCAGTCAGCAATGAAGGCTAAGGTCTCGTCGATTCGGACTAGTCAGGATCGAGTAAGACTGGAGATTTGTATACCTGTCGAGGCGAGGTCCTGGAAGTCGAATCAGCTAGACCGGCGACAGCCCGGGTCGTCTTTTTCACGAGCGGGTATGCCCTCAGCAGGCTATTTTCCCTGTTGAGCGAAGCAGAGAATCAAGTTGAAAGTAAATTCTGCATCTGTTTGTGGAGGTAGGAGGTGTTCAGGCCTACGCTGCTAATAAGAGACCGGGAATTGTGGCGGCAGTGTACAATGATGAACGACTCGCGTGCCACTCGGGAAGACCCAGAGAACGGAATGCTTGATTCATCGTCGAGGAATGTAATCGTGGTCTTAATCCAGTTGATGGCTCGTGCGAAGTTCGGATTGGTGTCCGCCAATGAGCGGTGTTTTAAGTCCAGGAAATCGAGATCCGTGATACGGAAGATCCTGCGTCCGCAACGTTATTGGCCTTCGGAGAGCAATTCTTATCACGAATTCCCGTGCCTTAGGAGGCCTTCACCGCCCGCCATTGTTGCTATTATCATTATTTCCAGCCCCGAATGGCTCACAGGGCAGGATGTGATATTCCCAGTTCAGCCAGTTCAGCATGTAACCCAAGAGTCGTGAACGCGTTGGAAGAGGCTCTCTGATTGGCCACTGAGGCCCTGGAAACCCATGGAGCTACCTCCGACACGTCAAGTGTGCAAATATCTGCCTTTGCCCATGACTGCGAGTGAATATGGACAACGGACAGGCCATGACTGTGGAGCCGTCTGTATGTTACTAGGATGGCACTTCTGATGTTTATCGGCAAGCCGACCTAACTGTTCGATCACGAATGCTCTTCCTCGACTCATGACTCCGGACGCAGCTCCGCAGAATAGGGAGCTCACACTCACCATCACGCCCGTACGCGCCCCACACTCATGGACGGGAACGAGAAACAAGGTTTGGCTGTGCTGCTGGACCAGGTCTGTCTGCTCAGCGTTCTCTGGCACTTGGACCTGATCGAATATGGTCGAGTTCTGATTGAAGAAGGATTCGATGACCTCGAGACCTTCTCTAATGTGGGTAACCAGGACTTGTACGTTGGTGCGCTATAGAGCCAGCGTGGCACCCATGTTAACACCCTGATCAGAAAGTCCCTTAAGCTGAAGCGTGATGACGCTAGGGTGAGTTTGGTTTCGAATACTCAACGTCCTACTCATGAAACTACTTAGATGATGGAAGCATTCATCACCTCTTGCCGTAACCTTCACAACGTTCTGCCTTTGGATCCATCAAGACCACTGGTGACATGGGGCCACGTCCAGTCCGAAGCTTTCGAGTCTCTGTTGTCGAGCGTACGTGCTGCCGAAAATCCACGTAGCAAAGTAAGTACACACTACTCTCTGCTCGTCGCAACTCCACCATTGCCCCCTTGTAGAACACTGCCTAAGGACTGTGTTGACATCTAGGTAGCAGAAGAGTGTTTTAACGCTTCCACCAGCGCTGGACTCTCTCGACACTCTCTCGAGTTTCTTCCGCAGTCAGAATGGAGGAAGACCATCGAAGATCAAGCCAAGAGTCCTCTCTGGGGCTCTATCAGACATACCACAATGCAAGTCCATCATCGAAAAGGCTAGGAAGGCTGCCGTCGCCTGGGTCGAGTTGTCATGTCGGGTTTCAAAAGGCGGGCCGAGTCATGAGGCAACGACGTACCCACCAGCTCCTATACAAGGCGGTCACATCCATGCCCTGTATAGACCATCTGTGATGCATGCGGGCTCACCAACAGCATCTTCTCCGACTTCGGGAACCCCAGTTTGGTCGCCAGAAGCTGGTACAAACCTTTCGTCTCTTAGACAAGCAGACTCAACCGCAAGTGGTGTCGGGAGTAGATCTGCATCTAGTGCTATGTCACCTCAAGAGTTGTATGCCGATAGACAAGACAGCAATAGCATGGCCTCACCGGGGCTGAATGTAGCGTCATACACTGGTCAATCATCACCACCTATGGCCTACAGTCCCTCAATCGCTAGTGTGACTCATCTACCAACGTCTCAAACGCAGACGATTTGGTCGCCTGTGAATCAGGGGATATTCGCCTACGTAGGTCCACCGCTGAATGCACTGTATCTTTGACTGACGAAGCCTCAGGCTGCTCCTCCTGGCACACCTATGCCACAGCAGGCGTATAATTCAACTCTCCAAAACACTCCAGTCACGTACGCACCTGACACGCCCCCTGAGACGTCACAGAACGTGTCCGCTGCTGCATTCTGGAGCCCATCCTACGATGCCTATCAGTTCACAACCACTCCATATGACCCAAATCGCCCTCCATACAACCAGCAGGGGTAATTCGACTCCTAACACTCCTTTTTGTTCGATGATACCGTGGCGTTGTACTTTCTTTCGATGCGTTATGACAGCGCGTAGACGGAGGCTTCCCGTACCGTACGAGATCTCTCCATCTTACGCATCCTGATGTATATGACTTACGGCCTTGATGATAACGATACTTCCTTCAGTGTGGACCGGGCTGTCCGGACTTTGCGTATGAAGAACACTTGCACCGGATCACTCTTTTCTAGGCACACAGTTCCTTTCTTGGCTGTGGTAACCATTTTAGTGCATATTCATAGAGCATTGCTGGCGTTATTAGACACCCGGGCAACGACGTAAATGCATATCACGAATTTTCTTTGATTGTTATGATATCCTCCTTCCTATTTGGGGCTACATGATGCGCGCCACGTGATCCTGCGCTAATGCATCTTCCGCCTTCTTCCTGCAGGCAACCATTGTTGTTCATTATCAGAACATTTTTCTCTCTCTGGTGTTACGACGAGCTGATAATTGTGAAGGGAAAGCTTTGCAGTCTACCCCTGTCGTTGTGTTGCTATATGGAGCCGCAGACACCGTGACCGTTTCTTGGACACCGCATGGACCTTTTCGGCAACACTTGCAGTTCTCGCGCATTTCTACCTACATCCTGTGGACGCAACCAGTTCAAAATGCTTCGACAGCCTTGAGCTGCTGTATCCCCTACTTCGACTCTTCAGTTTTTTGCCTGTCATGTCGATCGTTACTCGCCTCCAAACCTACACCAGCTGGCTAGTCCACGAATTCGGGCTTTATACTCTTTACAATGCAGGCCGCGATGTCCACATCATCATTGTGCTCCGGATGATGCGAGCGTTTTGTTTTGGCACTATAGGACTCATTTTCGCCTTGTATTTCAACGCTCTTGGGGTCTCTGATGCTCGTATCGGGCTCTTCATGACTCTGACTCAGCTCGGCGACGTGGTTCTATCACTTGTCCTCACCTTCGGTGCAGACAGTCTGGGCCGACGTCGAGCATTACTACTCGGAGCAATGCTTATGGTTGTTGCTGGTGTGATCTTTGCAGGCACGGAGAACTACTGGTTGATGCTGGCCGCGGCGATAGTGGGAGTCATCAGCCCTGGTGGAAACGAGATTGGCCCCTTCCGAGCGATCGAGGAAAGTACTCTGGCACACCTCTGCGAGACGCCAGAACAAAGACCTGAGATATTTGTCTGGTATGTTGTCCTCGCCACTGTGACTGGTGCAGCTGGTCTTGTAGCCGCGGGGTTTATCGTCGATATATCGAAGAGCTTGGACAATTGGACGGAAGTTGATGGCTACAAAATCCTCTTCTGGATATACGCCGGTGTTGGTGTCCTTCAATGTTTTCTTGCCCTCTTCCTGTCAAAGGACTGCGAATTTGACGATCGGGAAACCCCTGACGATTGCCGCAAACCAACCAGCTCCATCAACACGGATGAAAGCACTCCCCTCATCAACCCACCAAATGGCCACTCGATACCCCCATCCGACCCAGACGTCGATCATGAAAAACGCGGCTTCCGATTGCCGATCTCACGCATCTCCCCTTCCACTATCCCAGTCCTCCTCAAACTCCTTCTGCTCTTCAGCATTGACTCTCTCGCCTCGGGCATCATGCCATGGTCTCTACTCAACTATTACCTCGATCTCAAATTCCCAATCTCAAAGTCCACCCTTGGCACACTGATGTCACTCGCCTGGCTCTCCAGCGCCGTGTGCAACATATTCTCTGCCCCACTCGCGCGCCGCATCGGTCTGATCCCCACGATGGTTGCCACACACCTTGCTGCCGCAATCTTCCTGGGTCTAACCCCCGTGCCACGCAGTCTCAGTTTCACTGTTGCGCTCATTTTCGTCCGCGCCAGCTTGAATAGTATGGATCAAGCCCCGCGCTCAGCATTCCTGGCGGCTGTCATTAAACCGAGTGAGCGCACGCCTGTCATGGGCACGGTCAATGTGTTCAAGACGCTGGCTCAGGCGGCAGGACCTAGTCTGACGGGCGCGCTGGCGCAGGAGGGTAGGTTCTGGATTGCGTTTGTGGTGGCCGGGGCACTGAAGGTGGGGTATGATGTTGGGCTCTTGGTGCTTTTCTGGGGCAACAGGATCGGGGAGAAGGAGAAAGAGGGGGACAGCGAGGAAGAGGTAGATGGTGACGGTGACGATATTGGTGAGGGCGAAGGGCCGGCAAATTGACACGTTGAATACCGGCACGGATGAATCCACGCGTATGAATGTATCGGGGACGATACGCAACAGCACTTCTGGCGCTCGCAGAATCGTAAAATCCATCAAGCCTCGAAGCGGAGCAGCACTTTCGGCACTCGTACAGTAGCATCACGACTATCGATGCGCTACCCAAAAGCAATGCTAGGATATATGCTAGACCTAAAATTCCACACTGACGTTACAATCTAGACTCTATACATGTCTTACAGACATAATATCCCAAAATGCACAGTGACCATCTGACACATACACGGATCTGGAGTGGTATGCATGTCTGTGATTTGTATGATTTGTATGATTTGTATGATTTGTATGATTTGTATGATTTGTATGATTTGTATGATTTGTATGATTTGTATGATTTGTATGATT